AGGGACCTCTTAGACCTCACCATCACACAGATTCCACCTACTTCACCCTTGGGTCATATTCTTTTTTTTTTTTTAACCTTTTTGCATCAAATTTATGACTTACAATCAGAAGTGCCTATGCCAGGCAGGCACTTCTACTGCTGAGCTAAATCTCCAGCCCCTAGGCCATATTCTTGATGAGTGGGAAACATCTGATCCTGACAATCAAAAAACAGAAACAACTTATGTACTATTGCAATACATTTTTGGTTCAGTACATAGTGGGAGGTGGCAAGAGACGGGTACAAGACAGCACTTTAAATTAAAAGACTATTCTCTAGTTACAGTACTTCTGTTTAAAATATACAAGGTGGAATGAAATGTCTTATGTTCAGGCTTTGTGACTCTATCAGGGGAAGCTCGAGGACTGTGAGGGCATTTGTGACCCTCACTGTTGGCTTTTTTCTCTTTCCCCTTTTCTCTTTGAAATCTTCCCAAGCCCCAATTTTGAAAACTTCATTTACTTTATAGTCTATATATTATAGTCTAGATGCTTAACTAAGCAATTAGACATCAGAGAAGTGAACTTTGGTCAACCCCCCAAAAGGCATCTTTCCCCCTAATTGGCCATAAAACTACAAAAAGGGCACAAACAAGTTTATCACAAAGTGAGCAAACTGCCTAGTGCCTGCATTCTGTGTGGCAATTAACCAGATGTGTAAGAAGGTTTTGCAACATTCCAAAGTAATGATAGTGCTGCAAAAAGGTAGTAACCATGGTAACCCCCTGACCTTGTGAACAGAGGCCAGCCAGCAATTCCAATGGCTTTAGCTGACTGACCACGGCAGCTTTGGCCATAAATCTCACTTGTTTCTCAAATCTCAGTTGTCTGTGGATAACTTCCTCGAGCACATCATTACATTTGGAGGTTCCATCGAGATTTACCCACCCTCTCTTGAGGGACCCCCAGTGCCTTCTTGCCCAGCAGCCAACAGCTGGGTGACAGGGCACCCCAGCCGATTTCAGCTGGCCTCCCTATCCAGACACCTATGGCCATGACATGGAAACAATTGAGTACTTACCCCTGACCAAGGTAAGTACTTCTAATTTGGTTTAGATTTCCTACATAGGCAATTAGCGTATGGTTCACTCAGGAATTTGTTTTTCTTTGTGCTAGCATTTGGTTGTTTGTTGAATCTAAGAAGAGCCCAGCATACCAGACATGGTGTTTGCCTATTGGTCAAGCAATTTTCCCTGAATATGTTCCAACTTTGAGGTTGGGGTGAGGGGCAGTACGTTTCTCCCTGGGACCCTTTGTCTTTTGTGTGTATTTGTGCGTATGTCCTCAGCCCATCACCAGCAGAGGTCGCCTTTGCCATCTTTTCAAGCTTTGCTCCACTTGTATTTTTGCTTTTGTTTCCAGCCAGACTGACTGAGTAAAGAATGGGAGGTGATTTGCCAAGATAGGCTGCGGAGTCCATAGGTTTTTAAACTATGGTCAAGCTGCGGTCAGGTGACTATCAGCCTATTGTACTGGAATGCGTGCTTAGCAATTTTGCTAAGTTCACATGTGGTAGGGCCTGAAGTCCTGCCTCCCATGGGGAGGCAGGTAGTGTGGGGAAAGCGACTGAGTCAGTTGTTGGTTATATTGGGGTTGGGTGCCAGTCGTGATCCAGGGTCGCACAGTCTCACCATGCACCAGCGGCAGGTCCTGATAAAACTCAGAATCCCCCATTCTCTGAACAGCTGAGTGCTTTAATTTGGCTGAATCAGTATTTATGACTCACCAGCCCAATTGGACTGACCATCAGCAATTTCTCTATATTCTATTTACCTCAGGGGAAAAAGAAAAAAGATAACAGGGGAAAAAAGTGAAAAGCCCAGGAGGAAGAGGAGAAGATCATGTTAGCAACTCAAAGACTGAGGCACAGGCAGGGGCAAGAAGAAAGAAAGAGGATAGCAAACGGTCCCAGGAAGGAGGGAGAGGTGTCCCGCTGGACACAACCAGTGTGCCCACTATAAGGAAATGGGACACCATAAATGTAAGTGTCCAAAGTTGCTAAACGAAGTGCTTGTGGTGGGTACAGAAAAAGTTTCAGACTGCCATGGGTCATGGGTCCCTGGCTCTCAGCCCCAGGGAACCCATGTTAATCGTGAATGTTGGGGAAAACTAGTTATGCCTGATTGCCTTTCCTCCTTGGGGCCAAGACTGTCTTCACAAATTGTGAGCTCAGATTTCTTTTTCCCTTCATAAACTATTTTAACCACTAAAAAAATTTTTTTAAATGTCAGGTACTCATTTTTCTAATTCAAGAATTCAAATTAACATGATTTATAAGAAGCTCTCTTCTGAACAAGAAGAAAAAGTATAAAGCAAAAAGATATACAAAAAAGCATACAGAAAAATCACTTGATCTCACCTGCCACTTCATATCAAAATAAAGACATCATAAAGACACATTCCTGATAGTGTTAGGTTGAGATCTAACTTAGATACTCCATGGTATCTACTTTATGATCAGTTAAATGATCAGAAATAATGCTTTCTTGGAAATGTTTATTTTTTTTTTCACTGTTTCCTTATTGCTTGCCAGCCAAATGGAATTTGGTTTAAATCTTAGTTTTTCTTAATTCACTTTTGTCCAAAAATCATAGCTGTAAATAAGCAGTCAAAACAAGTTGCCACATTGACGAAGAGGAATGTACTTTGCCTCATCAGTATTAAAAATTGTGGTACTCTTATTTTGTCTTTTTTTTTAAAAAAATACTTTCTAAATATGGTACCTTGAACCTTGGAGTATTTACTATGTTCCTGTTTAAAACTGTGACTTATTAATGGAAATCTACCTAGTAGTGTTTTTCTATCCCTGAGCATAAGCTATCTTTTACAATATATTTGCCAATTATATTATTGGTGGGAATTTTTAAATCATATTGTTATTAGCTCATTATTTTTAAAAACCATTGGCACACAATCAAATTTTTCCATCAGTGATCATGACTGAACAATCTATTTCTCTATGTGACTTGTAAAGATTAATCAGTTATATTTAAAAATCCATCCTATTTTATGATAGGTTATCACTCCTGGCTTATACTAAAGTTTGAAAGAATCCTTTAAATCTTATGAACTTATGGGTTCCACAGACTATACTAATTGATATTTGAAAGAATTTAGCCATTTGTTAAACTCATGAATTCCATTCAGCTGAAAACTCCTTTTAAGATTCTCTAAAATGTCTGCCAGTAGAAGGATATATGAACATTGCCATGTATTATGGATTAAAACTGGTGGTCAATTCAGCACCACTGAATTAAATCAGCATAGTGCTGAGTGTAGATATCACACCTGAGGAAAGTTGCCAGCATAAGTAGAGATGTGGCCAAGAACAACTAGGTGTTGTGGGTTCTCCTAAATGTTGCTGTTTCAAGCCATGGGTTCTCCTGGAGGAGCTTGTCATGCTGGCTTCCCCAAATGAGTTCAGCCATTATCATCAGAGGAGAGCAGGACTTTGTTGGTGACAGTGGCTGTGGTTCGCTTTGTGGGAGCTCTGGTCCTTACACTGTGCATTGCTTCCTGGCTCTAGAGGGGAAGATGTGTGCTCTCAATCTCTAGCAGAAACTTGTCATGCTGGCTCACTTGCTCAGGGTGTCCTAACACAGATTTTGGGACCTTGATAGAAGCCTGTGGCAAGTTTGTCTAAAAAGCTAGACCCAGTGTCAGTGGGATGGTACTCCTGCTACATTTCATTGCCACCACACCATTACTGGTAAAGAAAGCAGACAAATTGACTCGGGGACATAATTTAAACGTGTTTGCACCACACATGGTAGAGACTTTGCTGAGGTGGCCTGATGATTAAGTGGCCTACAGGAACTAGATTAGACCAATAGCAGGGGACCTTGTTAAGAGATCCTAGACTCACTATTAGAACCATTCAAGCCATTAACCCTGCTTCTCTTTTGCCTACTTCTCTGGGGCTAAACATAATTGCACAAAAGTCATCAAGATGATGTACTCAGCTTGGCCAGACCTACAAGATGTACCCCTCTAGGACTTGACCTGACCTTATTCGGCAACATGGTGATTGACGGGGTTTGGAGGTTCAGAGCAGCCGTCCTCGAAGATGACCACACTATCTGGTCAGAGCCTTTGCCTCCTGGAACATCAACACAGTGAGCTGAATTAATTGCACTCACCTGGGCATCCGAGAGAGAAAAAGAATGGATGGCAAGTATTTGAAGGCAAGGTGTTCCTTCCTAAAACCTTAGGACTCTTGTGATTCAGGACTTGCATGGCTGCACCCATTTCAAGAGGGAAAACAGCCATGACAACTTAGTTCAGTTGCTACTTCTGTGGCCAGGATTATGGACCTCATATACCTCAGTGGCTGCAAATGTGTAATCTGTGCCAGCAATAACCCACTCTTCCCACCCCAGCAACCACCAGGTGTCCGGAGGCAAGGGACTCTACCTTTTGAGGATACTGAGACAGACTTTATAGAAATTAACCTACCACAAAAAATAAAAAGTATTCATCAGTACTCATCTGCACCTACTCTGGCTGGGTGGAGGGTCTCCCTACTAGGACTAAAATATCTAAGAAAGTAGTTAGGGCCCTGATGGAGTTGATTATTTCCTGGTACAGGCTACCCATAATTGTCAATTCAGATAATAGACCCATTCTTGTGGGTAGAGTTGTCCAGGGCTAATCAGAGGCCCTAGGACATCAGTGGAAGCTCCATATGGCCTACCAACTTCAGAGTCTGGGTTGAGTAGAGAGACAAACTGAACTCTAAAAATACCTTGGAAAAGCTATGACCTGAGGCTGGAGCCAGTTGGGTCATGGTGCTTCCCACTGCACTCCTTGATCACAGTGCACTCCATACTAGGATAGACTGACTCCTTTTTTGGGGGGGATTGAACTCACAACCATGAGCTTGCAAGGCAGGCGCTTATGCTGCTGAGCTAAATCCCCAGCCCCTAGACTGACTTCTTTTAAAGTAGTTTTTGAGAGGCCTAAACTACCAGCATTGGAAGAACTACAAAAAGTTGAGGTTTTGGACCTCCACTGACAGATTAAGGTACTAAATTAGACTAAAAGACTTCCAAAAGACTGTATTACAGTGCTGTCTGGCTCTGCTTCATTCATCTGTTCATTCCTTCAATCCAGGAGATAAAGCCCTAGTCAATTCCTGGAAAGAAGTGCCCCTCCAATCACAGTGAAAGGGCACCTATAAAATTTTATTTGACCACACCCACTGTTTTAAAACTCACTGATTAAATCCTGTGGATCCATTACTTCAGAGTTAAGAAGTGGACATCTGAAGAGCAGACACCTACTGACTCACCATCACCACCTGGGACCTCACCTCTCCCCAAGCCCTGTCTACCATGATGCTCTCAGACTATGGCACAAGGATGAGGTCCCATCCCAACAAAGACTAGAAGGCCTACTCTGACAAAACAGCTCTCATAAAGACCACACTGAGGAGACAATGCACCCAAAGTCCTGTTCTCTTCACCCCAGAACCTGATGAGTCAACTCATGGCTGAAGACTGGGTGAGCATTGTACACCAGACTATGGGTAGCCTCAGTGTACTGCTATCACACTGAATTCTTGGCCCTTTTTCTCCCATTACTCTTGTTGTTTGCTGTTGCTCTCTGGACTGTGTCCCCAGAGGACTGCTGGATTCCAGAGAGAGTTATTTTTGTTCTTTTCTATCTAGTTGTAGTCACTCATCTAAGCACTGTCAACTGTTTAAAATGATTTTCCTGAGCTGGGAAGATAGTGGATCAATAAGCAGCAAAGTAAAGAGCCTCTCTGAGAGAAACAGCTCAGATGCTGGAATAAAACATCCTGAAGAAGACCAGGTAGGAGATGGATCCTCTTGATCCAGGAAGAAACTAAGGGGAAGGGAGGGAAGGGAAAAAGAAAAGACAAAGAGAAAGAGAGAGAGAGAGGGAGGGAGGAAGAGAGGGAGGAAGAAGGGAAGGGAAGGGAAGGGAAGGGAGAAGGGAGAAGGGAGAAGGGAGAAGGGAGAAGGGAGAAGGGAGAAGGGAGAAGGGAAGGGAAGGGAAGGGAAGGGAAGGGAAGGGAAAAAAAAAAAAAAACGTGGATGGAAGGCTGTAGCCAAACACACTTTCACCAGAGCCAGTCCCACTGTATAGGAAATGCCCCTGGAATCCAAAGATGTGTGGTTGCCGTGAAATTGAGGGTGAGCCTGAGGGCCTCAGTGGGAGGAGGCAGTCATGGAGGAGAGAGGTGGAGTGGAGAACAGCACCAGGTCAGAGATCTGCACAGGCTCGCAATGAGTGTGGAGCAATCAGTCCTCCCGCAGGAATGGGTGATTTGGCCGGGAGACATTTTAAGAGTTGGGCAGGATAAGCACAAAACCAGAACTGCAGCGGCTTTAGTCAGCCACTTTTAGTGCAGAGCAGATTGCTGAGAATTGCTTGGACTGAGTCCTGCCCCTGTGCACGATCCAATAGCCAAGGACGAGGTCTCCCTGAAGCTATCCCTACCCGGCCCTGACCTCGCAGCACACACTAACATAGTGAAGACTCCCAGTGGTTGACCAGCTCAGAAAGGAGGGGCCACCCTACCCCACCCTACCCCAACCTGGCTTGTACTTCAGTCGTCACCAGCAGACTGGGGAGAGTAGCAATCCCTAGTCAGCGGGCTTCAGAGTAATTGCAACCAATACAGGGAGTGCCAGGGACCCCCACTATCCACTTGTCTAGAGGAAACCAGAAACATAACAAGAGGAACAAACAAAAGAAGTCTCCAGCCTCCAACCCAAATAGTACTGTCCCGGGAGAGGTAAACACAGAAGAGATCAGGGGTTGCACACCTGCAGTTTGAGAAGCAGCAGCATGTGACATAAATAAATACCTGCATGACATTATGAAAGAACTCAAAACAGAAATACTAATACAAGGAAGATATAAGAAAAATAATAAAAGAAATGCTAAGCATCTTTCAAGATGACAGATGGAAGAATGGAGGAGCATAGAAAAAGGAGAGAAACCTTTGATGAAGAATATAAAAAAAATCTAGAATACATGAAACAGATTCAAAGATATTATCAGGAAATTAAAAACTCGATTGAAAGCTGGCAAAACTACTTGAAAGAAACTAAAGACTATCAAACCTTGAAGACAGGTTTGCAACATGTGATCACGAAAGGACAAGACCTCTTAAAAATAACAAGGAAGTAACAATAAAAAGGCTAGAAAATGACAAGAGTATCTATAACTCTTAAAAATAAAAAATGTGAGTGAAGAAGCAGAGGTAAATATAAATGAAATACAAAGGTTATTTACAGAAATAATTAAAGAAAACTTCCCAAGCATAGGAAAAGGAAATGATATTCAGATATATGGGCATACAGAACTCCAGCCAGCTATCACCAAAATAGATCTACAACCAGACATATAATAATCAAGATCCAAGAAATTCAACACAAGAACAGAATATTAAAAGCTGTCAGGAGAAAAGAAACAGATCACCTATATAGGAAAACCCATCAGAATCACAACAGATTTCTTGAATCAAATCAAGAAGAGCTTGGAGTGAAGTATTCCAAGCCCTGAAAGAAAATAACCTCCAACCCAGATTGATGTACCCTGAAAAACTGTATCTCAAAATTAATGGAGAGACAAGATGCTTCCATGACAAAGAGGAACTGTGAGAGTTCATGACCACCAAAGCAACCCTACAAAACATACTGAAGGACTTTCTAGAGAGAAAAACAAACAAAAAAAAAAAACACCAGGATTTCAGGAATAGTGGCAGAGGGAGCTCACTGAACAGGGCAGACAGTGGAATGAAGGGGAAAGGTAGACAACCAATGGCAGAAAAACAGCACAGCAGAGATGAGGCAGAGAAGGCTGGCCATAGCCACTAACATGGATGGTCTCGATACACTAATAAAAAGAAACACAGGCAGAGTAGATCAGGAGATAGCATACATCAAGATGCTCTATATAAGAAATATATTTAACCTGAAAGAGGTTTTATGGACTTAAAGTCAAAGATGAGAAAATAATGCTCTAAGTGACTGGGAACCAGAAAAAAGTGGGGGTAGCTCTCCCTTCAGCTGCAGATTGGCTGGAAAGACATGACACTTTTGTACAATGGAGAACTACTCGGCTATAAGGAAGGAAAACCTTGAGGCTCTTGTAGGTAAATGGATACAACTTGAGACCAAGCTCAGGGGTAAAAAGGTTCAGAACCACTTCGGTAAATAGCACGCTGCCTCTCTAATCTAAAAACTAAAAGAGTTAGTGGGATCCAAAATGTACAATGCACCCTGTGAAAATGAAAGGGAGGATTTGTCTAAAAAAGAGGGACCTGAGACCCTACATCTGTCGTCTGTTTGTAAACCATCAAACATGACACTAGAGTGCTGTCACTTTGTCAGTACTGGCCAGGGTGAGATATAGGTCTCCAGAAATTTCACCAAATAATCCACAACATAAAACAGAGCACAATGGGAATGCAGCAAGCAGTTAAACAGCTGCATGATCAGGTGAACTCTTTGGCAAAAGTAGTTCTACAAAACAAGAGAAGATCTACCCTACTTTTCATGAAATTAAGGGGAACTTTGCATCACACTAGAAAAAAATGTTCCTATGCAAACAATTTAGAGTGATCATTGTAATTCCAGACAAATAAGACCAATAAAAAATTGAATTATGACACTCAAGGATGGTATGAGAAATTGCTCAAATGGAACCCAAGACTAGCCTCCATTCTTGCAGGAATCAGAAGACCACTAATCATTATATCTGTCCTCAATTTTAGACTGTGCCCGATTGGGTAAAAGATAGGGTTCAAAACAAAACAATATAAATCAGGTATACATGATAGTACTGGCTGACTTTGTTAATAATCAGCCCAACTCTAAATCACTATCTTAGGAAGGACTATATATATCCTAAGAAAAAAATATGTCCTCAAGGGAGGAATGTGAGGGCATTTTTGACCCCCACCATTTCTTCTCTTTGCCTTTTCTCTTTAAAATTCCCAAACCCTAGTCTTGAAAACCTCAGGCCTATATAGTCTAGATGCTTAGCTAAACAGACATTAAACAAATGAACTTTGGCCACCTCCTAAAAGGCCTCGCTCCCCCTAATTGGCCATAAGCTGAAAATGTGAAGAAGTGGGTTTATCTCAAGGTGACCAAACTGTCTGGTGCCCACATTCTGTGTGTCAGTTAACCAGATGTGTAAGAAGGTCTTGTTAACATTCAAGTAATGATAGAGCTGCAAAAAGGTAGTATCCTTAGTAACCGCCTGACCCTGTGAACTCATACAGAAGTATAAACGGAAAAAGAACAAAGGAATCGTGGCCAGCCAGCAGTTCCAATGGCCTGAGCTGACCGACCACTGCAGCTTTTGAAATAAATCTCACTTCTTTCTCAAATCTCAGTTTCCTGTGGGTAACTTTCTCGAGCAGGCTGTCATAGAACTATGGTATTTACAGAGGCCAGCGAGGAGGAGGAAGACATTCCAGATAACCCTGTCCTGAGACACCCACACTTTACTCTCAGGGGCATGTGAGTCTCCCTGACCTGTTAGATGGGGTCTCTTTGACCCCTTCCTCTAGTTCCTAGACTAATAAACCAAGTTCATCCACTCCAAGTGGCTCAGGAACCCCATTAGAGCCTCATGCCCTGCTCCACCCCCCCAAACCCAGCATTCCTCAGCTAACTTTAAGCCCCCAAGTTGAGCCTGGAGTGGTGCTACTTATTACTCTAATTCTCACGTTATCCTGCTCCTAAGAGAGGTCCCAGGGGTAGAAAAGAATACTCAAGTGCAGGTCCTTTGTTCAGTTACAGATGTACAAGAGGCTTGGGCCTATGCAAGTGAATAAGTGCTTTAAAAAGGGTAAAAGACCATCCTGGAAAGATTATTCCCCCTTCAACAGAACCAAACTGGATCTATAACACTAATGGGGGAATAAGAATGATTTCTGACATGCTAGTTGCTATTACCATGGAGGTAAAGCAGTAAAGTGTTTTGTAAATATACCAATATAGATGGGGGGAAGAGCAGCATTTCATTTGTCAATCAGCTCCACAGTTAGTATAAGACGCAAACACTTCAGATGGTCCCACAGACATTTACGGCCCAACTGCTGGACACAATCTTTTCTGTTTACAACAATCAAACCCAGAGGAGGAACAAAACAGTCCCAATTGGCAATACTGTAAGCCCACCATGTCATCTAGGGAAAAACCCCAGGACAACTGAAATTCTTGATTCAAGACCATACACTGGGCACACACCTTCACCAAGCTTCTGCCTGGCCCCTGATTTGTGAGACAACCAATGTACTTGACTCATGGCATAGGAGGTTTCACTGCCCCTCCTCCCAGAAAGAGGCCAGGCCAGCCAAAACCCTCGTTTCTTACTCTGACAACTAAAGAGGTTCAGGGGAACTTGCAATACCCCTGTTTCACAGACCTCATCATCCTCTCCAAGGAACCCAAGGTAAACTTAGATGTCACGGATGAGCCAATTTAATTACTTCACTTTTTAAACTTACTACTCTAGAAAATTCTCTTCTGGATCTATAGCCATAGTTGGGGCCAAAGGGACCCCTAATCAGAGGTTCTTTGCAGCTGCACTACAGAGGAAGCTGCAAAATTAACTTTGGGACACAGACCAGAAGTCCTGACTTGCCATCAGGTCAGAGCTATTCTGCAAACAAAGTTACTTGTGGTTAACAAATGAACAGTTAAGTGTCCAGAAATGCTAAGACATCCCTGAGGTTATTATAAAAACTTGTACAACTACTATTAACCCTGCTTTTTTTGCAGGCCCTGAAGTTAGTCATTCTTATGAACAAGTGATCTCCCAGACCTATGGAAGCAGGCAGGACATCAGTGATCCACCCCTCCAAAACTCTGAGGAAGTGTGGTTCATTGATGCAAAGAGCCTTGTAAACCATGTATAGAGCACAACAGGAAATTACACACCTCCTAGAGGCAGTCCATCTTCCCAAGCAGGTTGCAGCGAATGCACTGTAAAGAGCACCAAAGAGACAGGCCTAAAGTCTCCTTGGGAAATCAAAAGGCTGATAGGGAAGCAGAAAAGACAACCCTACATCCCAAGGCCCAGCCTTGTTCTCAATTCCTGAGGAATCATTCTGTTCCTTCCTCAAAGGGCAGAGTGATGGGCTACAAAAATGCCATGTGGGGTATGGCCCTCGTTCTAGAAAGGTAAAGAGCCAGTCAGACACTGAACCAAGTTCTGGCAAAACTTTGTCAGCGATGTGAGTCCTGCTCTCATGGCTGCCAATAACACTCAAGGGGGTTTGTAACATGCCCCAAACTGGGCTGAGTGAACCCGTCTGAGATGTTATATGGGAGGCCATTTCTATCCTCTGATGGGAAGAGTCTTCCCAGTCCCCGGCCCAGGCTGACCACCTATTTTCTGCCCTAGAGACCAAGTACTCATAAAAACTTGGAGACAGGGGACACCTACTAACCGATTAAAGCCAAAATGGCAAGGCTGCTTCCAGTAATCCTTGCCACACCCCCTGCGGTAAACGTGGTAGAGCTAATTGGATTCATCTAGAACACAGAGTCGCTCTTTGTCTAAAGAACAAGATCACAAAGAGAGCTACTCCTGTGAGCCTCTAGAAGACTTGTGATTTCTCTTCAAAATGCAAGACTCCAATGCTACTACAAGAAGTGTGGAAATCTGATCTGTTCCTCATATTTAGGCTAATAGTGAAGGTGAATGTCAGTAACTCATCTCTCATTTTTTGATAGGTTTTTCCTTCTTTGATGGAGCTACAGCATCCCAAAGTAGTTGGACAGCACACAATCCCCAATAGGTAAGATGCACGGTCCCTTCTAGCTTTGAGAACTTATAGAAGACAAGACATCCCAAAAGAATTATGGAGATTTATGTCTCTAGAGGAAATGACACAGATCAGAGAGACAAAGCTGACTGGGGAAGTAGGCATGGCCTGTTAATTACAAGGTCACACACACACACAGGACAGTCCCCAAAGCCTTGAACATGAACTTCTCATAAGAACTCAAGCAAGGTTTCAACAGGATTGCCTAGATCTGAGGTGGGGGTTCCCAACATAGCCTCTCAGAATCCATATGTAGATGTTCTCATGGGTTTCCTCAAGATTTAGACAGTATAAAAAGACAGATGCCAAGAGGAGCATGCTATTGTGGCTTTCCTCGTGATAGCCCATCCTGCTTTCCCCAGGGCACACTCTTATCTTGCTTTTTCCTTTTACTTGGCCCAAGCTTGCTCTGTAGCTGATTTCTCAATCACTTACCTTGTACTTTTTCAAATAAACTTTGCCACTGCTTAAAAAAAAGTTGATACTTTTATCAGTAAAATAATTTCACTGGCATACTGTCATTCCTACTTCCTGTCTGTGAAGGTAGGTTTTCCTGTAACAATAGTGGGAAGAGGATGGATGCTTCCCCTCCACCCCACAGGCTTGCAGTAGAGACCATGCAGATTCTTAGCAAGAGTCAAATAAGCCAGTCCTGGTAGCTCACTCCTATAATCCCAGCATTCAGGAGGATCACAGTGAGGTCAAGGCCAGCCTCAGCCACAAGGGTAAGTTCAAAGCCAGACTGACTACACACTGAGGCAAAGCAAATAACCTGAATATGACAACACATGCCCAGAATCCCTATAAACACTCTGAAAGATGAAGCAAGAGGACTGCAAGTTCAAACCTAGTCTGAGATACTTACAAACTTTAAGTACAACAGGCTGGGGATGTTTAGTACACAGGCTCTGGCTTCAACTCCAGTACCTGAGTCATATATGCTCACAACCATTGCCCCTTTGCTTTCCAGAATACATACTTCCCTGCCAAGTTTACCAAGGCACAACAGATCCTTGCAAATGCCTCTCTTTATTGAGGGCTTCCTAATATCTTTGGAAGTGGGAATGGCTTAGAGAACCACCTTCCTCCGTATGCCTGAGGACCAGTGACCCTGGCTACAATATAGACCTCTGTAAGCCCTCACCCATCTCAGGAGAGATGCTGTAACACCTTTAAGGAAGGATGCCAATTTACAGTTTAAAAATGAGATGGAGAGAAGAAAGCAAAATCTAATTATGATTTTAACTGTGCAACAATGCCACAGCCCACAGGGCACATATCCCAAGACCACCAGTCGACAGACACCTGAAAGTGGGGGCAAAGCTTATATATGCTGCTTTCCTACACATACACTGCTTTAATAAAGTTTATTTATAAAAGTCTCAGTAAGAGATAATTTAACCATTAGCAATTTGGGGAGGGGTGTGTGTGTGTGTGTGTGTGTGTGTTTTCCCTTTTTCCCCTTAGTCAAGAACTTCTACCATTTCTCCAACAGGTTGCGCATTGGCATATCTGAATTGCCACCTTCACTCCTCAGTGGTGAGCTTGAACAAAAGGACAATTCACATACAAGTGGGACATAAACAGTTTCATCTACTCACAATGGTGCATAATTTAAAACTTACGACTTCCTTTCTGGAATTTTTCACGTGGTATTTTTGGACTGAAACTGACCACATGTAACAAGCTGCAAAAAATAAAACTGTTGATGGGGGAAGACAACTATAGTAACTTCCTGGCTTCACACAGACATATAGGTAGCTCTTAATTCCTAGTTGTGACTAAAGACTGATAAACTTACTCAGAAGAAAACCCGTGTTAAACATACAAGATGCTTTACTGTAGCCTAGAATCTAATCTCTACAGCTGCTGTTTGGGAAATAGGAACCAACCGGTCTACTTAGAAATTCCAAGTAACAACATTAGGTCTAGATTAAGGAGGAAGGTGTAGATGGAGTTAATGTGTAACTGGGAAGACTCCAGAGAAAGACTGAAGTCCTGCTTCATCCAGGATCAAGTAGCTACTTGAGTTAAAAAACAAATCCAGGCAAGGTGTGGTGGTGTAGGCTTGTGATTCCAGCACTCACGAGACCGAAGCAGAAGGAGTCCCTGTGAGTCTGAGGCCAGCCTAAGCTATGAAGTGAGTTCAAGGCCAGCCTGAACTGCAAAGCAAGACCCTGTCTCAGACAAAAAACCTCCACCAAATTCAAACTTAACAGAAAAGCAGGTGTCCTTGTAAGTTTTCACTATACAGGGGGGAAAAACACACTCAATTAATAATTTATCTTTTATTGAAATTGAATACTTTATATTACATTAGATTGGAAAAAAAATGAAGAGAACAATCAATTTTAAAAAATATACTCATGTTGAAATCAAATAAGCCAGCCAAACGGGGCACAAACCAAGAGATTCTGTAGGGTGGTTTGCTTTTCCCATATGAATACCACTGTCTATGTACAACTCTGCAATGTGAGAAGAGTCATTCATGAAATATTTCAAGAAAGGAGTTGACAGCCAGCGGAGGATATAGGCCAGGTCCTCCTTCCTGCCCTTGAGGGAGCCCACAACCAGCTACAATGAGATTGGGGCCCATCAAGCTTCCTGCCAGCTTGGAAAGTCATACTCTGTGCAAATTAAGGCTTCTTTATAGGTTGAATGTTTGATAAACACTTTTTTTTTTCTTAAAAAAATAAGCACAGTAAAGGTGGTATCACGAGAACCTGAAGAGATGAAACCTACAGCCCAAATCAAGAAACCAGCGATTTTCTCAGACATCTCAATTCCATGTCACATACACAAAACATTATCAATCTTTGGGTGGGCCGTCTGAGTTTACCAGCTGGCAAAGCAATACTGGCAAATGTGCTCTGTACATCTATGCCTGAAGATGTCATGCAAAGAGCTGCAGCTGTCATTAACAAAAGGCATAGCACAGACAGAGCCTCCCAAACCTAGGCACTCAGTGATCCTGTGCATGTATGTGCGGTGCCCTTAAAAATGGAAAGCAAAGGAGAAGAGACAGAATGGAATCCTCAAACTCAGGGGATATGTTAATGACCAGTTCAAAACGCCACGAAAAACCACCCCAGCAAACCAACAGTTTCCCTTCCTCACCAGCTGGTGCACTGCATTCTGCTGGCAGAAGGAAACTGTGGTTTTTTGTGTTTTTTTTTTTTTTTTTTTTTTTTTCCTTTTTCGCAAACCTGAGTAATTGTCAGAGTCAATAAATAGGGAGAGAGAATTAAGATGCTAAAATGTAATGGTCAAATACCCTAGAGGGTTAAAGCAGCAAGGATTTTTCAAACACAGCCCTCTGATGTGAGGCACCTGGCCTGGCACCTGGCAGGCACTCACAGGAGCTCTGTAAATGAGGACTTAGGGCAAACCCTGGGCATGAGGTACCGCCCTTTTGCCAACGTGAGCAACGCCTTCTTACAAAAACTGTAAACAGTCACAAAGGAGCAGCACCTAACCTCCTTCACCCTCTCCCCCACCACAAAAACTTTTCCCTTTTGAAGCAGTTTTTGTTAAAGGCAAAATTACAGAAGCATCATCAAGTTGAAGTCTTATTTGGTTGGAGGTGCTTGGCTGTACCATGGCTCCACATTCTCCTGTAGGCACCATGGCATTAGATGTGTAAGAGGTCCTCGTCACTGTCATCATGGAAGGACACCAGCTTGGTGGAGGTCACTGTCTTCTGCTGTCCAGGCCTGGGCTTCCCTTTCCGGGTCTTCTCTCCTGGGACCAGCCCCGCCTTATCGTCCTCCCGCTCCCAGTGGGTTTGCTGCTGTGGATTTCTCACGGGGTGTGAGTTGTCCACTCTGGCCCCTCTGCTCGAATGAACTTTTACCTCTGGGATAGTCAGGACCTCATCCTCACTGTCCTGGTCATCCCCATGCAAGGATGTGAGGGCCTCTGCTTTCACAGACTTGGTGGTAATGTGGCCGTTTTCCTGTCCTTCCTTCACCAGTCGGGGAGGTGGCATCTGGATCTCTTCCATCAGCCACTCTGTTTCATTTTCATCTGCTTCTTCCTCCTTATTCACCTGCCAGAGAGCAACAGCACAAACTACATAAGCCCCAGCAGAGATATCCATCCACTTTTGTTCCTGTCTTGCCTGAGTTACTGCTGGCACAAGCTGAGGACAGAACCTACCACCCACCAGTCATAATCCGTACATCTCTGGTTCCCAAGTCACCACCAAAGCTGATGACAACCGCCTGCTCCTATAAAACCAACCCAGCAGGGGGCTTCAGGTGGTTACCAAGGGAGCCCTGTGTCAGGTGCCACTGCCCAGGAGGGCTGGGTCATGCAGAAGGCAGTGCTGGGGAACAAGGCATTCTCTAGGCTGCCAGCTGTGTGGCAGGAGGGGTATGTAGGAGCAGCAGCCATAGGAAGGATGTGTATCAGAGTCTAATTTTAAAAAGAGATTTGCCACTATGTATAGCAGGCTGCATGTATGCAGTATTTATGCCCTTTGATCCAGACAAGGCCTTTTCTAGAAATTTTTTTGAAGGAAATCAACCAAATGTTAAACATAGATAAATTTTCACCATCAGTTTTTAGAGAACAGCCCAAAAATGGAAACCACCTCAACAGTAAGTGCTCCTAAAGAAATCAGTTGCAATCACAATGGGAGAAACTTGAAGAAAACTAAAACCAAAGTGTGTTCGGCTGAGTGGTAGCTAAAAGCCGTAACTAATGGTTTTCCTACGAGGTTGCAAGCTGCCTATGCCGCTGTTCTTCCTTGCATTGTGAACAACTCTACTGCCATGGAGCATACAACCCTGCTGCAAGGTGGGGGAAGAGGTCACCACAGGCCCAGCAGACAAGCACCTTTGAGTATTTGTAGGACACGTTGGAGCTTCGTCGACAGCAATTGGTCAGCTTGTTTATCACAACTTCCCTGTTAAAAAGGAGACCATAATGAGTTGCTGTAGAATCACAATGGGCAGGGGAGCCCCCAGACACAAGCCAACCCCAATCTTTTGCAGCTTATGGATTACAGTGGCTACAGGTCAACAAATATCACCCCTTCCCAAGGCAGCAAAGTCCTGAACAACAAATGACCTGCTATGCACTTCTGTGAGAAACTATTAATCATGATTCAGCACAAAGAACACAGGTTATTATGGTTTGTATCTGGGTGTTCCCCTAAAGTCTCATGCAGTGATGTGGGGCAGGATTTTCAGAGGCCTCTGAATCTAGAGTTTGTAATTCCTTCATTGTCTAGTACTGGAATTGAGGATGAAGTGCTACACGTGTCCTAGGGCAGGTAGTCTGCATAAAAGGGAAGAAAATACAAGGGAGGAAAAGAAGCTTGCTCCTTCCTTTTGCTCTTATAGCTTTTGCTACCTTTCACTGCCCTGGACTGTGGCCTCTCTGCCACATTACCCTGCTCTGCAGTCAGCTGATTACAGACTGAAACATCTACAAACTGTGAGCTAAATAAACTTACCCTTCCTCTAACTTTGGGTGTAGGTATTCTGTCTTTGCAAGACAGAACAGTAACTAAGACAGGCTGTGAAATCAGAACAGAGAGAACTCAAATCCTATTTTATATCTTGGTAGTCACGAGGTCATTTACCAGTTTGTGTTCTTTTTCATCCAGGAGTATAATGGGACCACATCTCCCTGCAACCTGAGGGGACTGTTGCAGGTCCATCCTAGGCAGAATGCACTTCTGTGCCTGGACCCCACCTTCCCTACCCTGCCTTCCGGGAGCGGATGGTCCTAGTCAGTAGATCTGTGACCACCACCCTAGAACCCGACCTGAAAAGCTACCTGACAGTCACATGAGAAGCAGAGTAGAGGAGCCAACTGGAAATGCTTCTCTTTGTAACAGGGGAAGGACACAGAGGTCAGCTGATCAGCAAGAAGTCTACTCATGAATGACTTTTAATTTTCTATCAGACTTTTTAGACACAATAAGAGACCAATGTTCTAAACACCCAGAGGGACTGGCTGAGGAGCCCATGGCATGCCAAATGTAACATGAAGTCCAAACCTGTGCATGGTGCCACGGCTCTGAGAAACAGACATTTAACAAACTGGTTTCTGCCACCATGGGAAGTTTCTGAACTGAGAACTGAAAGGCATTTGCTGTGCCTGGAAGCCCCAGGAGAGGCCCATACACCTGGCCCCCACTCGGGGCTCCCCCAGGGGCCTTCCTTACCTCCGTTCCTTCTTGTAAAGAAGCAGGGCCAGCAGGCAGCCAGTGAGCGCCACGAGGAGCAGGCTGAGGATTGCCCCAACAGCCTGGCTCCGCTCTGAGAGCCCCTTGTGGCTCTGTATGCTCTCTTCAAAGCCCATCCTAAATATCACAAGAAAGGGACTTGAATCATTTGGGGTTCCCAACCCACAGAACAAATTCAACAAGCCGCTCCTGACCACAGCCCAGTAAGTCTTATCCATCTGATGTGGCATACAGAATTTCTTTCGAAGGAGTTTAAGGGAGGAGGATGGACATACGAATAGGAGACACCATTTTAAGTATCATAAAATGTCAAGCACAAGCAATGTTAGGACTAGAAGTGCTTTAAAGATGTCACTCCTCCTAGCCGGGTATGGTGGCACTTACCATACCTCAGCACTCTGCTAAGTAAGGTGGGAAGATCATAAGTACAAGCCCCGCCTGGAAAACAATATAAGACCCTAGCTCAAAATCTTAAAAACTCTGGGGATAAAGTTCAGGGAAAGGCAAGTTTAGTAAATGTTCTGTGTGAGTGAAATTATCAATATTCTCCAAGAGTTGAAACAGTGTTCTCTGTGTGTCTCTGCCATTCAGCTTACCTCATCATCACCCTGGTCCTTAGTTACTTTTTGTGGATGTGGCCCAGCTGTTACCGAGCAGAGTGAGTGGGTCAGTGCTGCCACCTATGTGTGGTCTGCAAATTCAGCTTTACATGTGGAAACTACAAGTGTTGGGCTGACATGTGTTCACCAAAATAACTAAAAAGGGTGTTATCCCAATTCTCATTGGATGATAGCTGCCACTTGTTTTTTTATGTTTACATTTGATTTAAACATACAAAACTGATACTTTGACAAAGTGGAAAACCCAAGCAGGTGGCCCCTGCCTAGTGTACACCTGTAACACTCCAGTCACCCACCCCAGCATGAGTGAGAACATTCGCAGTGCTTTGCTGGGTATTCTCTGCTATTGCTCTTAATGTCTGTTTTCTTTCCTTGAATTCTTTATTACCTTATCAACACATTAAGGGATATAAGCACCTCCAGTTCCTGACATTCTTAATGTCTTGAAAAGCAGATGTTCCTTGGAACATTCTTTTCAGGTTCTGAAGTGGGACCCCAAAGTCCCATAATTGGGTCCTCAAGACACATCCCCTTTTCTCACAGCAGCCCAACTTCTCTGTACCCAGCCTGACAGAACCCCTAAACCCACTCAGGATGCCACGAGAAAGGACTCAGCTAACAGCATTTTAGTCTCAGTATCAAGAAAGTGTACTTAATTTTTATAATTCACATTTTCCTTCTTTCATAAAGAACATCTAGTTTTAATCCTTTCACTTAGTAATGACTTCTTCAGAATATTATACGTTATTTCTGCAAGAAATAACAAGCGAAGTACCATGAGTGAAATGTCAACCCAAAGCCTCTTTGCATCACTGTGAAGCTAAGAGTCCTTATGCCCATGTCCCTAGAATAATTTAGGAAAGATCTATTTTTTGCTGAGGTAGTACCCACAAATAAGTGAAAATGAAAATGGATCTACGAAACATGGTATCCCCGCCATGCCACCCAGAGAAACGTGGCCTATGGCTCATTTTCAAGTTCCAAAGAACAGATTTTCCAAACACAGGAAACATTTCACCCCAATCACATAAAACTTGTACAGTACAGAGACCATGATATGTTGAGAATCAAAGATGAAGCCTGGCGAGTGCTTGCCCAAGCAGCTGACAGGTCATGCAGAATAATAGCATGAATGCTCAAATGGGACTCATCTTAGGTCACTGTGTGCATAGAAGAAGCATGGCCAGTGCTACAAGGGTGGCAGGTCACAGCAGTGTGCCAATAATCATGGGAGGGGGGAGGCAGCTATGTGAAATTGAATCATCTCTATTTTTTGTGCATGTCTGATACATTACAATAAAACATGGGAAAACACAGACACACAAATGCACCTTAGGTAGGGTACCATGGGCTCGTGAAGGCCTCACAGGCCCTTGGGGATGGCCAAGGCAGGAACCATACCAAGGCTCTGCAGGGTAGTGTGGCAGCAAATCGCTGAGGAGGTGAGAAGCCGGGGTGGCAACTCTATACCTAGAGACAGGGCCTTATGAGTTCCTCTTCCTGCCCCCTCTAGGACAGTACTTACCCCAAGGGGCACACGGCCGAGGTGTACCAGGAGAAAAGGTACTGGCAGTCAGCGGTCTCATGACTGAACTCCGGTATCCCTTCCTTCACCAGAGGGTCACAGTGGAAGAAGATGGTGGAAGAGACGGACTTTGTCTTATCTTTCCCACACTTGGAGGAAGAGGCAAACACGACATCCAGATCGCCATCTGTCAAGCAGGAAGGGGCACACACATACCCATGGCACCATTACCACCAACCTCCCAGTCACAGATCTAACCAACAGACTTAAAGTCAGATGTAATAATACATAGTACAATGTTCCATGCACACTTTCATAGTTTAAACAAGGTCATTTAAAGACATTCTCGGAGCTCCTACCCTGAGTAACCACACCTTATGAAAGAAGACTGACCTCTGACCTCAGCTCACAACATGGCAGGGAGTGGGGCTGGCCAGGTGGCAGCAGCCCAGTAGAGACTGAAACCAACTACACAGATAACCCACCAATCAACTGTGCCTGCACAATGCGCCTCAGCAAAACTTCTAGACACCAAACTCAGCAGCATCCTGGCTGCAATACTCCACATATGAAACCTTACATTGCTGTGGGGTAACAGTTTGGTTCCATCAGGAAGAGGCCAGCAGAAGCTCTGCATCTTACTCCTTCTTGGACCCTGCCTCCCTCTGTGCTTTATGATGGACTGCAATCCACACCCTTGTGCCGCCACCATAAACTCAAATATGGCAGCTTCCAGTGAGACCTGCGAGTGCTTCCATCATGTTACTAAACAGGAAGGTGGCTTTGGAGCTTGTCATTGGTGTCAGAAGTGAAAGGCTCCCATGTGCACTCAGCTCCCCCCAACTCTGTGGCTGGCTCACACTCTCCGTGAGCAAAGGCAATCAATGGGGGCTAGACGTGTCCACAGGAACCCAGGGCACAGGTGGGGTACAATGGGCTCAGGAAGGGCCCCATGGGCCCAAGGAGATGGCCAAGCCAGAAACTGCACCAAGGTTCTATCAGAGCAGTGTGGAAGCAAGGAGACAAGGAGCCAGGTGGCAACTCCACACCTAGAGATAGGGCCCCATGGGTTCCTCCTCCTGTCCTCTGGAACAAACAAACACACAAATGATGACAAAAGCTACTTTTTGGCGCTGGTGAATGAAGAAAGTAGGTTTAAAACAGAAAGGTACACATGTGCAGACACATACACCATTGTGCTACATACAGGTGTCCTGAAAGCTGGAGGAGCAAAAGGTGGGCCAAATGTAGTTTTGTGGAGGCAAAAGTGAAAGTTTTATTTATAACCAGTATGGTGCTGCAGAACCTGAACACTCCTGTACACTCAAAGAACACAGAAAACACATGTGCACAAAAACATGCTTCCTCAGGTGAGGAGATGGACAGCCACGGCACACCAGCAAAGGTGACCCACATCAAGCCAGGTTCCAGAAGGACTTTGCAAGCTATAAACACCATGATGGCTAGAGGCATGCCTGCTGCGGGAGGAACAGTCAGTAGAACTGGGTGCAGCTTGTCAAATATATTCAACTCTCTGGAAAAAGAGTTTGGTCTTTCTTCTGTGTATGCTAAAGACTCTGTAAGCAAACCTTTAGCATGACCCACTCTCACCCCAGCAGCCTTGGTGTGGTGGGGGTGCAAGAAGACAGGACAGCCAGAGGCCAAACAAGAGCTACTTGTGATGTATGGATTTTACCCCAAGTTACTAGATGTCACTGAAGTGAGAGGAAAGCAACAGAGCAGGGAAACATGGGTAGTTTAGTTTTTCTGTGAAGTGGAACTGGGAGAATGAATGAGCTGAGCAAAATTCCCACTGCCTGCCAGGACCAAGGCCAAATAAGCATTTCTTCACTTCTGTCCAAGGCCATGGTACTCATGATGCCCAGTGCCCAGTGCCCAGTGCCAGCCAAGGCCAGGATCAGGCCCATCCCCTGGTGTTGCTCCATTAGGCTTGTCTAGGCCTGTTGCTCCTGGCACCCAGGTTCCCAAGCCCCAAGCATGCACTTCCTCCCAGACTGCATTCTCTTCTCCCCACAGTGGATTCTCAGCTGCCTTTCCTATCAGAAAGGCTGGAGTTCTCAACATACCCTTAAAAATTTAACACAGCCACACAGTTCAAAAATCACATTATGAAAAACACAGGGAAAGAGATGTTTGACAAGCACAAGGGCAGAAAGATTCTCTCATGACTAATAAGGGCAATGATGACTCCTTCCTTAGAGCCCCTACCAAACCTCCTCACGCTCACCTCTCACGTGTGGGACAGCAGCAAGTATCAGCCTGCACCTTGCATCTTTTTGGTGATTATGAAATCTCTTGCCCTTTTCTAATGCTACTTTATGTTTCAAAATAAAGATGCATCAGGCCTAAAACCCAAGCTTGGCAGTTCTGCCTGTCTCTGCCCAGTAAGCAGCCCAGGTACACAGCTGCAGTACTGGTCATGTGCTCACCAAGACATGATTCACCTGCTGTCAGAAGCGTGGGTCTTAACAGACTGGTTCTGCTTCACAGAGTACATCTCAGACTAATTTACAGCAGGAATCTTGTTTGAAAAGTGTGGCCAGTTTGCTGATGGAAATGTGAAAGCCCTTTCTCTGAGGGAGTTAAGTGAGGAGGGCTGATGAGGATAGTGAGTTACCCTGGACATAGTACTTGGTCCTCTCCGAGGTGCCCACTTTCCTGATGAAGTGCTCATCATTCAGCTTCCTCTGGCAAATGTTGGCTCCGAAGCAGGCAGGGATGGAAGAACTGGTGATAGAGGACAGCTGGATTTCATACATGTAGCTGTCCCCATTGGTTCTCATATCCCCAGAAGCACTGAAGAGCCTGCGAGGCAAAAGAACAAGTATAGCTCCTCAGATCAAGCTTGAATAGAACCACCTCACCCCAAGTTCTTAAGGGACTGTGGAGTCCTGGGGCTTTTTCTCCCCTGCACTGTGAAGCTAGGGCTGTGCTTCCATGACACCAAAGACTCTAGGGCACCAGCTTTTGCCTCAGTTGGTCTACTGTACCACTAGCTCCATATTCTGTTGTGAAAGCGTCTTTCTCTAAGGTTATGATCCCACAACTGGGAATTCCAGAGGTGTCCTGCCCAACCCTATTTCCAGAGGGCTTTGGTTTCTACCCAGCATTCATCAGGAGGCAGGGACAGGGGGCTTATTTTGACACAAGACTTCACCATCTTTGGTCTTAAATATTAGTAGCTAAGTAATGCTTTTCTTTGGTTTAAGCAAAATATGACTATTCCAGCAACAGTAACTAAAACACACAAACTATTTTTGTAATGGAGCTCTCACTAAGGAAAGACTAGAATTATTGGCTTATTTTTTAGTATTATTCATGCTCACCGGAAAAAGTTTCACTTACTTAAAATAAATATCCCCAAGGCTGAAGCTCTTGCCGTTCATGGGGTTGGTAAGGGTTCCATTCACCATTTGTACCTCTTGAGGCCTCACGGCACACGCAGCCCGAGAGTCCCAGTGGAAGTAGTAGGTGCAGCTGTCGATGTCAAACCTGAAAAGCAGATGCACAGACAGGTCACCTCCCAGCTGGGTGCGAAAAGACCACAATACAGACTCTGGCCAGAACCCAGAAAGAGCTCACTAGCCCTAGAAAGGCCAAGCTAGTGGGCTTTTCAAGGTCTCCCTGACAGTCCCCCACTGCACAGTACAGACAATGCCAGGGAAGGAGGGAAATTTCATTCACCTTGTTCTAGCACTGTGAAAGAAGATCACAGTACAACTGGTCAGTAATGTAAAACAAGGAGGCAAGCACTGGATATGTTTTAAAATCCAGAAAATGTGCAACACTGCAAGCTTTAAATACTTGTTTATCAATTTGCCAATTTCTGCTTTTAAAAGCTTCTTAGATTGGAGGAGTCCTCAGGCAATTTCTGAGTCTCCTCTTTTCTAAGTTCAGCTTCTAAAAGGAATCTGTTCCCAAACAGTTCAGATGCCCTACCCTCTGCTGGCCAACCTCCCTGCTAGCACCATAAAACTCTCCCTAGAGAATTTAAACTTAACCCAAGAGCCTCTCTGCTGCAGATCCCACCTGCTTGGCTCTACGATACTGAGAAGATAGAACCCAGCTCGTGCTGTCAACCAATGTGCTCAATGCTAAACCCAGTTCAGGACCTTATTGTCTAAGGCAAGCAAGGTTGAAGAAGTTGCCACCAGCCTATTACTGGCAGGACTCTACACCCTACCCAGGGACTTCCTTCTGTGGCTCCCAGACCTGAGCCCTTGCCTACGGTGACACCCCAAGTAGCCTCTCCCCAGGTTGCACCTTCCCTGCCCCTATGGGACCAAGCGGCCTTGCAGCACTTCAGAGCATCCTACACAACTCCACTCAGCCCATCCCTCACCTCTTGAATGCAGGCTTGCCCACAGTCTTTGCACAGGTCAGCTCTATAACAGAGGACGCAGTCTTATTCTCACCACAGGGATACCCTTTTGAGTAAGTCACGATAACTTTGTCATCTGAAACACAAAAATGATTAAGTTGAAGTTATTTTTAGTGTGTGATAAAAGACTTGAGGTCAGAAGGCAAAGTCAACTTGAAGAGGCAGGACAAAAATGTTTTCCATCGAGCTGTTCTCATCACCACCATGTGTAATGACAGCCACTATCCTGCACCATTGCTGCCAGTCACAACAAACCTGGGCTCAAACCTGAACCTTCCTGCTGACAAGATTCGTGGCTAGAGGATGCTGACTTTCTACATCTCCACTGCCTTACCCCAAGTGCGTGGGCTAAGGAGTCACAGGGGTGCAGAGGAGAAGGCTGCAGGAATGCAGAGACAGGACCTCAATAATGGCAACAGTCAGCACATGCTTTAAGTTGCAAGTATCCAAGGGGCAGCATAGTAACTGGACACCAATTCTCATGTCCCTACTGAGAGCCTGCCAGTGGCTGTTCTGGTTACTGAATGTTGAGGACAGCTGGAGCCAGCCTCACTCAACAGACAGATGATAGCTAAGCCACTCACGGCACACCGAGTACTGCCTTTGAGGCAGCAGCATATGGAGGAAGCATGGGGACAGAACTAGTTTCCCACATGTCCCCACAGAATACAGGCCAGGGAAGGAAGGACTGTTGGACAACAGGATGGAAGGTGACTCCAAGCTCTCAAGCCTGCCCCGAATTCAAAACTATTCCTCTTTAATGTTTTAAATATGGTGTTTCTGTGTTAAATTTTGGAAAAAAATTACCACTGTTTTAAGCAAACCTATCTAAACTCCCAGGCAATAGAATCAAATGCTCACAGATCTTAGTATTACAGATAGCTCATACCGTATGAGGAAGGCACACACACTTCCACTGCCTCTGTGAGAAGCCCATCTTGTCTGCCCCTGGAGTTGAGATTGCTGTGGTACAAGTGTGCACTCCAGAATTCATGACTGGAAGTTTAACCCCCAACATCGAAGAGGTGATCAGGTCACAAAGAATGTGTCCTCATGAATACCTAATACCATTATCAGAGAAGGTTCCTGATAAAGAACAAGTTTAGTTCTTTTTCCTTTATCTCATCTTCTTTCTGTCCTTCACCATGGGCTGACAGTAAAAAGACCCTCATCTGATACCAGCCCCTCAATCCTAGACTTCCCAGTTTCCAGAACTGTGAGAAATAAAACACAAGACGCACTGGCAGAACACTGGCACAGGGGCGGTAGTGATGTGTGCTGACATGACAAGTGCCATCCCTTCCGATCTGGGTGATGAGGTCAGCAGAGTGTGAAGGAGTGACTAGAAATGTCCCATTATTGGGCAGAAAACACTGAAAACAACACTAGCAAGAGCTCAGAAGAGAAGCAACATAAGCCACACACATAACTGCTTAGAAACTGACCACTCAAAGCGGTTGCAAACAGGATACTGATAGACGTAGTCAACAAACGCCTTTTTTTTTTTTTTTTTTGATAAGTCTTAAATAGATATAAGGAATGGAATGCTATACTGGCAATGACAGTAAATGCCACTTTTCTTAAAACAACATGGTTGATCTGTGTCTGAATCCTAGGGCTTCATGGAAGGCAAACTGACCCTCAGAGCAACAGGCCAGGATAAATGACAGAAGAGACATCTAAACTACCACATGTTTAGGGAGCTGTGGGGCTTCCTTTGGCTGCTTACACCGAAATGAGAGAAGACAGAAACGATTTAAAGACAGAACTTATAATTAAAAGGGAAGCACAAAGTAAAACTTCTGACCACTTCCAGAATAAAATGGTGCATTTAGGAAAAAATACTGTATTCAAGTGGCCTTTGCTATAGAGATCACCAGGCTGGGTGAGAGCCAGGTGCTATTTATCAGGACAACAGTGGAATGACAAGGCATTCAGAGATGCAGGCAGGCCAGACATGGAGAGAAAGGTGTAGAAGGCGCACCTTCGAAGGTTAAGCATTCACTACCTGCTGCCCTCATGCTAGAAAAGTGCTCTCTGCTGCCCTGCACTGGCTCAGGGGGCCCAGGTGTACAAGCAGTGGCCTGGCAGCATCTCCGCGGTGCTGACTTTGAACATACCCAGAGTGCACAAGTTGTGCAGCTTCCACCGAGACCTTGAAGGTCATGTACCATGGCATGGGGGCCCAGCAGATACACGCTACAGGTTTGGGGCCACTTCAAAGTTCCTCCCACCAGGCCAACTCCTATGCACATGAAGGGGTAAGCAGTCTCCAGGACCACAGAACTGTGGAGCTACCAATAAGCCTGGAGAGCTGCAGTATCCAGCAGTGAACTGCTGTGGAGGAATGGGTCTGTCTGAGTCCCTGTGATCCCAGAATCTCTTTCAGTGTGCCCCAACAGTGGCAAATGGAGTGAAAGATTTCTGTGGAGTCTTAATGTCCACTGAGGGAAAACCTAAACAAACCCTTTAGCTTTATGTACTTTTCATTGACTTCAGAGATCACAACTTTTAGTCCAGCCTGAGAACTTAGAAGATCTTGCCTCAAAATAAGTAAGGGGCTGAAGATGCAGCTTCACGCAAAGGTTCTGGATTCAGTCCCTAGTGTATTCTGGGAAGCAGAGGACTCGCACTAATCTTGGAGGTCACACAGTGGAGCAATATATTCTGAGTCTTCCATTAGTTGGGCTGTAGGTGACACCTCTGACTAAAGCTGCTTAGTAAGTTAAACCTGCAGCCTTCTACTCTCTGTCTCCAGGGAAAGATGCCTTCTGTACTGTAATGGTTAATGGTCAGGTTAGCTATTCCCAGTAAAAGAAACTAAAAAGATACACATCCTAAAACTTACTGATCAATAACTTCTCTCTAGATTTACAGAACATCTGATGGTCTCCAGCTAACATCAAAGCATGGGCCAAGGATGTGTTAATCTTGTTTATTTGAAGGTAATATAATGTTTAACCTGCAGGAACCTGTTTATCTAAGATAACTATTTGGGACTGATCTCAAGGGTATTCTAACAGAAAACAATACAGCCCCAGGTGACGAAGACCCTGCACAGCACGTACCTTCATGCCCACTGCCCTGCTCCCCCAGCTCCATCAAGGTTCTTTGTGCTCCTAGCATACCAATAGAGCCTTTGTCGGCAGTAACTTCTGCCATTTTGGTTACTGGCTTTCCAAATACATGTATTTTCTTTCCTTGACCCAACAAGATGAAGCCACTGGCTTTTTCAAGCAGTAGGCAGAGCCAAAATTACAGTAAGATTTAACATTGTCTGCGATTTTGGGCTTACTTGAAACTAATTACCCTTTTACTCTTGCCTAGTTCTCTTGTTTGGTATGGGAAGGTCTACCTCATGCCTGTCCTGCTATTATATTTTGAAAACGTGAACTTCTTGTGATTTGACAGACTTGTAGCTAGGGGATAGGGGGCTGCCTCAGGATAAAGCATGCTTTCAGTTCACCCCTATCTGATTTAGATGAGACTGTGGACATCAGGCTTTTGAGTTGATGCTGGAACATCCTTTAGACAAAATACATGTATTTTACATGGAAAAGGACATATATTTGGGGAAAATGCTATGATACTAACATGTCCCCCAAAGATAATGTGTTAGAAACTTAATTCCCAAAGCAACAGTACCTGGGGAGCAGGGCTTTCAAAAAGCCCCTCCCTTTCTTACCCACCACTACTTCTTCTGTATCGCCTCTGCTTCCACTACCAACCTCCAGAATTTAAAGTTTTGTTTTGTTGTGTGTGCGTGTGTGTGTGCGTGTGCGTATGCGTATGCGTGTGTGTGTGGCAGTACTAGACAATCAAACCCAGAACCTCACTTATAATAGGTAAGCACTCTACCACTGAGCTACACCCAACTCAAAGGGTTTGATTTTTATCAAAGGTTATACAGGCCTAGCGTGGTGGTACATGCCTGTAATTCCAGCACTTGGGGAGGCTGAGGAAAGAATATTGCTGTGGGTTTGAGGCCACGCTGTGCTGCATAAGTGAGTTCAAGGCCAGCCTGCACTATGTACCAAACCCTGTATCACACACACACACACACACACACACACGTGTATCCACACATAAGATTACAGAAGTTTCCTTAGAATTTCCTTCCTCCTCTTTGACATGTAGAGCTGACTTACATCATCCTATGGTTTATTTAATCACCAAACATGGAACATCCCATTTTAGCTTCATGTGCAACAAGGAATGCTTTTTAAATTCCTCTAAAACATTCAAGCCATTCTCTACTAAGAAACCACTATCTTTCTCCTTCAAATAATGAAAAACACCACCTTTCACTCAACAACAATTCCAAGATGAACTTTCTAATGAAAGTACTAAAAAGCATCATTATTTTCCAAATTGTTAAGAAAACATAATCCGGGGGCTGGGGATTTAGCTCAGCGGCATAAGCTCCTGCCTTGCAAGCAGGCAGTCATGAGTTCGATACCCAGTACCGATAAAAAGGAAAAAGACCAAAAAAAAAAAAAAAAACCCTGAATTACCTTTATCAAGACCTCATAAACCTACCTGGCTCTCCTAAACAGACATGTGCATAGACATATCGATTCAGATGCTTTGTCTACAGCAGAACATGAGCTTCAGAGGAGCTCTAACTCAGACTGAAACCTGTCATCTCAGATGACACAAAATGGCATTTATTTTCAGGAACTATCAAAATGCCTGAGTCACCAACAGTAAAACCTGGAGGTTCCCAAACAAACATATATATTTGGTCCATCACAGCAAGGATGGCTCACCTTCCCATCTGTGCCCAGTGCCTAGAGCCAAGCATGACAGTGATTTACAACCTTACCTAAGACATCCAGCTTTTGCGTGTGAACCAGTCCCAAGACCTGCACTTGGCCAGATGCGCTCTTTTTGCAAATGCTGGCTCTTTCGGAGCAGTCAAGGGGCCCTTTGTATACTCTCTGACACAGATTTATGAAGTACCTGTAGAAAAACATACAGGGAGTGGGGAGGAATGTTAAGTCTCATTCCTGGCCTGACACATGTAGGACAGCCAAGTATTCACTCTGTGGCCAAATGCAGCCCTGGAGCAGTTTTTTAAGAGAAAAGGCCACAGAGCTGGTCAGCACTGATGAAGGGAGCCAATTACGTAGGAACATTGGCAGAACTCCCACCTCACACAGAGCCTATGTAATGTGGGTCAGGAAAACGACTGTGGAGAAGGGAGAAGCAGCTCACACACTGGCACGTGGCTTGTTGCACTTATGGCCACTTAAGTCCTTCTCTTCACATGGTACACTCTGCAGAGAGGCCCTGTGGAACTGAGGGTACCTGACAATATGGGCACTCTATACATGGACCACTTAGGACAACCAAGTCAGCAAATGCAACTAAAAGGTTTGTGACAAAGATCTGAGAAAGTCCTCATACAACCCAGAAACCTGAGCAAGACAGAAACTGTCACAATGCAAACCAAGCCTAGCCCAGTCCAGCCTGGCCAGTTTCTCTGGGCTCTGGAGGCTCAGTCTCTACTCTTTAGAGCTCCTCTGCCTGCCAGAGCTCCTTACTTTGGAGTGACCCTGAGTAATAATTTCAGCTGATTCTCAAGAGCACAACCACACTCAAGATCAGCACAAGCCCTACATGCATGTGGAATTTCCGTTATTTGTCAATTGGAACAAACCACGTAGAGTCAAATACTGCCAAAAAACCTCAGTCCCTGCCCACCTCCCACAATGCAGCACAGCTGGCCAGTGGGCAGGGTACTCACGAGGCTCCTTCGTGCATGAAAACCCAAGACCCAGTGAGAGACGACAGTAGCCGCAGGTCATAGGTTTTATGGTTCTGGATGAATTTGCACTCCATCTTCTCTGGGGGGCAAACGACTTTTGTTCTCCACTCAAACGCCACTTCGCACCCACGAACTTCACTAAAGACCTCTGGTCTTCCGATAGTCACATCTTCATCGCACTTAAATGTGATGGTAGATGTCCGGTGGCTGTTACCTGGGGAACAGCAGGCATGCAAACAGTGAGACCCAGCCTGTGCCAAGCACCCACCTCATCACCTTCCACCCTGCCACAGCTGGCACTCATGTGTGTCAAGTATCTGGCTATTCCTCTCGAACTGCCCTGCCTAGGGTTGGTTTGTTCCATTCACAGAGGGTCTCAGTCCTAAACAGATTCTGTTCCCTCAGGCCCCATGGCAGGAGCACGGTTCCTCATAGAGCAATACTTAGCGTCTTATTAGATACTGATAATAACACAATTTAAAACAATGGCAGTAAAACCTGTAACTACCTAGAAATTTTAATGTCATCTGATGGACCAAAGTCACATTCTCTTAAAACAAGCCTTAAAACTACAGTCCTCTGTAAATTTAACATCTCTGTTTCTAACGTGTCCCACTTGTTCCTGATCATTTGAGGAGTTTTCATGTATTTGTCCTCTCACTCTCCCTGGGAATTCGCAACATACTAGAAGGAGCTTCTTATGAGAGCACTGTGTATGCACAGCAGGATCAAGGTAAGTCTGGCTGAACATGAAAGCCCCAGCCGGCTGCTCCCATGCCTGCCTCACGTAGAAAGTCAATGGCTAAGTCATTGTTTTCCTAAATTCTTCCATAGCCACCCCAAAGACTACAACAGGCAGCACTTCTGCAGAGTCAAAAATCTGAACCACCAAGGCTGAAAACTGGTATGTAGACATAATTCTTTCTATCTAGTGGCCACTCAGAGCCACATCTCAACACGGCTCTACTTCAGCTGGCACATACAACTGTCTGATGATTCCAGGGGACAAAGAGTTATGCAGCAGAATCATGCCTTAGTAACCTGATAACCCTAATGGTCTCAGTATGAACAGAGCCACGAGCCAGAGCACTAGGCCACAGGGTTCCCCACTCACTCTGCCTGCAGAATCCCCACTCATGGTCTCTGTCGTAGTTTGCAGTCTTGCTACACCAGAGCTTCGTCCTTCCCTCCAGGACACAATCATCGTAGCTCCTCCCATTGAATATGAAGGGGAAGACACAGGGGTCACCTACTTCTGTTTCTGCAATGCAAGAAGAATACCTGGATGATCCAGATGCAGTAATTACTTCAGCTGTGTCTCAGTAGGACACCCAACAAGGGGTCTCTAAGACTAACGCTCCCCACTCTAGACTACCTGTGTGACAACCACAATACACCTGCAAAGACTCAGAAGAACACCTGGGAGGACAAAATGTTCAAAGTCTGAACATTCAAGCCCAAGAAACAAAGGATGAATTAGTCACCTTCAAATGCAAGGCTGCAGCCCTCATAGGATTTTAAACTGTACTCCTAGGAAATTTTTTTTTCCTGCTGCTAAATCTAGGAATTTAACATGTAACATGCAAAGATTTACCTGGAGGGCAAATATCACCATTAACATAGCTCAAAATGACCGCTTCATCCTCGTGCCTATAATCCAGCTGCATCGACGCCAGCCGTCCAAAGGACACTCCTTTGCTCCCCGAGAGCAGACAGACGCCACCATCCTTGCAGCCCCCTTGGTCCAGGCCAGCTGCAGCGGTGCACACCCCCACACTGTATGTGTGTGAGTCTCGAGTTACCTGTACAGACACACTCTGGCTGTGAACAGAGCAGTGGTACCAGGGACTCCAGAGAAACACGGTGGTGCAGTCTGTCAGGGCAGAGGGCGCTCCTGCCTTCTGCCCAAGCCCAGAGTCATTTCCACAAAGAATCACCCTGCTAGACCTCTGGGCACCTTTCTCCAGCAACTAGAAAATGTTACAATTCTCTCTGCGAGGCCAGCTGCCTGCCTTTCTCCTATTGCTCATTTCCTTCCTACAGCCTGTGCTTCCTTACCCAGCTAGTAGGGTATTGCGGATGCTAAGCCCATGAGCTGAGCAGACACTCCAGTGACACGTGTACTTGTTCTCGGCACCTGCTTTGCCCTTCCTTGGTGTGATCACAACTGCAGCACACTTGCAGGAGGCCCTACCCAGGGCAGAGGGCTTTGTCCCAGCAGACAGACTGTCGGTCCCTGAGCACAGAATTCTGAGTTCTCTAGGGCCAAATGCTGGGGCGCTGGGGCCTGATCCATGCACCAGATGACTTGGCAGCATCTAGACTGTCAGAAGTCCAGAGGTTTGGTCATCAGTGACCGTGATACCTCAAGGACATGGCTAACAGTCACACACAGGCTGGAGCTGCAACACAACACTAAATCACACACCAGGAGCTTCTCCAACCAGGTGCATCTCCTGGTTCCCTCCTTCCATCACGTCTGTGGCTGACAGCTACATGACTTATCTTAAAGCCAGGCTGGAGACTAAGGAATTTCCTGTGGACACTGCTGGCCACAGCAGATCCAGTCCTTCCCTGTGTGTGACCAAGCTGCCTGCTGCTGTCGTGAGACAGAGTCCCACTGCCTGCCCCTTGAGTCATGGGATCCTCACAAAGCCCTAAGGATAGAAGCTCTGTTGTGAACCATGGCAGAATGTTGGTGGTATAATATCAGAAACCTTCCTGTACACTGACCCTGAAGCCCAATGTGAGAACCACTCCTGTAGGCATTGTCAGGATGACCACCCACCCTCAAGACAGGCCCAGATTGCACCAGCAAAGGTGCTGTTATTAGGTGCTACTCAGGTGCTGGAAAGGGGGCGTGTGTTACCTTAAAAGGGCCCTTGGAAAGGCTGGTCAGGTTGAAGCTGTAGAGTAGCTGCTCATCTGTCAGAGCACAGCCCTCCATCTTCACCTCATCAGGACAGACAACTGGAGTCTGCCACTCAAACACAAAGTCGCACCCAGTGGTCCTGATCAGCTTCGGGGTTCCCTAGAGTTACAAAGAGCAAGGGTCGTAAAAACCAAAGGCACATACACACCACAGCCACACAACACACTCCCAGCCTGCAAGCACCAGAGACAAGTATGAAGGCTACATGCCACACCCTGGATAATGAGGCTCTGACCATGGCCACAGGGACCTTCAGAGACCCTGTACCCCACAGCAGGTGCTCTCCAGAGGAAGAAACCTTAAATAAATAAAACTAGCTCTCCTCAGGGCCGCTGATTGCTCCCTCTGTAACTCCCCAAGTTCATGCTGCCATCCTCTATTCAAAAGCACAGATGAGAGCAGCCAGATGTTTTGTGCTACAGGGTCATGGGAAAAAACCGGTCTTTAAGTGTCACCAGACACATGTTGAGGGTGATGCCTGCAACAGCAGAGGACAGCAAGTGCATCTTTGCACTCACAACTAAGGTCTCCACTACACCTAGACACTGAGGCCACTTATAAGGGAAGGCAAGATGTGACATGGCCAGATGTTCCATAAGCCAAATGCTGTTCCATTTATTTATACCTCCCTCATTCAAGAGCAACAAGAATGCCTAAGGGCACCAGTAGGAATTCAATTTGGTTTTTTGTTGTCATTTTGTTCTTTGTGGTACTGAGGATTTAACTCAGGGTTTTGGTACTGACATCCCCAGTCATGGATTTTATGTTTTGTTTTTTTGTGTGTTTGTTTTTGTTTTATTTCTCTGAGACAAGGTCTCAGTACATAGGCCAGGCTGGCCTCAAACTCATGGTGATCCTCCTGACTCAGTCTTCTAAGTGTTGGGATTCCAGGCATTCATTACAACTGGTTCCCAGCTCATTATGTAATTTTTTCTTTTGAGACAGGCTCTAAGTAGCTAAGTTAGCCAAGCTGGGTTTAAACTCGTAATCCTCTTGTCTCTGCCTGCAAGAGTGCTGGGATTCCATTTGTGGAGCTGCAGCCGAGGACAGTCACACTGCCTGGTTATGAAGTGACGCAGTATTCTTTATGAGAAGGTGGAGGAGTAACAGAATCCAGAAAGCCACGTGCAAGGATGAAGTGCTGCTGAGATGTTTAGCTTTTTGGAGGCCAGCTCCATGCTACTTGCAGGGTACAGGACCTCTCCCACAGGCATGGTCTCAGGGAGACACCGGGACTGCCCAGTCACAGCATGTCTCCTTCAATAATGCAGGACTGCGACAGGCCAAACGCCCTGAGGTGCCGTGGGTGGGCCTCTGTGGAGTGGTCTGAGGCAGCAATGGTCTGCCTTCTCCCTTCTCAGTGATTGCACAGTAGTATCCTCCTGTCAAACAGCTGCCAATTTACTTCCTGGCTCTCCTGGAACTTGCATATCTAGCAGTCACAGCGACTCTTTCCTTTATAAAGTTGCTCCAGGCCAAGAAATCAGGGTTATCTTTAGTGAACTAAGACACTAACAGGCCACAACCTGTCACCTGAACTTTCTCCTATAGGCCTGATGAACGTCAGAGTTATATCTAGAATTGTGAGAGGCAATCTGAGATATTATTCCTATGACATGATATATACATCCCCAGACATTGTAATCAAGACACAATACTTCTGCCACAAAGGCTGGCGTGGCGGCATATGACTGTAATCCCAGGACTCAGGAGACTGAGGAATGAGGATTGCTGCAAGTTTGAGGTCAGCCTGGGCTACAAAATGAGTTCAAGGCCAGCCTGAACTACAGAGCAAGACTCCGTCAAAAAGGACCCCCCCCCCCAAAAAAAATCTGCAGCAGGATGTACAAATAGTCATGTTAAGTGAGATAAGTAAGAGACCCTAACTAGCCTCCAACAGGTATTTACAGCCTAATGACAGCAGAAGCACAGACAAGGGGCTGTGCACTGTGCAGAGCCATCGATGGCCACTGTGAAGCAGGGCCCCAACCCCCACTTTAGCTCCTGTTCACAGCGTTTGGGAGGGAATCAAGAGAACACACAAACTGGCTCTCATATAATAAAAGCTGGCTTTTCTTCTAATGTGCAGAAAATAGAAGCTAGTACCTCCTTATTCGTAACATGTACTACCTTGCAGTAGCTATACTGACTCTAGATATTGCTTGTTCTTTCCTGGCTTCTGAAATTAGGCTAGGTTGTGAAGGATGGTAGCTACCCAAGTCTTGACTTCTCAGTAAGAAGAAAATCACTAGTGATTTTCCCAATAAGAAGAAAATCAGAGATAAAAGCTATGACCCTTTAATATAGCAGCAGTACTCTACTTAATGTCACTCAAGCCTCTCTGTGCTGTTAACTCGAGGCGAACTTACTCATTCCTCAACCGTTGGCTGTGAATTTTTCAGATGTGCCAATAGAGGTACATATTACTCAAGGGAGGAATTTGAAGACTGCTATATGGCTATCCAGCCTGCGGTGTTAAGTCAAAATTGCAACAGGCAGACCACTCACCATGCTGACACCTCTTTTGCAGTGGAACGTGATAAGCGAGGTATAGTTGAACTGCTTGTCTGCTAAGCAAGGTGTTCTGCTTTCAAGAGTCAGGTAAACTTCAGTTCCTCCTGCACTGAGCCTTGGAGGGCCTGTGACCCGGCCAATATCCTACACAAAAAACAAAGCAAGTAACACTTCAGGAAATTTTTCCCAACGTTTGTAGAATAAGAGCTGGAACTGAATCATTAGCTCTGATAACAAGTAGCATCTAAAAAAGTTGAGAGAATCCCAACTCAAATGGATATTTAGACACTGTGATTCTACAAAGGAATTCCATATTCAATTACAACAGATTCTAAGCAACAGGACTGTCTCTCTCCAATCATGTCCAGGATATACCACTAGGCCTCCTGACTTGGGACAAAGGAGTCAGACAATGTTCCACATTCACAGTACCCAATACTGATTTGTCTCCTCCCTGCCCACACTGCCCAAGGACTCCCAGGCAGTTTGGCAGTACCCGCCGGGTGTGTCTTTGGAGGAAGAGACAGGCTCACTCACTACTTTTTACTGCTTACCCCAAGTTGCTTCTGACACACAGCACGTGCTATTTTTCTGAGTAAATGTGTGAAACAAAGGAGAATGGTCTAGGAAATGGTGTGTGTGTGTGTGTATGCAATTGTGTGGGTGTGAGTGTACACAACTATATGTACACACACTAATGCTACTCCCCTGTGATTTTGTACACAGCTGCCACATTCTTCATTCATTACTCCGCAGCTTGCTCAGACCACATGCCCTAAAATACCTACCCCATGTAGGGGTTTTAAAAATCCAAAGACGGGTCGCCAAGCGGGAGAATTCAGTAAACCAGACCTCTCAGAAAGACACACAAAGACCCCTCATCTCCCCTGTCAAGATGTGACTAAAGTTTTTTCTACTAAGATTTGGTTTAGCCAGACCCTCATTTCTCTCACAGCTATAGTTCTATTAAATTCCTATTAAGTCCATTTTCCCTATCAATTCCCAATACTTTTCACCAAAGCTACATATAATGTCCATCTTTGAAAACAACATATATAAGACCCACAACAGGGATCACCTGTTAAAACATGTAAATAATATAGAAGCAAGGACACAAAAAGATAACTTTGGAGATACATTTCAAATATTAAAATGGCTTAGGAACTTGGCAAAATATAATTGATGGAGGCAATTTTTAAAGATCCAAATCCATATTTTAAAAGTGCTAGTTGAACCAAAATTTCAAGGCAGAGTATTTAGCTCTTAGCACATCTGCTCTTGTCCTAAATTGTAACTCATTACCAAAGAAAGTTCTTGTATTTCAGAGGAACAACAGATGTGACATGACAGTTAAGCTTGACTGTGTCAGTTTAGTTAGCTAGAGATCCAACTACTGGAAAGATGGGTCACACTTCTGTGTGTGTCACGGAGGTGTGACGCTGGGGTCTGTATCTGGTCCCTCACCCAATCATTTCCTCTCTTGCCACTTGTTGCCTGCTGTTTCCTGGAAAGTCATTAACTAAGCAGCTTTGCATCAATACCTTCTTTTACAGTGATGTTCCTGCCAACTGACCATGAACTGAATCCTCTTAAAATGTAAGCCAAGGAAATGAAGGGAGAAGAGAGGCCTGGGGTGGGGGAGGGGGGCCATATATCATGTACAAGTACAAATTCCCTATGATGAATGTTATCACTATATGTAACTACAAAGTTTTAAAAGTAGATTAAAAAGAAAGTAAGCTTGGGGCTGGGGATTTAGCTCAGCAGTATAAGTGCCTGCCTTGCAAGTGCACAGTCATGAGTTCGATCCTCGGTACCAATAAAAAAGAAAAGAAAAAAAAAAAAGAAAGTAAGCCAATTAAACCTCTGTGCTTTAACTTAAGGATGTTAGGTATTGTGTCCAGCAATAGGATAGCTGTCTAATACATTAAGGTAAACATTCCAAATTTAAAAAGTTATACCAGTGTTCTTTCTTGCCACTTTATCTAAAAACTTGTCTTGATCAGGATCAACTCTGAGGCTGATGACATAAAAAAACAGTAGTAATTCTGTATCTATACGTATGTGTTCATATATTGCTGAAAGCTCAAAGACTTTCTAGCCACAGTACACAAATGTTTACCTTACTGGACCCAGAACATACATAATCCCAGTTCATTTCTCTATTCTGTGTACTCTCCACTGAACACAAGAAACACAACAAGTCGTGCAGAAATTCTTTCCACTATTCTTTGAACTTTCCACACTTACTAGAGGAGGACCAGTGACTGGGATTTTGCACACTGCAGCTCCGGCAGGACAGGGGACTCCATGCATAGGGTTGAGAGGTTGGCAAATATTGATGTAGAAATCAGGGTTGGTGTCAGAAGTGTCCTCCTCACTTTCATCATAGGCTTCATAACCGCCGGTGCGGTGGATGAGAGGAGACAAGTCAATAATAGAGCTTCCATTCCTCACAGTACATTCCGTCTGTTGAACAAGAAAGATTACATTTGAGTGAAAAAAAATTTTGCTAATGATTACTGAAGTTACCATCCATGAGGACTTACAATTTTTTAGGCCAAGGGATCAAATTTGAGGGTCATGCATATGCTAGACATGGGCTCTACCACTGAGCAGTATCCCTGTTAAGAATTTAAAAGCTGAACCACCAACAAAGCACAAAGGAAAGAACAAGGTCTCAAAATGCTGCCATTACTCCAAATTTAAATCAGATAAATTTAAATCAGCCGTTTTGGATACTTTTAAATCACTCTGTGGCAGTCAGGAGTGCAAGAGCTGACTGGATACCTTTGGGGGAGACAGCCCCTCCGCCTGTGGACTCACCGCCTGCTCGCAGGCTAGGGGTGTGTGCCAAGAGAAGAAGAGTGTGCATGTCTGCTTATCCAGGGAGATGAGCACGGGCCTGCTGGTGGGTCCGGCTTCAGGCCTGCACACAAAGCTGATGACACTCTTGTATCTCAGGCCAGATTTGGAGGGACACGACGATCCATCTTCATACACCAACTGCAGGACCTGATCCTCGTAGCTGAGCTTCTTGCTGGCCTTGCCCACGCTGATTCGGGTCTGTCCAAAGCAGGCCCCTGCACCACAGGAGAAGCCAGGGCCAGCAATTAGAAGATCACTGCCATTTACCTGACGAGAACTTTCTGCCCAGCCACACCTAAAACATGTCACTGTGAGTGTCAAATAATCTGGTCTGTGCCTCATTCAGTTACACATGTAATCTGCTTTATCATTTGGCCATGAGTCTCTTGACCATTGCAGGAGATGATGGTGTCACTCACCTCTGCCTCTGGCATTCACCAGTCAGGCTGAGGACAACTCCAGGGACAGGAGAGCCACAATACTTACCCATACCCGGAGCACAGTTTTCGTTCTCCCCACAGATACTCATGTAGACGAGCCCATTCTCACTGTAAGCTGCTGTGAAGCCAGCTCTGCTACTTAGGGAACTCAGGTCAAACAGGTGTCCTGCAAGGTAGAAGGGGCAAGTGCCCTGTCACCAGTGCCAGGACTTTAGCCCCTTGCACCCCTGAATTCCCCTCCTCTGACAGCAAGTTCATGTCACATGCCCACCAGTCTCCAAATTTAAATCAGATAAAAAGATGGTCCATTTGTCTCCTAGAGACCAAGGTTCGCAGTGTCCACTCCTCCTGGGTCTGTCCCTCAGCGGCCACTGGGATTCTCATGGACCTGGGGAAATCACCCCAACTGCTAGCAGAGCCACCTGTGTCATTCTTGGCACAGGGCAGAGGGAAAGTGATGTCTGCTGGTTTCCTGTCAGGATGGCTGGGACAGGTGGGCAGCTCTGGACAGTGTGAAGCTGGTGTGGCCAGGATGACACTTTCAAAGAGAGGTGGCCTCTCCCCTGCTGAAGGGGAATTACGAGTGAGCACAAAAAGCCAGTCGAGAGAAAAGACCAAATGTCCCAGTATGCCACAGAATGCTTTGTGCAGGCACCTTGCTGCCACACTTCACTTTGAGACCTTCACTGCTAGTGGGCAGATGGATGACAGTCAAGCTGCTCAGCTGTGCTGAGGTCACTGACAGTGCCATCCCTTACCTGTGCTGGGGTTGGTGACCTGGCAGTCATCATGCACAGTTTTCTGCACAGGACAGGCAGCAGCCGTGGGCCAGGAAAAGGTGTATTCGCAGTCCTCCACTGCACTGATGAAGAGTGGCCTGGAGTTCTGTGCAACACAATGATTTACACATGCATGGCCTGTGCTGTTAGGCAGGCTCATTCCCCCACTGCATGCCAGGGAAGCAGCTCTGCACACCCTACACACCCTGGAGCCCCACTCACTTGGCACCACTGTGGGATGAGGGCAGACCTTTGAACTCTGTGCCCTCCCCGCCAAGTGGTTCTCACATATCCAGGTCCTGGGACTAGTAGAGGGGACCAGAACGGTAAAGAATAGCCCCAAGGACAACTGGCAGGGGAGGCTCCAAGGGCCTGGGTGACCCAAATGAGTCCATAACTGATACAACTGATACAACTGAACTGAACATGAACTGACACCTGTTACAGTCAAAACACAAAGCTGATGACACTCTTCATAAAGAAAACCATCTGTGAACTCTATGAACCCTTCCCCAGGTGCTGAACCTAGCTCACTGCTTTACCCAGATGCTTCCTACCCACCAGAAAACTGCATGGCTTGTTAAGCAGCATCTTCCTTCCTGAAGAAACTTGGTGCAGCCCATGCTGCAGCCCTGGCATCAAGCACTAGGGTTCAAAGAGTCTATGGTGTCCACTTTCCTCCTAGCTGCCCTGCGGCCTGTCACTCTGACCCAGGAGCACCCTGCTCAGACATAAACAAGACTTATAGGCTGGGATACGCAGTGTGGCAGCTAGGAGCCTGGCCAGGCTCTGCCCTCTTCCAGCCTTGCTCAGATTGGAGCTGGCTCCGTCCACCACTGCCCCTGCCACACATGGGGGAGCTCTTCCCACATTTCCCACATTTGGCTGTGTTGCCCCACACAGCCAAAGCCACCCCCTCACCCCAGAACACGCAGAAACTCTTCTCCTCAGCCTCGTCAACAGGGCTACCAAAGCAGTCAGTGCCTGCTGTACACACCAGGCAACAAGGGACAGAAGCACACTCCAAAGGACAAGCAGCCATCTATAGCGCTACCACACACCAGCAGGGTCATCTGGCCCTTCCTATTTCTCTCCACACCTTAAAACCCTCAGCATCACTGGCCTCCCCTGAGGTATTCTGGGCTGGAGTCATGGCCCAGGTTTACAGCTAGAAGTGGAAAAGCCATCTGTGATCCTGACTGCCCAAACACAAGCTGCCTTGAGAGAGACAGAGAGTGCAGTCAAGCAATAGCTTCTCTAGGGCCTTCGAGGAATCCAAGTCTGACTCTAAAGAGAACCAACTAATTTCAAGCCTGAAATTGTCAGACTGATCATCAGATAGCCAAAGATGCATGTTCCCTCAGTAGCAGGTTGTGGTCCCCAGCTCTCTTGCCCCAGCTATGTCACCCTAGGCTCTCTGACTTATTCCTCCAAGGATCCAAGGACACAGGTCATGCTGGCCCTCAGATCTGTACTATTCAGAAGCCCTGTCACTCACTACTTGGCTCTCACTGCAGCTGAACCGGATGGTGGTGGACTTTCTCCGAATCTTGTCAGGACACAAGTCTCCATCCACATATGTCAGGACCGTCACTCCGTCAATCCGTTGAGGACCATCCCTCACCCTGCCCAGGTTCACAGATTTGGAGCCATCCAGCAGACACACAGCTGACTCTGGATGGCATGTCTCTGCAGCATGACAAAAGACAAGGAGAAGGTACTTTAGTGACTACAGTCTAGATACGGCACCTGCAAGCAACGGTGGACTGCTACTTTCTGCCCTAGCAGTCACTCCAAACTACCCACCACTTCTTTCACAATTGGCAATGGCAATGTATTAGTTTTTTCACTCACTGAAAAGTTGTTTTCTACATATAGACTGGGGTAGGCATGGGATTGATGGGCGTATGGGTTCCAGCAGGAGGCATGTCTGAACCCCTTATGTGATGACACTAAAATTCCTACAGTAAGTTAATGGGATACTTAACAGTGTAAGTTCATTCAAGAAATCTACCCACTTCCTACTCCCCCAAACATCTGCACCATGTGGCCCCATGAAAACAGGCTTCATGTCACAGCATGGAATCACAGAGTCACAGCTGCCCAGTAGAACACAGCAAGGGAGAGTAGGCCATGGCGTAGAACCAAGATGAGGATGAAAACCAGTCTCTAAACTTAAAAACAGGAGCAGTCCACTACTGACCCATCTACAACCTGGGAAGGTCAACTCACACTCTAGGAAAATAGGCCACGATTCACTGTTGGGACTATAAGAAGCCATGGATGGTAAGCAGCTCCCTGGGAGAGCTCTGGTTCCATGCATCCACCTGGCTCTAGGCTTGGGGTGAACTGGTCCTTGCGTTGTGGCAGGACCCCACAGCAAGTACAGTGGGCACACACCAGGGTCTTCATGTCACCCTCCTGCCTCCCACCCTGCTCACAATGATTTGCCATCCTGTTTCTACCTACCCACACCCCTTCTCATATTCAGAAAAGGTTACCACATTCCCAGCAGAGCCTTTGGCTCTGGCTGAGCTTGGATCACACCGGGGATCAGTCATTAAGCACTAATGTAGAGGCTTTTTTAAATGGAAAGAGAATTTTAAAATCTTGTATTTCTAATGCTAGTGTATTTCTAACACTATTCAAGGATGATACTGAGCACAGCCTGACGCCATAATTAGGAAGCTACAAAACTTAATGAGCCTTGATGTTCCAGGTGCCAGCTGCAAGAGAAGTGTAACTTAGTAATGGTTTGCTTGCTTTCAAGACTCGGAGACTTTCACTTGAAGGACACCTCTGCCCAGTCTCAGACAATGATGGATTCTTCCTCCATGTTATATAATAGTACCTCCATGTTATATAATAGTAACCTCATTTAGTTTGTGTAGAATAAATCCTGCCTAGCAATATATGACAAAGACATGTGTAACCAACTGTAGAATATTGTGTTATCTGTCTTTGTACCTCCTTGTGAAAATCTATGTAAGTGACTGCTAACTTCAAGATGGAGCTGATGGCTTGGAACTGAGATCCCCATCTGCTTGCTAGCATAATAAACCTATATGCCCTCCAAAAGTCCTCTGTGACATTATCTTTCATTTGATCTGGTCCTGAATTCTGCAGCACTAAGACCCTAAAGTCCTCCTGCTTTGGCTTCCTGACCAAACTATAGCCATCCAGGAGAGGTCCTTCAGCCCCACTCTACAGCGTTGACAGGTACCTCCCAGGCCTGGGCCCAAGAGGAGCCACTCACCACTGCCTGTCTGTGGAGCTAGAGACTTGCACACATTGATGAGGAAGTGCTCGGTGGCTCCTGTCCTGGTCACAGCTTCCCAATTGTCACTGTAGCGTGACAGAGAGGAGAGGTCGAAGGAGTTGCCAGCCCCGTCGCTGCAGGGAGGAAAAGGCCAGGTCAGGTTCAGTGCACTCCAGTTTTGCTCCTGGGTTGGATGGATTTAGGGGTTTTAGTCTCCCGGCATTCTGAGAGTCAAACCTCTCCCAGGACACACGCTCGCAGGGCCTCTCCCCTCCTCCAGTCAGGATCGGCAGCTACACCACCTGGAGTGTCAAGATTCCAAGACTCCCTCTGACAAGCAGACCAGCCAAACACCAAGTCTGAACGATGCTGCCCACTGCAGGCGGATGCAGTCCACAGCTCAGGCATCGGAGCGCCCAGTCACTCTCAGGGTTACCTGCTATCTAATCTGAGGCTATCAACCATCTCGAATTTAAAACTGGGCTTGTGCTGAATTTCTGCCCAGGCTGAAAGTCACTGCACCTAGATATGGGCAGTCACCAAGAACCAACCATGAGCCAGGGACTACACTGAAGTGAACAAGACACACTCAACCACCAGAGCACCCCATTGGGCAAAGGCAGGGGAGCCACCCCAGCCAGCACTTCCCCAAGGGCTGTGGCACTCAGAACAGAAAGGGTCCAAACATCACAAAGGCATGTGCTAAGCTGGGAGCACTATCCTGAACAAAACAAGTGAGTATCTCCACTCTCAGGATATTTACAAAAGTTATTTCTAGGAAAAAAAAAAAAAAAAACTACAAACAAGACATACTTTTACTCACAGCAGTAAGAACCAAAGAGCAGGAAAAAGGCAGGGAAGAGGGATGTGAAGATTGAGGGAGCAATCAAGAAAGACTTTACTGAGATGGTTACCTCTGAACAAACCTTGAAACAAACTGCTGGGCACAGTGGCCTATGCCTGTAATTTCAGCACTTGGGAGGCTGAAGCAGCAGGATCAGCTTGAGTTCAAGGCCAGCGTAGGCTATATGGTGAGTTCAATGACAGCCTGGCTAAATATGTGGTCAGATCGTGTCTCAAAAAACAAACAAACAAACAAACAAACAAAGAAGACAAAGACAGAGACACAGCTGGCCTGACTCGAAAGTAAGGAACCAGTGTGGCCAAATGAAAGTGAGGAACTGGCACATCAGAGAAGAGGTTAGAGACCACACAATGTAACAGCACCCAGCGCCAATAATAAGAGCTTCAGGTTTCAGGGCCAAAGGAGAGCGGCAGTCAGCTTATCAGCAAAACAGACATGGGCTGCTGATACCTTAACAGGACCTGTGACTGTGCTCAACTAGTTGCATGTGTGACAAGGATAAAGGTGTAAAGAGGGTGCTGAGGAACTGCCACGGAGCTACGGGCACAAGGGAAGAGCACACAACTGGCCAGACACAACAGAAAAGTGAAGATGTTTGCAGATGATAGGAAGGAGAGGTAATGGGCAGTGCCTCAGACACTTGAAAAGAAATAAAAGCAGCACCACCAACAGCAGGGCAAGGAGAGAGGAGACCAGTATTGCACCACAACCAAAGATTCTGGATCTACAGTACGTCTATAGACGTACTATAATGTTTTTTCCTGAAGGTTTTTGATTGCGTTTGGGTGGCAAAAACTACACCATTTTATCTATAAGACTTTGAGCACATGTGCATACCCAGGGATGAGGCAGAGTCAGGGTGAACCAGGCCCCAGTGGGTGCTTATGGTTGTACATTTTTCCATCTTTACAACACAGTCTGGAGATACTGCCGGAGGCTGGCAAATATGGACCTGTGTGCCACTGAATTAGGAAACGTTCCAAAAGAACTATAAGATGTAAAAAGCAGAACAACGTTGAGGCAGGAGGGTAAAGGAAGCAGCAGGTATTTCTTCTGATAAGGGGTAACTGAAAAATGGTCATTTTCAATTTTAAAATTTATTGCCGTGTAAGTCTCATATTGCCATGAACCCTCCTTAAAGTATTACCCCTTGCCAGACATGGTGGTGCACGTCTATAATCCTAGCACTTAGGAGGCTGAGGATCGATACAAATTCCAGGCCAGTCTGGGCTACAAAGTGAATTCAAGGCCAATCTGAATGACAGCAAAATCCCATCTCCAAAAACAACAAAACCACTACCCCCTGCTTCAAAGGCAATTATCTCATGATTCTTGATATTTTCTGAAGTTCTAGAAGTTCTAGAAGTCTACTGCATGAGTGTCTTTATACAGTATGATCAAAACTGTGAATGCTGCCCTGTGGAAAGTCAGGCTCATAAAAGTCACTGTGGTGGGTCCTCACCCACCTCATTTACCAAAACCGGCACCACATGACTTACGACTCCACTCCACTCCAAATCAAAACCACCATGAGAAGCAAACATTTTGAACAGGTTCAGGGCATTGAGGCAGCTGCAGCAGCACAAGTAAAGGCACACAGGAGCGAGGACCTCCAAAAACGCTTCAGAAAGCAGCAAGAACAATAAAATAAATGTGTTTGGAGTGACAGAGACAGACAGACAGACAGACAGACAGACAGACAGTGTGTGTGCATGTGTGTGTGCATGGTGGGCTCACACAGGTAAGAAGTGATCAATGGCAATATGTCCTTTACTGTAATGAAGTGTTCCTTTGTTTTTTAACTAGGTTTCGGGCTAGCCTCCAGAGTTGTATTCTAGGTTCTTATCTTGAACAAAAAATTGAATGAAACGAGCAAAAAGCAATGGCAAGGTTTACTGAAGAAAGTAAAAGTGAATGCTGGGAGAGAAAACTGCAGAGCGAGTTCAGGCCAAGTAAATAGTAAAAGAAAGAGCAAACATAAAAGTACTCGTGGCACCTGGGAAACACAGCGCGGGTAAATCACAGAAAGCTAGGATACACTAAATGAAGTCTTAAACACACACCATGGTTTTCTATCACACTTCACATATACTGTTGTACTCTGAGTTTATGGTTTTATTTATATATATATATATATATATATATATATATATATATATATACACTTTCACTGTATCTGATTATGAAGTTGTCTTTTACTTAATTTCTACCTGTAAAAACTTAAAAGTATTTTTAGGAAAAGAAGATTTTAGAAAAATCCGAAATCTTAGGCCAGGTGTGGTGGCCCACATCTGTCCTCTCAGCACCTCAGCAGGCTGAGGCAGGAAGTCTGAGGTCAGCCTAGGCTACACAGTAAGTTAAGGCCAGCCTGTAACTATACAGCAAGATCCTGTCTCAAAATAGAAGAAAAAAATTACCCTTTTATTCCTTATACATATATATCAGAAAACTGAAGATAACCCCAAATAGCTAGGACAATATCCAGGAATACTTCATGTCTGTTAGAAATAAGAATTTGGGCGCAGACTGTCACTGACTTGGGGAGAGCCACCTGATCCAAGCTTTTCACAGACTGTGGAGGGAGAGAACCACAACCTACAAGGAGGAGATGTGCAACCCCACGAAACTGTATCATTTTCATTTTTTTTGGGGGGGGGGATATTTTCTTTTGTTTTGTTTATGGTACCTCTGATGGCATGAGCAGCTATTTGAAAGATAGCAAGTCATGTTATGGAAGCCACTATGTATTTACTACTGGCTTGTTTTGAGGTTCTTTATTGCATTCATTGTTTTATTTTTATTGCCTCTATTCTATCCTGTTCTATTGGATTTTTAACATGTCCAAAGGTGATATCTCTCTGCAGCTATTTTGAAGACAACAAAGGCATTATGATAACTACTGTTCATTTCAAAGGTTTGGAAGTCCTGTATCACTTATTCTGGTTTGATTGATTTTATTCTGTTTTATTTTCTTGGGTTTTTTTTTTTCCTCTTTAAAATAAAATTAATTTTCTTCCCATTTTCAATTACCTCTTCAAATTTCACTTTGCATCCTTCAGTATATTTTAAAATGGAAAACATAGAAAACAGCTCTAATAAACAATTTGATATTTCAAATTACCTATTTTTTTCTATAAACACGTAAGTGTATATTATTTTTCACTCATTTACTATGTATCCTTTGGGTAGTTAAATTGTAATATGTAGACTAAAGGCTGAGAAAGCTAACAGATTTAAAATTAAAGTACCATTTAAATAAAAATATTACATAGATTATATCATCAAAGACAAAAATTTGTTTCACATGAAAATATTTTTATGAAACGTGAAATGGAAAAGGTAACATCACTCATGTGAGTTAAAGTCACTGCAAAAAATTACTAAATGTATTTTATATGTTACTAAAACTTCAATTATTGTACCTTCATTAAAGAAGAGAGAGGAGTTGGGGAAAGAACCACCAAGGGAAGCTGGAAGGAACAGAAACAGTAGCATGTTCCCCAAGAAAGTGTGAGGGCAAGTCTGTAGTTGTCAAAGAGGGGTCAATCCACATCCAAACTGTTAGCACATCCTTTAAACAAACATGCACAGCCACAAACCTACAACCCCAGATCTACAGGCAGAGACCCCAACTGTCTACCTAGTGAAGTTCTGAGAGAAGTGCTATGAAAATTCACACACCACAGAGGACTTCACCTTAATTTGGGAGCCTCCAGATCACCAGATCGCAGGTGAACAAAGACATCAGAAAGCGAGTGAGACCACTGCGAAGCCTGCAGGGTGGCTTTGCCTCTATGCCCCTTCACCCACTGTAGTGTGTCCCTCCATTGGTCTCTACAGCATAAGGACTTGGGGACAAGGCCACTCTATCCTTATCACTGTGTCCCCAACACAACATGAGTTAGAGGAAACTTCAGGGTCCTGACTGAATGGACTCCACCTCCACACAGGAACCACAGGGCATTAATGTTCTACTTCGGCACCAATCACCTCTCCACACAAGACTGGCGTGAAATAATCAGAATCTCCAGAGAGTGATGGATCTAGGAGTCCACCTCCTACCCCAGCACCTCATGTTAGTATCAGGAGGCTGAGGCCTGCAAAGATTAGCTGATCAGATGCCCCATCCAGACCATTAGTTATTAAAGCAAAATCATCCTGAGTTAGTTTGACCTTCCCACAAGGTGAGTACACACACTAACTTACTTAAAGGAACACTCGGTTACGTTGAATGGTGGGCAGGCATACTGTGTTCGCCACTCAAACAGGTATGAACAGTCTGAAGTTTCTCTCAGGAACACTGGCTGGAAAGGTCAAGATGGACACATGTGAAAATGGAACAGCAGAGCTTCAGCTGTGATGCAAACAGTAAGGCCAGCTGTGTTCATTAAAAACCATGCAAACGAGCTGGGGTTGGGGGTACAATCCTGTAATGCCAGCACCATGGGTGACTGAGGCTGGAGGATCACAAGTTGCCCAGCTTGAGCAACCTAGAAAGACCTTGTCCTCAAAAAAAAAAAAAAAAAAGGTAAGTTAAAAGGGCTGAGGATAAAGCTCAGTGTGAAGGCCTTGAGTTCAAGCACTAATACCCCCCAAACCCCAATGCCCCCCAAAATGAACAAACAAAAACTACATAAATGAATCAAGGCCTCAACACAACTTCTGTGCATCATGTGTTTTACGTGAAGTTACCAGGAAGGTCTAATGAGCAGCAGGAGCAGACACATTCTGTACACATGACAGCCATATTGCAGAGACAAGTGATGCCACTTACTTTCTGCGTGCTCCGGTCGCAGTAGAAAAAGATGGTTGTGGACCGCTGGTACACTCGATGGCAGGTGTCCCCACCGGTATAGTTCATTTTCAACAATCCATTTTCATAAGTCAGCTTCTGAGTAAGAAGGCCTGTTAAAGAGCAGCATGTCATTTAAGTCTGGGTCACTGGGTCCCAGGATGCCATGCCTATCCTAAAGCATGTGATGCCCTTTACCCTGAAAGCAACCTGGCATGGGACCCCTGATCCTAGTCACATCACTCTGCTGGAGAAAGTCTAGGCCTCCTGCTGCCCACAGCCACAATGTGCAGAGGAACCAGCGGCATGGCAATTCGGCCTCTCTCCTTAGCCTGCTTGGTGAGAGCCGTCACTTCCTCTGGCTCCTGTGGGCTGCCACACACATATACTTCAACTACATTTTTTTTAAGTCTTAAACTGATTTATATCTGGCCTCTGCTCTTAGGAAACATGACCAAGAGCCTGCCCTGTCAGTATCACAGTCGAACCCTTTACTGAACGTGCCATACTCCCTTTGCCTCAGCCCTAGAAAATGCCACTCCCCGCATACCCATTACTGCCTAGTTCAGTGTGTTCAAATGCTGTCAAAAGAAAAAAACATGGTATTACAGATAGAAGCATCCTCTAATGGCATTTGTCAGTATATAATCTGGTTAAGGAAGTCACATGTCATCAGAAGCATCACTCACAAGCTACTCTATTTCTCCTACTTCAGAAACAGCATCATTAACATAACATGTTAACACTTTAACTCCATTCTTTTGCAACCAAAGCAGAAGAAATATCAAGGGTACCTGCCACCTTCTCAAATTTCTGTTCTCCCTTTTTTTCTTGACATGCGGAGACAATCTTGGACCTGTCTTGGATGCCGCAGACATTGGAGGACAGTTGCCCACAGACCCGGAAGTAATAGGTGTACTCAGCAAAACTCACAATGGTGTCACTCAGGCCCAGAGGCCTCAGGTCATACAAGGTGCCATGCCTAGGGTCTTTCACCTGGCAATTATCTCCTTCAAAAACACACAAGAAACCAAGGGTAGCTGTCACCACAAGTGCATTTCCAAACCACGAGCTATACAATTTTTAGCTTTTCTTCACACAGGATCTCACTATGTAGTTCTTGCTGGCCTTGAACTATGTATTCCAGGATGGCCTTGAACTCATAGCAATCCTGCATCAGCCCACTCCAGTGCTGGGATTACAACTGTGCACTACCACACCTGGCAAGCTGCAGAACTTTATATCAGGTAAATACTGTCCTACAATAGGCATTACAAGCTATCTCCACATTACCTTATTTTATTTACTACAATACAAATAGCCTACCCAACAAGTTTTAAGTGAAGTCTAGATCACAGAATAAATACGTGATTTTTAAACCCAACCCAAACCCATGGTAGTGTTTTTAAGTGTGAGAAAGCAAGAATCCATCAACATTTGTTGCCAAGAAAAAGGAAACTGGTAAAATTAGCAAATGTGAAGGAAGAAAAAAAAAAAAAAATCTTAAGGATAAGAAATTATCCCCCCACTAATAAATGTTTCCTGATCCCACATGTGGCCATTATCACAACATTTTCTACTGCAGAGGAATGACAACATCATTCCTCATTGATGACAGTCACTGGACAATGGTCCAGAGCTCACCTTCTGCTCTGACCACAGGACAGGCTTCCACAGTTCTCCACAAAAACACGTACTCACAGTTGTTCTGAAGCTGAAACATTGGGGATCCCTGCAATACAAACCAAGAGCTTACTTCATTTTCCTTTTGTTACCTAAATGAACAACAGCCAGAACTAATACCAAATCTTTAAACTCTATGAGCTAAATATGTAACATTTAGTATACATCTAAGACCTGGGGGAAAGACAGTATGCACTACATCAAACCCTATCAATGGCCCAAATCTATGAAAACAGAAGCAAGTTTTATGTAACACAGAAGACTGAGACCAAAGGTATCAGGAAGTCAACTACAGACAGATCAGCACACGGCCAATGTAAACACGCACCGATGTCTGCGCACACTCAAACATGATCCTGGTGGAGTAGCGCTGATTCCCACACTTGTCGCCATTGACATACACAATGCTCAGGGACCCGTTGGCTGCAGCCTGAGGGCTGATTTGCACCACACCTAGATTCCAGCTGCTCTCTTCAGACACCACGCAAGAGCCCACTGCACTGCCTGGCAGAAAGGAGGACGGTTTGGAGTGAGAGATGGAAGGGAAAGCAGGCTGACCTTGAGCCAAACAATGCTCTAGCAAGTATTGTTAGAGCATAGACTCAAGTTTCAACAGAGCTCACCATGACACCCAGTAACAAAAGGGAGAGGACTGCAGACGCTCAAGTAGAAAGTTCTCTTCTTCCTGTCAGCAGTGGTGTCCACAGCAGTCCATGGCTTCTTGACCGCGCTTAAGGCACTGAGATCGTACTCATTTCCAGCTGAGTCTGAAACACAGGAAAGCATGCTGGGAAACAAGCTTTCTGGTTTGTTCTAGGATCATCGCCCACCCCAAGTACAGGCTGCCAAGGGGTGCACCTAACTGCAAGACAAAAGAACTCCAGGACACCAGCAGCTTTGCCTACAGAACCACACCACTGTGGTCCCCCCAAAATACACACTAGGAGGCCATCCCTGAAGAGGCAGCAGGGAGGGCCCCCAAAATCAAGGGGACCCATGGCACTACACAGCTTCCAGCCTGGTTTTGGGATCTCTAGTGTCTTTTTCTTTGCTCCTCAAATAATCTTTAACATATGTGTGTGTTTTACTTTCTTCCTTCATTTTTTTTCCCTGTTAAGTAGCATCTGACCCCAAACATAGGTTAAATCCATTAATTAGCTGAGCATGGAGGCACATGCCTGTGACTCAGTGTTCTAGGTGGTCAAGGCAGGAGGATCCCAAGATTGAGCCCAGCCAGAGCAACTTAAGAAAGATCCCATCTCAAAAAATAAAAAGGATTATGGATGCAGCTCAGTGCAAAGGCCCTGTGTTTGGGCAATCTACTTAGGACCCCTTCTGTCTCTCTCAGACAGAAGCTATTTTTCTCTCAATAAATATTTCTGCTCTTAAAAAAAAAAAAAAAAAAAACAACAACAAAAAAGTGTTCAGTTCTTAGTACCACACACATACACAAATAAATTATATACCCAGAGTCTCTTCAAGAGAAGTTACAACTCTAAACATCATTAACATATATATGTATGTGTATTTATATGTAAAACAATGTGTTGCCTGTGAAGCACAGCACACACAACACCTATACAAATACACATTCACATAGGTACACAGATACAAACGTATACACACACGTATATAAATATATACAGAAAGCACATACCTACATACATACTCCACATCCCACACTCTCAACCAGTCTTTAAATTTTTCTAGGCCTCTCTGCCTCACCTGTCACTTGGCAATCCACTGGAGAAGGGATGCAGGCCAAAGCAGTTTCAAACTCAAAGAAAGTGTTTCGGATCCCTTGTGCAGAGTCGATATCCTGATGCAGGAATTTGATAGCTCCTGGGTAAATATCATCGTTGCAAATAAAGCGAATGATAAAAGCAGTACCTGAAGGATACAAAGCCAGGTTTTAAGACATGACACTGTTTATAACATGATCCATAAAGACAGCACAACCATGGCCAGCAACAGGCCTTACCACCCTCTTCGAGTCTGTCACAGCAAGATGCCTGGTTTGTTTCAGAGACTTGACCTGACCACAGACCTTGGCCACACTGACAGCAGCCCAGACCTGTGAAGAAGGGTCTGTGCTACTGCCTACTGTTCTGCCATTCTTACTGTACTGGAAAGCAGTCAAATCTCACAACAGTTATCAGTCCAACCAGTAAGAGACAATGTCACTCTCATGTACCAGTTTTTAAACAAGTATCTGCAAAGTCCCTACTGAGAGGTCAAGGTTAGAGTGGGCTACAAAGTAAGTTCAAGCCAGCCTGAACTAGACAGCAAAACTCTGTCTCAAAAAGACAGACAGACAGACAGACAGACACACACACAATTTGAAAACTCCGAATCTGCAAAGCAAAGCACTACTACCAGCTCTGTGCTCATCAACTCTGATCAGGAGGAGTTCAACATGAGCTTGCTTCCTCCTCCAGAGCTCATTCTATACCTACCTCTGGAATCCTTCTCCTCTTCTCCCGAAAGGATTACATGGGATCTCTGCTAGGTGAGCCACTCTGCAGTAGCACGACAGAAGTCATTCCAGGTGAAACAAAGACCCAGGACCACACAGGGTCACAAGAAGCCAAGGTCATGCACCAATACTCTGCACACGAGGAGGACACTCCATGCTGGCCAGCTGCCTTAAATTCACCCCAGACACTACCAAGACATCCATCCACTTGGACCAGTTCCACTAAAAACTTCTTCAACCTCCACAGCTCCAGCCTTTCATCTTAAGGCCTCCCCAACATGTTATCTGACATAAGGCTACTCTTTCTCCTAAAAACAGCTCTTCAAAGACTATGCATCCCCCACCCCAGCCCATGTTTTTGTTCTCAAAGTTAAAAGATTTCCCAATTATTATTATACTGTCTATTTTGTTTTGCAGGCAGGGTCTCACTATGTAGTTCAGGCTGGTACTGAACTCACTATGTAGCTCAAACTGGCTTCAAACTTGGTGATCGTCCTGTCTCAGCCTTCCAAGAGTTGGGATTACAGGTGTGGGCCACCACACCTGGCTATTTTTAACTTATACAGTAATTATACACATTTATGGGGTACAGTGCTATATTTCAATACAAGGATAAGCATAGCATGGTGTATACTTCTATTATCTTACTACTTAAAGGAGGAGGATTACAAATTCAAACAAAGCAACTTAGCCTGTCTCAGAATTAAAAATTTTAAGGCCTGAAAGTATAACTCAATGTAAAGGACCAGAGTTCAATTCCTAGTACCAAGCCAACAACAATGATAATAATAAATACACAAAACACATAACAGTATAACTGCGTATCTGTCACTTTAGACTAATCTCATTTCTTTGAGTTGGGAACAGTCACACTCCTCTCTAATAGCCATTTTAAAATGTACAGTCAGTTTCTGCCAACTCTGAGTATCCTACTGCACTCCGCAGCTATCCTGTTCTCTCCCCTTCCTTTCTCACCCACACCCTTCCCAGCCTTTATAACCACTGTTCTACTCTCCACTTCAAGATCCAGATCTCACTTCCACATGTAAGTGAGAACATCTGACATGGGCCTTTCTGTGTCTTTCTTCATATAACATAATGTCCTCTAGTTCCATTCAAGTTGCTGAAATGTGAAGGTTTTATTCATTTTCAAAGCTGGATAATATCCCATGATGCATTACATTTTCTTTATCCATTCATGTACTGATGAGGACTTTAGGTTGAGTCCACATAAATTTTAGGAGTGATTTTTCTGTATCTGCCAAGAATGTCATTTGCAATTGCATTGAATCTATAAACTAGTTTGGGTAGTAGGAACATTTCAAAAACTTTAATTTTTCCAATCCATGAATACAGGGTGTCTTTTCCTTTTTTGTGTGCCCTCTTCAATTTCCTTCCTCAGTGTTTTGTAATTTTCACCTATAAAAAGGCCATTCACTCCCTTGGTTAAATTTATTCCTCGGTTCTGTTGTGCTTTAGGTCTTCACTGTGGTTTTTACAGTTTTTGTGAATGGAATTGCTGTACTTCTCAGCAACTTTTATTACTGGTAAATAAAAGAGGTACTGATTTTTTGTTGTTGACTTTCATCTTATAAGCATGAGTGAATTCAGTGATCAGTTCTAAGTTTTTTGATAAAATCATTTTAAATTTTTCTATTTAAAAAAAATCATGCCTTCTGCAGACAGGTGATTTTACCTCTTTTCCTATGTGGATACCCGTCATTTCTTTCTCATGTCCTCTAATTTGGGTAAGACTGAATATTTCAAAACAATGGTGTCAAGGACAGCCATGACTTATTGCTGATTTTAGAGGAAGTAATTTTAGGATTTTCCTATTCGGTATGAAATAAGACTGTGTGCCTGTCATACACAACCTTGTTGGGTACTGTAGTACCTTTATCCTCTACCTTTGAGGGTTTTGTTTGGGGAAAGGAGCTTTAATTCCTAAAGTGATACTGGATTCTATCATACGCTTTTTTAGGGGTCGGGGGATCAACCGAGACAACATAGGCTTTTTTATCCTTTATTCTGTTGATGCATCACATTACATTTAGTGATTTGCATGTGTTGAAGCAAGCTTGCATTCCTAGGATAAATCCTACTTGATCATGTTTTTTATACATTAAATTCATAAATAATCTTGTTGAACGCTTTTGCACACATGTTCCATCATGGTTACTGTTCTAGTTTTCTTTTGTTGTTGTGTCATCTGGTTTTTCTATCCGGGAATGGTGGCATCAAAGAATGAATTGAAAAGGATTTCCTCTCTTTCAATACTTTGGGGTAGTTTCACAGGAACTAGCATTAATTTTTCTTTGTAAGAGCTGGGAATGTACCTCGAAGATAGAGCACTTGCCTACCATGGGCTTGAACCCCATCACTGCAAAACAATAATGATGAAGCTATCTGGTCCTGAGCCACTCTTCTCTTTGTTGGGAGACATTTATTAATACACTGTAACTTGTTACTAATCTATTCAGATTTTCCAGGTCCTCAGGTACATACTAGGTTTTAAGTATGCAGTAATACATTTTTTAATCTAGGTTTTCCAATTTGCTGGCATACAGCAGCTCACAATAGTGTCAAATGATCCTCAGTACTTCTGTGGTATCAGTTGTAATGTTTACTGTTCTCACCTCTGATTTTAGTTGAGTCTTTTTCCATTCCTTTTTCAGATAAATTTTTATCAATTTTTCCATAAATTCCACTCTTGGTTTGATTGGTGTTTTTTTTTTTTTTTTTCATGTTTGTGTGTTTAAAATTCTATCTCTGCTATGTTATTTCTTTCCTTTCTGTTCTTGCTTTTCTTGAGTTGGATCGTTAGGTTACTTTAAAATCTGTTTTTGATGCAGGCACTTACAGCTAATAAACGTCTCAATATGGTTTTCACTATATCTATAGGTTTTGGTATGTTTTCATTTTACTTTTAACTTCCTTTTGGATTTCTTCATTGACTTGCGTTGACTTCATTGACTGTTTATTTTCATGTATTTGTACAATTTATACAACTGATTGGTGACTTCTAGTTTGAGCCATTATGCTCAAAGAAGATATATGCTTTCAAATTTTTTTTAATTCTTTTGAGATTTGTTTTGTGGTCTAACATATGGTATATTCTGAAGAGTATTCCACAGATTACGAGAATGTATATTCCACAGCTACTGGATGAAATGTTCTATACATGTCTGATTGTACCATTTGGTCTACAGTACAGTTCAACCTTGATTTATTTACTTATTGGTCTAGATGATCTATTCATTTTCTGCTTATTTTTGGTTTTCACTTGCATCATACCTGTTCCCATCTGTTTGCTTTCAGTCTATCTGTATATTTACTTTTGAAATGAGTTGCTTGCAATAAGCTTCCCTGGGTCTAGGTGTTATTGACAGTTTTATCTTTCTTAATTGGGGAATCGAATCCATTTGTAAACTTATTATTGAAAAATACAGCATATCCCCGCTGTTCTCTTTTATTTCTGGTTGTTTCATGCATTCTTTGTTCCTTTTTTTCCTGCTCTTGTTCATCTTTGTAGTTTGGTAGTTTTCTGTAGTGACAGAGTTTGATTTTCTTTTTCCCTTGTCCATCTGCTTCATTGCTGAGTTTTGCAACTTTGTGTGGTTTCATGATGACTGTCAGCTTTCTGCTTCACCTACAGTATTATCTTAAAGCATTTTTTATCAGTCCAGAAGTCCCTTCATTTTGGCCTTAGAAAATCTTCATTTGTCCTTCATTTCTCAAAGACAGTTTTGTTGAAATATTCTCAGCTAATAAGTTGTTTTTCAGGACTCTAAATATATTACCCCATTTTCTCCAACCTTTTAAGGTTTTGCAAAGAAGTCTGCTGAAGTCTCCTGGAGTTTTCCTACAGATGGTGTGATGCTTTCCTGTTTACAGAATTTGTGTTTCATAGCCAGGTGTGGTGGTACACACCTATAGTCTCAGCACAAGCATCCCATCTGCTCAGGGATGATCTTGAGAGACAGGATGGCAGATGCTTGTGCTTAATTCCAGTCTGTGTAAAGATACCTTGTAGCCCCATGCCCCACACCATCTCTGTTATGGTCCACAGCACTCTGACTCCGCCTCAAACACTGCCATGAAGCATCTGGCCCTTTCTGTATGGCGAGACAAACAAGATACCTCCAGTCAATTGTCTTACTGACATTACTTCAAGATTCCCAACTTCTAAAGTATACTCAGAGAGTCCTTGATATTATTCTAGCCAGTGCGCACCCAGCAGTGCCAAGTGTTTGGCATCTGTTATCCTGACATAAGATGTATAAATGTAAAGAGTAGGGTATAACAAGCCCAGGACAGCAGAGCCTTCTGCTCTCTTCCGAAGATTAACCTTCATCTAATGTCCACTAACATGGAAGTAGAATTTTTAGCAACGTTATCCTATGATCAGCTCCCCCCCATGTCTGCCATGATGTGACAGAAATAGCATGGCTTTGACAGCAGACACAAGGCTCCAAGCCCTACTGCCTACCTACTGTGTGGCTCTGAGGACTTCTTTTCTCATCTGTATTACAGGAATGCATTAGTTGTGAGAGCCAAGATCAGCAAGCAAGGGACCTGGGATCCTTGCTCTGATGCTGACCACTGATAAGCCACTAGCTATGTCCCAGGCACATGACCTCTCTGGCTTTCATTAGTATGTGTAAAATGAGGCAGTGGTCAAGCAGTCAATCACAAAAGAGCTGGCATGAACATACAGCATTCTAACACAGGAGTGGTGCAGAGAAGGCATTCAATACGCAGCAGCTGTGTTTCTACTAAGATGGCCACTGTCCTCACGAAGGGCTTGGACTAGATCTTGGACTTCATAACCAAAAAATGGTGACTGTTTCAGCTGTACAGCACAGTTGCAAAAATAGAAATGTTAAGAATTTAACACAGTGAAACTGTTTAGTACATTAAGAAACAATAGAAATTTACAGGGAGAAAAAAAACCCATTAACTTTTATGATCTTCACCTACCATAGCTTTAGCACCAAAGGAAATGTGATTGATGTTGGGGTAAAAATATTCCAGGTCTGAGAACAAATGGTGGCAAGATAAAAGTATGCCTTGGGGAGGAGAAAGAAGGGGATGGCAGAACCACTTCCCCAGGAAATTACATGGATAGGAGCTGTCAAAGTGCAGGCAGGAAGATGAGGGTCACATGTGCAACCCTGTGCCTCAGGAAAGCGAATACTGAGCATCCTATGAAAATTCCTGCCAAGGGGTTCGGGATATAGCTCTGCAGCACAGCGCCTGCCTGGCAAGTACGAGGTTATGAGTTCAATTTCCAGTACCCACCAATGAAAAAGAAAAAATAAAATGCCCACGGAATGCAGTCGTGGAGCCACCAGGATTATAGCTGACCCAGGGTTCTGAGCTTACCTTTGTCTGCAGGAGGAAACCCGGTGTAGGTCAGCGTCAAGAAGCCCTCTGTGGACAGCTGGAGTCTTTTCTTAAATCCAACTGGCTTTTCTGCCCGCACATTCTTTAGTTCCTGTGTCTCAGTTGCCTCACAGCCTGAAGCAAGCTTTCCAGCGACAGTCCCGCAGGCGGACATGGTGCCACAGATATTTAACTAGAGGCCCATCAGTAAGGTCAACAGAGACGCGGTCAGGCTACGTAGCTTACCACAAAGAAAAGCCCTATCAACCAACTGCCCATAAGTTAATTGTTTGCTATTTCTCAATTTACCAACTCTCCATATATGGGCAGGTTAAGTCCTAAAGTTAGTGGGTAAGGCAAAAATGAAAGTGTAAATAGCAGTATCAATAAATTTCCTCTATGGTTTAGTACATACAGTCTTATTTTAAATTGTCTTGTATCTACAAATGCTTAAGATTATCTTGCATATAATAACATGTCACATTTAATAAAGGAAAGGTACATAAACCATAAAATTTTTATAATTATACAAAAAAGTTCATAGTTTAAATCATGTTCATTATAACATGATTTTATAAACATGTTTACATTATAAACAAAAAAGTGATGACATACATTTTTTAATTTACAAAAAATAATTTATTTTTATAGTTCTTAAAGATGTTATTTCATTAAAACTTAGTTTACTATAATTTTGAAAACAAAGCAGAAAACATTCTTTGGTATGAAGATAAAGGAAAAACTTCACCATTATTAACTGGCAAAGATCAAAGAGTTCATGACAACATATAGAAAGTGTTCTCCTTAGGTGACTTTAATGCTGTGTTTCTGCAATTCAAAGCAAATTAGAAATTCATCATGTGGCTCTTACCAAAAATGTCTTCCCAATGCCTGAGACCAAATATCCTTGTGGATTGCTGAGTGGGTTAAGATTAAACATAAATCCGCTGTTGGGGTCCCTTACAGAACAAGCCTACAAGAATCAAAAAGGAAAAGAACACTGTCAGTCTAATTCCACAGGAGCACTTCCACAAGTTTTCATATTTGTAATTTACACAACTGGGCTCCCCATTTACTTTAAAACTCTGTATCAAGGGCGAGATGTGGTGGTACACATTTATTATCTCCCATTATTTGGGAGGCTGAAGCAGAGGGATCACAAGTTAGAAGGCAGCCTGGGCAATTTACTGAGACCCTGTCTTGAAATCAATATATTCATTGATTCATTCATTCATTATTCTCTCTCTCCTACTCCCACTCCCTCTCCCCCTACCTCTCTCTGTTTTTGTGGGGTTTTTTGTTTTGGGGGGTAATGTTTGATAGTACTGAGGACTGAACCCAGCCCCTTCACAAAAAACTGTATCTTCCACCTTTTATATTTTGAGACAGGGTCTAAGTCACTGAATTGCCCAAGCTGGGCTTAAACTTGAATTTTTCCTACGTCAGCCTCCGAGAGTGCTGAAATAATAGGAGTACCACTCTGCCCAGAAAAATGAACAATTTTCTTAAATGGCTGAGGATACAGCTCAGTGCCAGAACATTACCTGGCACACATAAGAACCTGGCTTCAATCCCAGGACCATAAAGCACAATGAGAAATTCCTATCAAAAAGGCAGCCTCTCCAAATACAGTTCCTTGCCTGTCCCAAGTGTGGTTATAGACTCAGGAGTTGTATTCACTTGGAAGCTCCAGAGCTTCCCAAGATAAAAGGTCATCAGAACCATGAGAAACTCATAAATAATGTCTTTAAAAATCCAAACATGTTAAGAAAATTCAGGTTTGTTTTCTGTTTTGTTTTTTGGTTTTGGTAACCAGGGATTGAACTCATGACCTTGACGTGTCAGGTAAGCACTCGTGCCACTGAGTTAAATCCCTGGCTCCTTCAGATTCGTTTTTGATCTCTATTATTCACATACAGGTACTGATAATGCATACTCTGATAACTCAGAAATCACTTCCTCCCCTCTTTTGGGTGTAACTGATTTTGCCCTTGGCCTCCTGTGCCTACCAAATGCAAGGGATGGAGCAGTGATCATAACATTAGAAGCAATGACTATGGAGAAGCACCTCACCCCCTCCAACAGTTTCCACCTTCAATGAGCAGTAACATAAGTTGGGCAATCCGTGGGGATAAGCTACTACAGTCCCTGCTGTCCCCGCAGTGCAGTGGAGACATTAAAGGCAGGAAAGGAAATAATCTGCCATAAGAAATGCAAAGAGCAACATGAAAACAACACTCTGCTGTGCAGAGGCCAGAAACATCTCAGCACAGCTTATACTACACTGTGCAGGACACTGTGCAGTCAGCAAGAGCCAGCAAGACTAAACTACTGGGCCCAGCCCAGACACCACACCTGCCAACTCAGGACAAGAAGCTGAAAGACACAGTGGGAAGCAGAGGGTGAGGAACTTCACTAGCCCATGAGATTACAAGCTTCTTTCTATAGATAAAATCATTTGGAGCACGGGGCTCTGCCCTGTAAATGAGGTCACATTAAACACACAGGGTTTAGGTCATACTAGAACAGAGGGCAATCGCTTGGAGCAAATGAGCCCCACCCTACAGATAAGGTCACAGGGAGCACAAAGGCTCTGTCCTTTAGATGACCGATCTTCAAATGTTTTAGTGATGGAGAGACAAGAGCCACTGCCACATGGAATGGACAGGGGTGGAGAGTACAGAAGAGAAGGAATCTACAGTGAGTAGGGAGTAATACTGAGGGTCCTGGCTCTGATCCTAGGACCTGGGCATAGAGCAGGGGTAGAAAACACCTGTTGTCAACACAGAGGGGAGGGTGATAACACCTGGGTGGGGCAGTTCAGAGTTGGACATCTGGAGATGTCCAGCAAGAAGCTCAGCCAGATGGCAGGAGACCACACATACCTGGTCTGTGTCTGTCACCGTCTGGATGGGGCAGGCAGCTTCTGTGTTCCACAGGAAACTGACCACACAGTCCCAATTAAGAGAAAATACAGGATGGGTGTTCTGAAAGGTCAAGCACAGGGTAAGAGTAACAGAACGGTGATCTAGTCAACGGGAAGCAACCTCTTACACAGAAGGGGCTGAAAGTCACCTGGTGTTTATTATGTATCACCTCAATAAGCATCATCTAACTACAATTTAATGTCCTCTATGAAAATCAGATCACCTCTCATTCTTGGACATTAAGGAATTTGAGATCATTTCAGCATTCATAGGAGAATTAGGATCTCAACCTCAGTCTGAGTGCCCAAGCTGGTACTTCTGAAGACCATTTTACACCAAAAGTTGAATTCAAAAAGCCATACTCATTACTTGGGAGGCTAAGGCAGGCAGATCGCCAAGGGCTCGATTCCAGGCTGAACTACACAGCGAATCTCTGCCTCAAAAAAGTGAAACAAAAAAGAAAAAGAAAAAGCAAGCCAAACACAAAAGACGGCAATACTGATGGTTTCATGGATGCAAGTTAAGAATTCAGCAAAGCTAACTAATGTGTCACAGGGCAGCAGAGGGGCTAAGGGACAGAGAGCTGAAGAGGGTTCTGGGAGTGACCAGGGTTCTGTTTCTTGACATGCGTTCTAACTACGGGGCTGTGTTCACTAACATAATTTGTATGTGTCCTAGTAAAATGTCTCCCCCTAGAGTGCCATGCTCCCTTTCAGGAGAATGTGGTCTCCAGCTTGGTCCCGGGAGACCGATATATTACCCAGTGCCTTAATGGGTGACAGACACACCAACAGCTATGCTAAGAACTTGCTGCTGTTCCCCACCGAGCCTTACCACGAGGACCAGCAGTCAGGAGCTAGAGGCAATCGAGAGCTGCAAGGGAGAAAACTGGGGCCAGCTTAAGACAACCCCACCCACCAGGCTAACTGCAGGCTGCACATCAGCCTCAGCAGCCCTAGGGGCAAACAGTGCCTGCCCCCTCAACCTCACTGTAAGGGTACTCAGGGTTGGGGAACTCTTAGCCTAGGGTGTATAGCACTGTGAGCATGACCTTGACTTGTTCTTGAGCACCACCTGGGCACACTGAACAGCAGGCTGTGTGTGTGCAAAAATCATGGCAATGTGAAATCACTTTGAAGACTAACGTGTCAGAATGCTGGGAAAAATAAGAGTCCACGAGAATTTTTGGGAAGGACCCAGTATTGCATGGCAATGAAAACCCAGACAGGAGAGTTCACAGCAGGCCCAGAATGCACAGCCAGTCAGGTGGCACTGGGCAGCAAGGACCAACTCCCATAGTCCGAGAAGAAACAGGTAGCAAAGATGGCCAGCACTCAGCAGTCATTCAGTCCTCTCCTCAGACTGTAGCAATGGACAAAGAGGGCCACAAAGTGCCTGGAGCATGTGTGAATGGGCACCCACCTAACAGGTGCAAAGTACGGAACAGGAGCGGCTGGCCAGGGCAAGCTGTGACTGACTCTTAACAGTAAGACTGTAACTTAATTCATAATGAACACAATTTTCGGAATCCCCACTCAGGATTTGCCTAACTATCCAGAAATTACTGGTTAAAAAACAACTGGGTCTGTGATGATTTTTAAAAGTTTTCAACAGACGACTCTATAATGGACACACCATCAAAAATATGCTTACTGTTCTTAATAACCCCAAAAGGGCTACATGGTCAATTTCACATCATACACATTTTACCACAACTGAAGGAGATATAATAACCGCAAAGCATTTTTCTGCAGAGTGCCCTTTGCCCCACTGCCTGGCAGTGCCTTACCAGGCTCCCCGGGGAGCACACAAGGTGGAGCCTCGTGCTATAGGTGGTAACCCGGCCGTCACTGGTGGTACAGGCCGAGCCGTTCACGTACTCCAGCAGGAGACTGCCGCTCTCCTCCACTACTGGGCCAGTCTTGGCCACTCCCAGGCTGCTGATGGCGACTGTCTCGGTGAAGGTACCCTGCAACACCAGCATCTATTAGTACACCAATGCAGTTGGTGGGGCCCTGAAGAGGGTTCAGTTCTCATGGCAGTTATATCCCAAGAGGCCCCCAAGAATAATGCATAAATGAAGAGTGAACCACTGTTCCCAAGGTTACATAACATGCCCACATACAAAGGATATTCAACATATACAGTGAATGTTTAAAGCAAGGATTACAGCAAAAGACATAGTGCCATTAATTCCCTTAAAAACATTCCTCTCCATACTTTAAACACACTCATCCCATCATTCTCGCCACTTTGTGAAGCAGTTCTAAAAGTCTTCTTTCATGTCTTTATAAAATGCGAGCGTAACTACGGTGAATGTCGCTACTGAGTGCCATCCAAAGTAAAGACAGGCTCATAAATACATTATGATGTGTTCTAACACATCTTGTTCACTGGATCTGGCCCCATCTTCTGACCCCATCTTCTGGTACTTTCCCAAAGTCAAAACTACCATGAAAGGTCAACATTTTTACTTGATTTAGGACACGGAGGCAGCCCTGACAGTAAAAACACAACACACAAAAGATGACTTCCAGAACTACTTCAGAAAGCAGCAGCAGGATAGGGTGTGTTCAAAGTAAGGGGAAGGATTAACAGCAATGCATTTTACTGTAATAATGTTTTTTAAAATTCCAACATTCACTGCATTTTTCAATCACATCACATATCTAATATTGATTATAATTCTAAATCCTAAAACAATTCATGCTGACAGATTCCATTTTGTTTTCCAAAAGGGAAAAATGTGGCTCAGAAGCACTATGTCCAGATGCCAGAATCAAAGCCCCATCCAAACTGGCCTCAAACCAGAGCTTCTAGCCTATTTTGCCCTAACCTCCATCCTCTGGTCACCTCGGCACAAAGGCAGAACTAAACAATAATCAATCTCAAGTAGCAACAGGCCTGCTGGACCACCATGCACATGGTCACTAAGAAAGTGCTCCGAGCACTGATTTGGGAGTTCCTAAGGTTAGCAAGGAAGCAAATTCACCAATGGAAAACACATAAATAAAGAGGACTGGCTATCTTACGAGTCTATTACTCTAATAACACAAACATGTACTCAAACACTCAATTCCATTGGGGAGTTTTTTGGTGCTGGAGCCAGGCCTTGTCCATTCATTGCAAGGGCTGATCTATCTTATATCCTCTGCCCCAGAGAACTTAGTTCTTCATCACCACAGAACACGGTAACACACACTAAGGAAAGTACATTCTTGGCACGCTGTTTTTATAGAAGCCAACTTCAGAATGCATCTACACCTTTCCTCTAAGATTCATCTTTTATGATGACTACAAGAAAACACACAAAAGTCCTGGCCATCACTACATTCCATCAGACGACCAAGCACTGCTCAGTACCCCGAAAAAGTGCTAACACTGCTTTGGTGATCCAAAGCAACTATCCAAAACTGATTTTCCCCTCTAGGTAATCCAGAAAAGCAAAAAAAAAAAAAAAAAAAGAAAAAGAAAAAGAAAAAGAAAAAGAAAAAGAAAAAGAAAAAGAAAAAGAAAGAAAGAAGGAATAAAAAAGGAAAAAAAAAGTTTTCCCAGTACTGAGGACTGAACTTGAGCTATACCCTCAGCCCTTTGTTTTACTTTGAGAAAGATCTCATTAAGTCTCTAAGTTGCCCAGGCTGGAGTCAAACCTCAATTCCTCCTGCCTCAGGTTTCCTAAGTCTGGGACTTCCTAAGTCTGGTACAGGAGTAGGAACAAAAGATCTTTTTTTGACCAATATCTGTTAGTTAAAGACACTTGAACTCAAGCTAGACCTAACTGTGAGGGGCTTCTTCTGCCCTTTGATCAAAAGTAGCTAAGAGAATTGGTGTTTCCTTTAAGTTTTAAATCTAAACAAAGACTCCAGTGTGAGGCATATCTGTTTGGGAAGCAGGCTACTACTTACCCAGAGGCCTGCTCCCACTCAGAGGGCTTCACTGAGCAGCCAGACCCATTTTGATCTGAGAATCCAAAACAAACACCTTCGCCCACTGAGCCACCCACTTAGGAGGCCGAATAGACACCTAAGGACAACACACTCACCTGACTGTTTTCATATTTCATCTGGCAAGCTGATGCATAACGATCACAGCCAGGAACAGGATTCAGGGGCCGGCACACATTTATGTAGTATTTTTTCCATGTGATATGTTCCCCTAGGTTGTCCATGGCATACCAGTTTCTTCCAGGACTGCCTTCAAACTTTGCTAGACTAAAAGTTCAAAGTAAAATGTATTACTGTGAAACAAACTTAGGTATCTTGCACTGACTATTTATTTCTAAGTAGTCAATAGAAAGTAGTCAAACTCACCAAATGAAACATTTCCTGCTGAACTACATAATTTGGCTATGACTTCAGAATACAGCACATGTGACCTTCTCAAAGTTCCACAAGAATCAGACCTTTGATATGAGCCCACCCCCTGCACTGAAAGTCACAGTCCTCAATAATGAAGTTACAGACTGAGGGCTCATGTGGCACTGAACAGGTGTTAGTAAGGAAGGTCGGAGAGGCTGAAGGGAGGGGGAGGGAACGGGGGAAAAGCAGCAGCATATATCATGCACAGGCACAAACTCTAAAATGAATGTTATCGTTATATATCTAAAATATGCCAATAAAAAAGAACAGGTGTTATCCATGGGCTGACCAGACCTGTAATTCCTTCTGCTTCCATCTCCCTATTGTGGTTCCACACACCCAGCACCAACATGACCTTTATCAGCTCTGTCATGTGTTCACTGGTCCCACCTACATGAAATGACTACCCTGGATGAAGGACCAGGTGGCTGATCCTGCTCACCTGGAGAGGTCATACTGCTCCAGTGTTGACGGGTCAGTCACCACGCACTCCAGGGGCTCCTCTGGGCAAGCATAACTAGTATACCACCGAAAGTTGTAGGTAGAGTTATCCTCTTCCTAAAGACATTGAAATGACCAAGAAAGAAACAAGTTATACTTTGGGCCTGGAATGCTACCCAATGATGTGATTAAAAGTTTGGTTCCCAGCATGGTGTCCCTGAGGATGATGGAATCCTGAATAAGTAGAGCAGTGGGACGGAGGTCTTTGGGTCACTGGGTGTGCCCCCAAAGGGGACAGCAGAACTCTGACTTCTTCACTTTCTCTTTAGCTTCCTGGTCATGAGTGAGTGGTTTTGCTCTACCGCACACTCCCACCATGATGTGCTGCCTGACCACAGGCCCAAAACAATGGGGCTCACCAATTAGAGGTTAAAACCTCCAATACTGAGAGCCAAAATAAACCTTTTCTAAGTTAATTATCGCATGCATTTGTTATACCACAGAAAGTTAACAGAGATAACAAAGAGAAAAAGGAAACATAGTAGGAAGAAACTATTCAAAGAAGAACAAGGACGCCATTCAATATGGAAAGAGTATAAAGGAAAGTTTACTTTGTCCACCTCCTTCCATTTTATTGAAAGATTCTTATTAAAAGTTATAAATCAAGATGGAAATTTGGCCTTGGTCAAATGAAGCTAAGGAAGTCAGATGTGCTGGCAGCATACAACGGTAATCCTAGCACTTGGGAAAGTGAGACAAGAGGATTACCACAAGTCTGAAGCCACCCTCAGCTACGCTGCAAGTACAAGATCAGCCTGGGTACATAGCAAGTCTGTCTCCAAAACAAAAAATTTTAAAAAGTGAAGATAAGGGGTGATTTTTGATGCTTTTCAGTGTTTTGTACCCAAAATCAACAAGATTCTGGACTACCACTGAGGTGCTTGGGTCACTGAAAACACAGAATCTAACAAGTGTTATTAAATATTGCCTACATGCCCTGGTCAGCCTACAAAGAACAATTAAGGAGATGATCTGGCCAGGAAAACAGACTAATAATAGCTCTGCTTCTTTCTAAATAAAAGGTCTACACCATGCTAGGGAATTCCCAGAGAAAAGCACACATATAATGCCTTACCTGGTATTCAGGGAGACCTACTCCAGCATCTCGATCACAGAGGAAAGTGATCAGCGTGGACCTTGGTGTGTGCTTTTCATTATTATAAGGTGTACCATCTTTGTAGCTCAGCTGTATCATCCCATCATAGTATGAAAGTTTACCATTACTCAGTCCCAAGTTCCAAAACTTCCTGTCACTGAAATAAACACATGAATCTCTCTCAGAAAAGCCGTGATTAGCAAAAGCATTCTAAGCTGAATGCCCTCAGCAGAGCTGGTGAGCAGTGTGGAGCCACAGCCATGACTAGGACCCAGGCTGTAGTCTACATATGTAGTCCATTACAGACTTCTAACTGCAGGGGGAAAAGGTTTCCTCCACCCCACCAGGACCCAAACAGACACTAAGTACCGCTGGTTTAAAGCACAACTCACTTCATTTTACTGATACTACACAGAATGGAGAAATATACACTTAAACACGTAATCACTGAAAAAGCACAAAATACACAGAATTGAGACATTATATAAGCTTACTCTTCTTTCCCTGGGACATAGTTTGTTCTTTCTCTGGGAGGCAAGGTTCCTGGCATTTGCAATATTTTGGCCAAGTTTTCTGTTGCAAAGGAATGATGCAAACTTTCCTAGTCCTGAACAAAATATTTGTCAGCACAGAAAGCCACCAAAAAGTCCAACAAAGGCAGTCACTTACCTTTTTGAAATCTGGCAGGCCCCAGAGTCTGAAGGACAGGTTTGCATAGACACTGAGCCACAAACATTTATATAGAACTCATACTTCTCTGTCTCAACTTTATAGGCACCATTTTTCTTTGTGAGAGGTGACAAATCAAAAGAAAACCCTAAGGAGAAATAAAAACAGAAATGTAAGATCAGTCAGAACAGTCAACAGGGCAACCTCACCCCACAGGAGCACCTTTGCAGGGGGCTGGAAGAAGCTTCCCTCTCAGGCTACCAGCCCTGAGTACCACTTTTTCCTTGGACACGGAGCGAATACCATGTCATTCCTTTTTACTGCACTTAGGTATAGCCCTATTCAAAGCCTGTAACTGCAAGTCTGATAACTACCAGTAGGTCTAGGCAGGACAACCATGGTCCAGGTCTTCTAGGGACATGTCCCTCGAGAGAAAAAGCCTTGCAAACATGAATCAGTCCCTTGTGTCCCTAAGTGCTGCACTGAACAAAACCAAACTCCAACATGAATTAAAGAAAGGCATCATCATGAGTTCGATCCCCAGTACCGATAAAAAGGAAAAAGACAAAAAAAAAAAAAAAAAAAAAAAAAAGGCATCATCAACAATTCAAGCCCTATACATCAGATATTTAGAATTTTGGTTAAATGGCATTAACAAAATCCAGAAGCAGGTTTTCTCTAAAACAACAATTAGGAAAAATGCTTAAGTATTTCTACATCACAATTGCTTAAGTATTTCTACATCACAATGAACAACAGAAGCATCATTCAGATACACACCTGCCTGGGAATCAAAGACTGTGCAGTTGTCTCCTTCAGTCTTGGACAACACACAGGCAGCAGCTGTGTGCCACTCAAACTCGTAGAAGCAGCCATTGTCCCCAGAAGTCCTCAACACTGGGGCACTTGCAAGATCACCTGGCAAGGAAGAAAAAAAAATCTAACACTGATCTGTTTGTTCTGAAAATATTCCCTTCTTGTGCTGTCCAAAACAGACTTGGAAAAGATTAAAGGAAATGAGCTTTAGCACATTCAAGTTCAAAAGCTGGTCCTAAAATACTGTTGGATTTGACTCACATAGGCTCTCTAGAATGACCAAATGCAGAGAGACAGAGGGGAACAGTGGCTGCCAGAGGCTGGGGCCTAAGGATGAAGAGTTACAGTATAATGGCTGTGAGCCTCAGAAACGTTCTAGAGAGAGAGAGGTGGTGAATGCAAACCATGTGACTGTGCTTAATGTTACTGCATGGTATTCCTGTAAATGGTTAACAGGGCAAATCTGAGGTTGTGCATATTTTGCCACAAATTTTTAAAAATTATTAAAATCGTTAATGTTACACTATATATGCGTTTTTACCATAATAAAATCGGGAGAAATTAGTCCAAGTCTTTGACTTCTTCCCACAGCAGGCAATTTATCCAAATGAAGGATTACAATGGGAGGTGTAGGGAGGATATGTACCTCACAACTTCTAACGCTGGAAATGTGCTCTTAGTCTAGCAACTGAGAAAATACTTTAGAACAGTAAAACCATACTATGCCAACAAAGAAATCTGTAAAATTTGCAAACAGAACTGTACAACACAGAAAGGTGTTCACAAAATACATCATTTGGAGGAACATTAAAATGTACAGATAGCCAGGTGTGGTAGCATACATCTGCAATCCCAGCACTCAGGAGGCTGACGTAGGAGGATCACCTCAAATTCAAGGCCAGCCAGAGCTACACAGCAAGATTCTGTATCAAAAATTTTTTAAATGTATGAATATATGAAGATCTTGATTCAGCAAACAAGTTACAATGAATGACGTGTTTAACTGAGATCACAGATAACCTTTTGAAATCATTTATGGTTTTTCTACTTTTAGAGGAGCTCAGAATCCACATCTCTGACCCTGTAATTATCCTAAGAAACAAGACACCATGTGGAGACTCTTGAGTCACTTAGAAAGAAACAACACAACTGCCTGTTGACACCATATGGCTTTTGCATTTCTGGGTTGAAATCCAACTGAGCCACCTCCCATCCCCAGAGATTAGAACTGGAAGGGCTCAGCACCACCCCTCTACCAACCCCCTCCACAGAGGATGATAAGGAAGAGAAATGAAAAAAGCCAGTCTACCTCTGGCAAATGCCACTAAAGCATTCCTTTTGCTTTTAAATGTTTTTAAATGCCCACCTACAATCATTAAGTACTGCAAACATGTATTAATAAAAAAATTTTTTTAAATCAGCCAAGCATGGTACACACACCTACAATCCCAGCATTTCGGAGGTTGCCTTGAGTTTGGGGGCAACCTGGACTACATAGTGAGTTCAAGGCCAGCCTGAACTACAAAGATGGATCCTGCCTCAAAAAAAAACAAAAAACAAAAAAAAATTAAATTATTTACCTGGCTTGCATATGAGTGTGATAATAGTTTTTATTTTCTTGTTACCACCACAATCATCACCATCTGAGTAGGAGAGTTGAATGTTTCCTTCCTCTTTTGTGGGAGAAGAGGTAAATTTGCCCAGACTTTTACTTCCCGTCTTATCTGGAAAAGAGAAGGAAAAAGGAAGTGAAGACACAGTAACAAATGATCATGATGCTGGGCTGGAGTACAGCTCAGAAACAGCATCTGCTAACATGCATGAGTCTCCGCATTATCAGAAGAGGAAAGGGGAGCGCAGGGCGGGGGAGGGGAGGGACGAGGGAAGGGAAGAGAAGAGGGGAGAAAACCAGAGAAGAGAAACCGTGATTCAGACAAAAGATGCTAGCACTCAGCCGAGGCGCGGCAGGTAAAGCACTGCCCTCTCCAGCCCACCTAACCTGGCAGAGATGGCAATGTGATTTTGAGTGACAAATGTGGACAATAACAGTCACACTGAGGATTCCAAAGCATCTCCAGGCCTAGCAGAAAAGTACTGTAAACAAGTGTCCTTCACAAGTACAAGAATAGAATGGTAGCACACAGGTCATTACCATCTGCAAATAACACTGCCTCTGTTTCTGGGCCTCAGCTACCCAACCCAAGGGCTTCTGAGGCATAGACGAGCTGCTAGGGTATGTTCAAGGTCAGACAGAAACACATTAAACCTGCCCCGACCCAAGTAGGTGGCTGCTGGGTTGAGGGTTTAGGTGGTTTTTAACTATACTTTTAATTTAAGACGTAGAAATAACTGCATCTGTTTTCAAAGACACATCACTGATTCTGAACACAGAAATAATTCCTAAAATCCAACCGAGAATCATAGCTCCTAACAGACTGCTTATAACAGATTTTCACTGCTCTTGTCACCTGCTGCTATCAAGATGCACTCTAAATAATGTGCTGAACCTTTCTGTCAGTGAGAAGTCTCATGACAGCCAAGGACTGAACAGCAATGGCAGAAGGAACCAGAGGACACAGCACACTGAAGGTCCTGACCAACATGCTACTGCCCCTAAGCCATACTTTTGAACATACTGCATAAAGGCAGTAAAGCCGTTTCTTAAAAAAATCACAAACACAAGTTTGTGTTTAACACTAAGTAAAGCCAATGTTATTCTTCAAATCAAATTTAAAAACGGGAGCGGACTGCTGGGTATAGTGTCCACAACTATAGTTCCAACACTCAAGAGGCTGAGGCAACAGGACAGCGAGTTCAAGGCCAGCCTGAACAATGCAGCAAGCTCAAAGGCACCTGGACTATTTGAGGGGTGGGGAGGTAAAGGAAACATGGGGTGGAAGATCTCAAGTATTTCCCCATGTGACTGCTCCCAGATGAGGCTTCAGCCAACCTCAGGATTTCAGGGTACCAACATTTATGTCATTAGAACGATTTCTTACCATCTTCATTTGTAATACTCAGAAAGGGGAGGCCTAGATGAAACACAAGACGATTTTCTAGGTCATCCCACATAGGAAGCCTACCCCAGTCTTCCCACCAGCACCACTCACCTACAGCGCACACGGCAGCATCTTCGGAACAGTTTATAGCCTTGCCCTCCCGCAGTACCCTATGACAGACATTGATGAAGAAATGCTTCTTTTCCGCTTCTGTCTGGCTGCCATCCACTGCTTCCCAATTCTGTTCTGATTCTGTAACCGAAAAAAAAGTTTTGTTAGCCAAAGGCAATAAATTCATTCCCTAGGCGTCATACCACAAATGGTGACTAAGCCAAAGGTCAAGAACCCAAAGCTTACTTGCACTTGGACAAAGAACACCACCATTCCCTTTTCCAGAACCTGACCCAAAAGGGCTGATGGCAACAGAAACTCACAGCTTTGGCTTTCACTGAATGCAATAGAAAATAAGCCCGATGTGTCTTCAGAAGAACAGGCTTACCAGGGAACAGAGAATCAGATGGCACAATTCTCCTAAGCCCCACGAAAAGAAATCAGAGACTGAGGACTGAATCAGAAGCCTGCTGATGTGCTAAGTCTGCAGATAGCATGGCACTTGAGGCCACACCCAAGTCTAGACACCACAAAAGCCTATGCCACTAAAGAAAGCTGCTAAAGCTGTGTGACTGGGGTATGTCTGTAAGCCCAGCCTCTGAGAAGCTGAGGAAAATGGATCCCAAGTTTTAGCCCACCCCACACAACTCAGCAATTCAGTAAGATCATGTCTTGAAATTTAAAAAATTTTAAAAAGGACTGAAGGTATAGATCAATGTATAGGCCATGGGTTCAATCTCCAGTATGAGGGGTAAAGGGGACCTACAGCCTCTTTCATGCATAAAGATCAAGGACAGAACAGAAGGTCTGGTGCCCCCAAAAGTAAGCTGATGTGTATGGTGACTAATTCCAAAGGCTCACATCCACTAGAGTGAGCAGGGACCCATCAATAATTAACAGAAGGCTATGGGGACACATGTTGACACAACAAGAAGAAAACAAGGCAGTCATGAAAAGCAGACCATCCTATAAGCAGGAAATAGGGACAAATCAGAGCTCTGTCTGAAAAAAATACATTCTTATATAAAGTGGTCCTTTTGCAAATGGAGACCAGGATTTGGAAGACAAAAGGTCCACTGCTGGCTGGTGACAGGCACAGTGTTTTGGAAGAACAGCACTGCAGACAGACACCCGCAACCTACAGAAACCATGTGGTGCACCAGGGCCTCACTGGAGCACCAATCGTGTGGCTGGCGTGGAGACTTTTCCAAACAGCAGTGAGCAGCTTTGGTTTTCAGCTCAGTCTCCTTTGGGCTAGGTGAAAATACTACAAAAATCCTCCAGAATCCCAAAGAACCAGAGCTGTTTTGGGAAGTTCACAAAGCAGACAAATCTACCTCTGCATCCCTCACAGATCTTAGGCTGTGTCTTACACACAACAATGCCTAGAGAAGTAGAAGGACCTACTGCCACCACTCAGTTTCCTATAAGGAACTCGGGCTGGAGAACTAGCTCAAGCCGGTAACGCTGTACACAGCGATATGAGTCCTTAGCAAGGTTTCTGACCTGGAGATCAGAGCATGTGCCACTGTGGAAGAAACCGTTGTCTTCTTCAGTACACATGGACCAAGTTTAACCATGGCTGCAAGGTGTTCAACTACTGAAGCCAGAGGATCACTCGCTGCGGAAGCACTTTGCCCACACAGAGTACCTGCAGAGCAGCATCTGTGTCCTGTGTTCAGGGAAGCTCTGGAACCAGTGACACAAGAGGAATTCCTCTAACACTGTATGTTGCACAAGGGTACCAGAGGATGTAAGGAAGAGTCCTGTCACAATTGCTACTTATGAGACGCATCCTCTCTGGTACAAGTATGATCTTCACCTTACAGATCCAACAGGACTATACATACCTAACCCAGAGCTACTAAAACGGTAACCAGTAGGGCCTTACCTATAATCCTAGCACTTGGAAGGCTGAAGCAGAAGGATCACTGCAAGTTCAAGGCTAGCCTAGGCCACACAGTGAGTTCAAGGTCAGCCTAAACTACATAGTGAGACTGTCTCAAGAATTTAAAAAAAGAAAGACAGGGTGGCAGGCAGGGCATGGCGATAGATGCCTATAATCCCAGCTCCAGGAGGCTGAGGCAGGAGGACTGCCATGAGCAGAGGCCAACCTAACCTGTACAGTGACTTCAAAGACAGCCTGTACTGTCTAGAAAGACTATCTCAAAAAAAGAAGACATGATTTGAGGCCTGGGCCTACCAGGTTAACCTGGTCCTGGACTGAAGGAGAATAATGCCCACTGGCGGAAGAATCAAGAAAAGTTTTGTTTTTTTTAAATGTCTAAACATAAAGCGCAAGGTCAGCCATGTAGTAGGCACCAGGTGGTTCTCATTAAACTCTGGTAAGAGCCCAAAGTAACCCAGCTAGAATACAATGCTGGCCTCGAATGTGGGGTATTCAGTATTCAGAAACAAGTGCCCCAAGAACAGAAAGCTGAGGTCACAAGCTACCTGAGTGGCGAGCCAGTGCAGAGAGGTCGTAACGCTTCCTTCCATCGCTGACACCGCAGAGCAAGTCTTCCTTCTCCTTGACGCAGGCGTACTTTGTGTCCCACGTGAAGAAGTAAGTGCAGTCTACCTCCCCGGTGAACACAGGTTCTCCTTTCCCACCATTCCCTGCACAGTGTGAGGGGAGAAACACAAGAGTGTTATGCAGCCACGGCCGGAGAACTCTCAGGAGCCAGAAACAGGCACAGGACCAGGTGACTACCCAGATTCACCATTTAAGCACAGACCCTGTAGAGAAGTTGGGGGTAGAGGACACCTATTAAACTTGAGACACTCAATCTAAACCCTTACCATCACAGTAGAGTGGTATCAAGTAGGCATAACAGAAAGCTGTGTGCAACACTAACAAGGAGAAGCAGAGCCCCATCAACTCGTGTGCTCGTGACAAGGCATGGCTGCAGTCAACATACAACAGACTAGGGGGTTCTCAGAGAGCAAGACAGAGCCCAGATCCAGGCCCAAGAGTAGCCCACTGACTAATAACACAAGTGTGAGCGGCAGTTTCCTGGGACTCCTCAATACAGTGGAAGCAAAATAAGTGAGAACACAGGTGGTGGCTCCAATTGAAGTGTGCTGAGTCCATGCCAACCCCATGAAGCTCTGTGACTTGAAATATTTGTCAATGTCTATGCCATCTAACTGGAATCAACAGATGCCTCCTCCATACTCACATAGCTTCCCACCCATCACTCAGGACACCTCAATTCTGGTCTGAAAATCCACTCTTCACAGGGTACTTCCCTGCCCCATATGACCTGGGATTCCGCAGACACTGCTGAAACTGCCATACTAGAAATCCTATCCCCTCTCTTTTTCCACTGATGGATGGCTGGCACAAATCTCCCCATTCTGCACCCTGGATAGTTTCTTAATCTCTGCCTGCAGCTCCCACATGATCAGCCTGCCTCCTTGAGGTCTGTGGTTCTAAGCTGTTCAATGTTCTAAGGGAAGTAATGTTTTGATTCTCATTTCTATTAAAACTTGAAAGCTATTACTTTTAGGTGAGTATAATGCCAGCAGTGGTAGCTAAAGTCTACCAAGCACAACCTGAGCTAAGTGCCAAGATAAAGGTCTCCTATGGTTTCATAGCTAGAAAGAAAGGGAGCCAGAGTTAAACCTCACTGGTCTAGCCCCAGGCTCAAGCTCATAACCACAGGACAAGACCTTGGCACTCTACTGTGAGACATTCTTCTCCACCACCCCATTTATGTGTACAAACATGTGTTGCTTTTTTCTTCTATGTTTTTGTTGGTGAGTTATTTGCTCTTGCATTTAATAATTACCTGAAGCCATTCTCTTTCAGAGACACAATCCCTACACCTTCCTTCCCCAGGCACAGTCCATGACCCAGAGGCCACTCTCCTTAGCTAGGACCCTCGTGCCCACGTGTGCCTTGTTCAGCAGCCACAACACTCACTACCCTGTTTCCAACTTGGCCATACAGTTTTACAGATTTGTTTAATCCCGCCGGATTTGCAGCTTAAGCTTACTATTTGGGAAAGACTTTTTTCTGTGTTCCTTTACCAGATAAGCTTGCAAACAACTGAATTAAACAAGGATAGTACTAGAACTTTTTTTTTCTTAAACCAGGGTCCTTGCATTGAACTACATCTCCAGTCCTTCAGTTTTTTGTTTTGCTTTGTTGTTTTTATGTTTTGTTTTGTTTCTTTTCCCCAGACATGGTCTGAGTTCCTCAGGCTGAGCTGAAACTTGCAATTCTCCTGCACCAGCTTCCCAGAGTGCGGGTATCATAGATCTGTGTTGCTTGGCCCAGCTCATCCTACTTTTATTTCTTGAAGTACTGAGGGGTATAGCACAGCAGCACCAGCACCTGCCGGGCAAGCACAACGTCCTAAGTTTCATTTCCAGTACCCCACCCCCCCCAAAAAAAAAGTGAGAGAGAAAGAAATACTGAGGATTGAACCGAGGAAGTACCGAGCTACATCCTCAGCCCTTTTCCTCGTTTTACTCTGAGACAGGATCTTGCTAAATTACCCAGGCTGGTCTCAAACTTGCCTCTTACCCTCCTCCCAAGTAAGTGACGTTACAACATACACCAGCTAGCTAGCGTCATACTATTTTTGAGCTGGTTTTAGCACCTAAAACCAATGATCTTCAGGGATCTGAAATTGCCACAGAAATTCATTTCATCTATACTCTTACTTAATTTCACAAGTAATTTTAGCAAACCATTAAAATAGAACCTCCCTCTAGAAACTTTTATTTTCAAACAAGACAGCTATACCTTCAGAGATCACTCATCCTGGAGCAAGTAATTCCTGTCCACCCATCAACAAAACTTTTTCACCTCTCCCTCATGCACAGGCTCTTGGGGTGCTATACTGACTCCCCAGGCTCTAGTTTATTCGCTAGAATTATACTACCTTATGTGGCCTCAGTGTCCAGCTTTTATGTCCAGTTAAAGGAGAAGAGAACTTTTCCAACAAAACTAGGCAGTTTTCTACATTCATTCCTCCATGAATCTATGGTAACAATGCGAAGCTCCTTCATTTTCCCTAACTATATAGTAAACTCCATTTCCCAGGTTTCTTGCCTGTAAGGTTGGGCCAATTGACTTCCCTCTGGCTCATTAAAAGAAAGAAAAATAAAATAAATGCTATTCCCATTCTACAGAGGCTTTAGAAAACAGCAATAAAAGACGGAGAGAGCGCAGGTCTCTGGGCCATTTGAAGCAGAGGCTTTACTTCCAGCCCTGCCCGCAACAACTTGCACTGAACTAAAGGAAATGCAACTTTCATCTAGCAAGCTACTCAAAGTTGTGGATAGTTTTGTTTCCTATGCTACCATACAGTACTCTAACAAAAAATTATCTGATAGCCTTATATGACAGAATCACAAACAATATGGCATCACTTTACAGCCAATTAGATGTACAGTACTGAAACAAGTGATAAGCAATATCACGGCTAAAAGAATCAATCTATGCACCTTTGTGTCTTGAAAATGCATGAACCTTAGATTCATAAGCGTAAGCAATTCCTAGAAATCCAACTTGAACTATAAAACACACCAGCCTTACATGATAGGCAATTAACACCCACTTGTATCCAAAAATACATTTCACCTCTCAATAAGCACAGACAGCAACCTAAGGATTTTACCTAAAACTTCTATTCAAATGAAATAATTTTATAGTAATAGCTTGCTCAAAAATATGGAATACTGAGTCACAGACTGTAGGAATTGGAAATACTTTATAGCCCAAAAGAAAGCTTAAAATTCACCCCCCCCCAAGCACCCAACACCTCTGTGTGCAGGCTCCTTCTAACAGCCTTTTAAAACATTTTTTTGGGGTGGGGGGTGGGGATACCAGGGATCTGTTCATTTTATCAGGTCTGTTAAGGTATTCAGGTCACAGAAAGAAATGTTCTCACTGGGAACTGGGGCTCAGTGACTCAACCCATCCATTTCACTGGGTTCATACACACAAATGCAAGGGAATGAAGAGGAGATGATTAAGGTGTAGACATCTGCCAGAATGAAACCCATCAATCTCTGTAACTAGTGTGCACGAATGAGAAATGTGGAGGAAATTCTTTAAAATGAGGCAAATCTGGCAGAACACTAACATCTGCCAGAGTGATTGGCACACATGCCTTCATGTAACATATTCTGACCCTATCTGAAAACTTGTAATACAAAAGAAGAAAGGGAAAGAAACAGCCTTTGGCATTTCTTTCTAGCCCAACTCATTCAACCTTAGCTTCCAGGATCAGTTCTTCACTGCACACAGTCTTTCCTCTGAGCCCTTTCCTCCTCCTCTCCCCCTAGACTGTCTGCATCTTCTGGGGCCTTCACCCTGACCTCCTCACATCCCCAAATGAGGGGGGAACATTATTTAAGGACCTTAGCTCAGTCATCAATAAAAGGCTTAATCAGAGCAGCAACACCAGAGGTGTGACAAGGTTAGGAGACTCAGACCCAGGAGGCTGACTGGCAATGCAGTAGCCCAGGCAGCAGGGGAAGGAGAGTCCATGAGGGCCAAGACCCAGGATGGGGGCCTGAGGGCTGGCACAGGGATGCAGAACCAGGCTGCATTCCCCAGGCACTGGGGACACAGAGCACAGGGAGTGGGAATCAGAATTCAGAGGTGGGATCCTTACAGTAGAAATAGAAATGATGCAGGGCACACACAAAGCAACTGGGACTCCACTCACGTAACACATCAGAGGCATACCCCAGCCTTACTGAGATCCTAGGACCTCATGCTGCATCTACATGGAGCCAGCTCCCTGCAGGACATGGCATGCAGGCCTTCCTCCCTTCTCTGGGCCCACATCAGCATGCAGCTACTGCTTTGCATTCAACTTCCTGCTATGAAGACCCTAGGTTCCAAGGCCCAGATTTAGGGCCACCCAAGCCCCTGGCTATTTGTTCTTCATCCTGCAGCTGAAATAGTCCCTGCTCCTCTGAGAGGTCTAACTCATGGCTGGTCCAGAAACAGACCATGCTGGCCTCGGGGCCTATTTCTTGGTGAAGGGCAGGATGATAGTGCTTAGTCCTGATAGCAATACCCTACACTTCAATGAAGCCCTTATCTTTTTTGGCTTCTCTCTATCTCTGTGAATCCCCAGAGGCCATTTGTTACCAGTCACCCTCGAATGCGCACTAAAAATTTCTGTACCATGAATGATAATAACTAGAGTAGCAGAATCATGCATAGGAAAAAAGAGGCCTGAATGCCACAACAGACCCTTCAAAGGACAATTCCCAAAGTTTTATTAACCAGTATGTGACCAACAGCCATCCCTGCTACGTCACCTCAGCTAACTCTGCCTGTCTGCTGGCGAGTTTATAAGCACTCAGCACTACAATCAGCATATCTGAGTTTCCTGCACAGCTGCCTCTTCAAGATCCTGGAGTGAATCACATAGGAACAGGCCTCAAAAGCACACTGCCATGGAAACACACAAAGCGAATGAAGGAAGGGCAAAAAGACCTATCCTCAGAGTGGGACAACAATGTATGCTCAGGCCAGTGGCAAACACACAGGCTGGAAACCAGGCTGGCCCCAGATCAACAGCTCAGTGCAAGGTGGGACAGTCATGGGGAAACAGGGAGTGTGGCAACCAGTCCAGACAGAACAGGTGTTGGTTATGATGCAATCCCATCACCTCTTCCCAGGTGCCAGATGTGACTGAAACCTTCAAGACATAGAGGGTAGTGCAAGTAACTCAAGGCCTCTTCTTATCATCACCCAAAGAAGCCACGCTTTCTACCAAAACATGCCCAATGACATTCTGCAATTTTCAAATCCAAATTCTATCTTGCAGTCATTGTTCTGAAAAAAAAAAGATTATCTTGAAACTCATGATATTCAGAAAGAGGCATCCACTTGAGGCTGGTGTGTGCCTTCACCTCACTGAGGCTGTCCTGGCTGTCATAGGTGTATCCCAGAATTAAAGACAGAAACTTTTTCAGCAAGTTCAGGGCTGGGCCTGTTCCTAAGACAGAGAGCAGAGTAAAATGGAAACAGGATGCATGTGTTGTTAGGGGGAGGGAGGATGTTACTCCAATAATAGCCCAGTCTGGGAACCGGAGGAAGATACCTGAGCGCTCCATTGAGTGCTCTACTTCCAAAAGATAGTCACACACACACTCTCTCTCTCACACACACACACACACACACACACATACACACACACACACAACACGCATACCCTCTGATACCAAAAACTAGGGCTGAGCCTGTGCATACTCACTTGCAGTTTCGTTACACTCGAAGTTGATGACACTCATCCGCTGAAAGCCCGAGCTGCATTCCTCGCCTCCAAAATATATCAGGGTGAGGTCTCCATCAGAGTACCTAGAATTTTGTGAATATGTAAATGTGTTTTATAGAACCAAGAAACAAATTTGAATTTTTAAAAATTGCTAATTTAGTTCTCTGCATGCCATCCACAAATCACAGCTGACATAAACATGGAGTGCTCCAGCAAGCTGGGGAAAATGTCCTAGAAACTAAGTTCCTACTACACAAGATTCAAATAATAATGGGCTGCAGGAGAATGTAGACAGTTTTGCTCTGAGTACAAAGACTTCTCTTGCTCTCACTTTTGGATTTCATACAAAACAAATAATGCCCAAGGTTTAGGCAGATTTTTGTTAGTCACTGCCATAAGTACAATCTCATCTGAAGGACTCTGAACAAGACTTGTTTCAGAAAACTGTTTCTTTACACTACTTTACTGACAGTACCTTCCATAAGAATGAACTAAATAGGTCAAAAGAAATGTGCTAAATCAATCTGTTCAGCTGCTTAGAACTATTACACAGTGCTAACAGCAGCCTCAAACTACCAGAGAAATATCAAAGTCAAAAGCATAAATTTTAAAATACAGATGTTAACTATAAAGTAGTTAAGTAAATTTCCTACACTACAGTTCCTCACACACAATAGATTTACAAGCAAACAGTTCTAACAGATGCGCTCTTATTGTGAAGTCAGGAAAAGCAAACAGCTGTTTCGTGACAAACTGCAACAGGCCTACGTTTCGGAGGAAGGAGTAGCTGGCTTCGCTGACTTTCCTGTACTTGGGGAAAGTGGGAGAAGGAAGGGGACTGGGACTGAATTATGTCTCACGAGCACACATACAATACACTTGACAGTCACACAAGTGCATGTGTGCACGGGGGCTGCTGACTCACCGGAGAGTCTGGTTCTGTGGCCTTCCTGCTATCTTGACTTGAGTATTGTCGCTCTTCTTTACTTGACAAACTGCAGCCTCTTTCTTATTATTACAGGCAACGGACTTAGCCTCTCCACAGACATTTAAATAAAATATATATTCTTTTCCATCAGAAGTATAGGACCCTTTAAAGAGAATAAACAAGAAGGGCTTGTTTGCAATGACAGCTGCCCCAAAATGAAGTATTCCAGGAGTGCAACCCAAATCCCGATCCCAATCCCAGCCCAGCAGAGCCCGAGATGGTGCTCTCAACTTCCTTGGCCATCCTGCTCCCTGTCCCTCCCCTGCTTCCCGAGTGGCACCACAAGCCACACCAACCACAGGCTCCTGCTCACCTCCCAGCATGTTGAGAGGTCTGAGGTCAATGGCAATGTCGTGCTGCCCGCTGCTCAGGGTACAGGTGCTGCTCTCCAGGTAGTCCCTGTGGCAGGCATACTCTGTGATCCATTCAACTTCATAACGGCAATTGGACTTGGCAGTGAGCTTGGGGAGAGTGCCCTATCGGGAACACCAGAAAAGGGGTAAAATGAAAGTTTTCAATACAGCTTAAATGCAAATTTTTCATGCTTTTAAAAAGCTCAGGTGGGCTGTTGGGTTTTTACATTTTTTTTGTTCCTAGTGTTCAAATTATAATTTCCATTATGCATAATTCCATTTACTTTTAACCTTTTTACTTTAACATTTTTTTATTTGACTTATAACAATGCCACTGATATAGTTCCACTTCCTTTCTGATCACCTTCACAGTGACACCAAGCTTTAGCCCACAAATCCATAATGCACTCAGCATTACCTGAGAATCACTGTAACCCTGGCAAGCAGCAAAGAGGGAGGAGGGGTATGTGGCCTGACTGAACCCCAACATTAAGTAAACAGCAATATACATGCAGGGAGATGATCTGCAATGCCTTTCTAAGGCTGGCAAAGGGGATTGGCACCACTGCATCTGTGTTCAAATCTACTGGAAGTCACCCAAACAAGTCCAGATTCTGCCTTCATTATGGTTTATATCTAGATGTCCCCCAAGATCCTCATATGTTCACAGCAGGAATTTGCAAAAGTGACTGGACTATGGGAGCATTACTGCTAATCTGCCATTAGGCGGTGGGCCTGGTTAGGCCCACTGGAGCCTGGCCTGGAGGAGTGTGATCTCCCTTGAACTCTTTCTTTCTCTCTCTGCATCCTGGCTGTCATAACATATGAGTTTTCCTCTGCTATGCCCCTCTCCCAGGCCATTTCTGTCCTGCAGCCAGTCAACCATGGACTGTAAATGTGAACCAAAATAAAGCACTCCTCCTTTAATTTGTGCACAGTGGGTATTTTGTACCAGTGATGAAAAAAGTGATTCAGACATCCACGATGCTGCCTTCACAACTAGTGGCACCCATGCACATCTTCAGTGCGAATTGTGGAGGGAGCAGATGATATCCAGACTCACTAGAGAGCCATCATTTCTTTTTAACTCTCTTTGGAAGAATACCTTATCAGGAATAGTAGCTTAGCTGCCTATGGCACTGATTCTGTATTTACTGAGCTCTACTACAGGTCAGTTATAATACCAAGCACTTAATTTACAGCACATCACACAGTGAGTGAGATGCTCCAGAGCTAGACTACCGAATACACACACCTGTCTGATTGAAAACTGATGCTGCTCCTGAGCTCAGTGTGTCTACCACAAATGCTGCATAGCCATATGCTAAGTGAAAGAGCACCAAAGCCAATATAGTAGGCTACATTTAAGTAAAGAGCCACAAAAGGCAAACCCACAGAGACTGCCAAAAGGTTGTGTGGCTGCCTGGACAAGGCTAACAATTGAATGTGACTGTTCTTTTTAGGATGATGGAAATGTGGTGAAGGCTGTACAACTCGATAAAAAAAAAATATTAAGAATCACTGACTCCTACTTAAAAATGGGTAGATTTTACAGGACGTAAATTCGATAAAACTTTTTTAAAAGAACTCTATGACAAAATAATATTTACTCAATGCTAGCTGCCAAACGCGTTCAATAAGCCAACACAGATGCTTAAATAAACCCTCTAAGTGCTGCAGTATCCAGGCATAAGTAATACAAGTCTGGCCAGGGAAATGTTCTGCTGAAAATGGGACTTCCAGTCTCAGGAATAACGTATCAGCCTCCTCTCCAAATGATTCAAGTTCTTTGGAGAAAAGCTCCCAGTTCTGTGTGTGTGTGTGGGGGGGGGGGTGTCTCGGGGTTTTGCTATGTGCTTCAGCCTGGCCTTGAACTCACTTTGTAGCCCATGCTGGCCTCAAACCTCATAACAATCCTCCCTCAGCCTCCTAAGTGCTGGGATTACAGGCACGTGACACCATGCCTGCCCCAATTCTTGTAACTTAGTGTAAAATTATTATTAGCAAATACAGAACAAGCAAAAGGAAAAACTTAAAACACAAAAAAGTACCAAGATATTAACAAAAGACTTCAGTAGATACAACTGTAATTAAATATTCATTCACTCTTAATTCAAAACTAGCCCAGACAACAAGGTCTCATTAGAATGACATCACAAGGACATGGGAGGTTAGAAACATTAAACTTCGGGAAGCTGAGCTCGGACTTGATTTATCTTCAGGTTCACACACACCAACAGGCCAGGGGCCAGCCCAAAACTAAAGCAAATTCCACATTTGTTTGGGGGAGGGTGTGGTTTTCTGGCAGAAGAATTCAGGCCTTCCTTATTAGAATGGCAGAAATAAATTAAAGAAAAGGCCTGGTCCTTCCTCCCAGGGGATGAGTCCTTCCCATCGGCATCCGGCTCCCTTCCCAGACACTTCACGGAAAACCAACTCATTCACAGGTTGCCGGGTATGGAGGTCTCAAGGAAAGTAAGACTCAGCCCTCAAGAAGTTTACAAATGTGCTATCGACATAGAAAAAAAGCCGGGCTGTGGTGGCACAAGCCTGTAATTCCAGCTCTGGAGGCTGAGGCAGGAGGATTGCCACAAATTCAAGGCCTGCCTGGTCTACACAATGAGTTCCAGGCCAACCTAAACTACATAGTAACGGGGAAAAAAGATCTGGCAAACAGCCAGAAGGAGCTGGGCATGTGATATAGCATGTACCTGACGTGCAGACACCCTGAGCTGGATCACCAGCACCACAAAACTAAAAACTAAAAAGCATCCAGAGGACAAAGTGATAAATTTGCTTGTGAAAGGTGACTGCAGGCAGGACAGGGTTATGGGTTGCAAATTACGGAAGATAAAGGCAATGAAACTCCTCCTACAAGAAAACCCAGGCTTGAGGTTACATCTAGTGTTTTTTTTTTTTTTAACTATTTGCCAAAGTCAACCCAACAGAGTCAGGCATGGTGGTGCACGCCTAGAATCCCAGCAATCAGGAGGCTGAGGCAGGAGGATCGCTGCAAATACAAATGAGTTCAAGGCCAGCCTGAACTGCAAGGCAAGGCCCTGTCTTTAAAAAAAAAAAAAAAAAAAAAAAAATTCCAGTGGTGCAAGCACATATACTTACTGCATGAACTTAATTCTTTCTGTTCACAAACCAAATTAAATGAGAACCAAACCAAATGCAATGATTAGGTTCAATGTAGATTTTACGGAGAAATCTGACTTGGTTCTCATCCAATCTGGATTATGACCAGAATCATGGAAATAGTTAAATTTGTGAACTGAGGTACCACTGTATCTCTTCGTGGTCCACTCAAAGGCAAACTAGAACACAATATCCCAACATTCCACCTAGCCATAGAGGCCTCTCCCAACTGGAGTGACTAAGTCCCCTCTGCACAGACACAGGGCATAGCTGGGGGCTCTCCAAGAGGCTGTGCCCATCCTGGCATCTCCCTTCTGGGTCTCCAGTCCAAGACCTCTTTGGATGGTTCACCCTCCCCTGCACCAGCCTACCTGCCCCAACCCTACATAGTCACTTAGGTATCTGGGGCTGAGGCTCACAGCTTAAATTTACCTTGTGACAAGCCACTTACCTCTCTCCGCTCAGAGGGGCACACAAATGTAATTGTCACTGCAGGGCTATGACCATCACAGAAGTCTGGCTTTCCCACCCCTTCCTTCACGTAAGTCAGGACGAGTCTGCAGGATCCACCAAGAAAAAGAGTATTTCAAAAGTGTCAATTACATTCAAATTAATGTAATGCTCTGAGCAGTGAACATCTTCATACAGAAGGACAGTAATAGAAGAAACAAGCTATAAAAGTAGCTACAAGAGTTTTGTTTCCATTAAGAAAAAAACAACACTCATAAGTATACTGCAATGAGCCAAATAAACAGAACAACTAATATACAAACTGAAAATACTAGAAGAGCTGTTTGAATAGAAATTTTTGTCAAGTACATTTTTGAGCACAAGGCTATTTCTTTTCCTTTCTTTCCCCCAGTACTAAGAATTGAACGCAGAGCTTTTGCACTGATTTACATCCCAGCCCTGTCGCTGAACTGCCCAGGGTGGGCCTGAAGTTGCATCCTCCTGCCTCAGGCTCCCTTAGTGCTGGAATTATAAGCATGTGCTACCACCCCCACCTCCCTATGAACAACTCTAGATAGTGTTTTTTTTAACCTGTAGATAGGCCAGCAGACCTATCACAGCCAGGGTTTCTGCAGGAGGCAGCCCAGGTCAGAGAGTTCTGTCCTCACATACACCCACAGATCCCATGTACAGCCACAGAAGTGCTGGAAACAGGCAACGTGCGTCTTTTCCCAGACAAGCTCAAGCTTCCGTACAGTGCCCTCATTTCACCACATCCTCACCAGCCCACCTAGGATACAGAATCAATAATTTGTCACTCTGGACACTCCCTCTTGGCCATATGGTGACGCCCCCTAACCCTTACAACCTCAGCCGTGACTACTTGGAGACAGGGACTTTAAAGAGATTAATAAGTGAAAATGAGGTCAGATATGTGGGCCCTAATCCAACACTCCTGGTATCCTTGTCCAAAGAGGAGTCAAGGACACAGACAGAGTAAGGAACGTGTTAGGACACAGGGAGAAGATAGCACTTTAACAAGACAAGGAGAAAGACAAGGATGCCAGAAACCAACACGGCTGACACCTCAACCTTGGGCGTCTGGCCTTTAGAGTATGAAGGAAAAAATTCTATTGGTTCAGTCAACTGATCTATGATGCTCTCTTATGACAAGAGCAAATTACACAAAAATTCTCAACATTAGCCAATTCAGGTCATGTGTCAGTATTTTCTTCAGACAAAATTACAGTCCAAAGCGGCACCTCATTCCTACAATCACTCTGATTTTTGACACACCACTGGTTCCAGAACAGAGTCAGGCAAACCTAGGAGCCTTACCAAAACCCTTCAATACAGGCAGAAAGTCAAAATCCCTGATCCATGTTCCGGATGTCACATGTAACAGGTTGGAGAAAAACACAGTTCTTTGTTATGGTTGATACTTTGTGCTAACTTGTGAAGTTTAGAAGCTTAACTAAGTAACTCAGCAGTTCTACATCCTGAGTATAGAGGACATATCCTTTCACAGTGTGAAATTCAGAAGCTTAAACTAAGTGAGTCAGCACGGGGCCAGGGTCCATCCTGTGCAAGAGGAGGACACCAAGACAGTATGAGTGGTACAGCCACCCAAGGGCAGGTAGCCTGCTTACAATATAAGAGAAGCAGAGACGTTTCTCCTCCTACCCTTTGGCACTTGCTGCTTCCACCGTCTACTGCCGCCTTCAACTATTGCCCTTCACCATCCCCTCCCCCCATCTCGGAGCTGGTTGATTTACAGACTAAAATGTCTACAAATTGTGAGCTAAACAGATCTTTCCTTCCTTAACTTTGGGTGTTAGATATTTTGTCTCAGCAACATGAAAAAATATTTCACACAATCTTAAAGCACACAATCTTTTCTACAATGCTCCACAAGGTGTACAATCAAAAGATACAAAAACATGTCTAAACAGTACAACTTATTACCTTCTCTGCTGGGAACTGGAGTGCCTTTCATACCCAAGTTAGGAGGAAAGCCTGGAAGGTCACTGGCAAACTGCCTTCCATCTCTCATCTCCACAGAACAGATAATTATGGATAAAAAATTAACTTCATGGGCAACAGGGAAGCATCTAAAGGTAAGTATGACCTCAAGAAGCAACATAGCGATGTGCTATAGAATAGACCATGGTAGGTATTTTTACTGCTATGAAAGATGTGTAAAGCTGCGTGTGGTGCCACATACCTATAATCTCAGTGCTCTGGGAAATTAAAGTATGAAGGATCACAAATTCAAGCCCAACCTGGGAAACTTAGTAACTTTGCAAAACTGTCTCAAAATAAAAAATAAAAAGGGCTGGATGTAACTCAGTGAGAAGGCCCTGGATTCAATCTTTAATACTACAAGACAGAGAGAGAGAGAGAGGAAGGGGGAAAGAAGGAGGAAGAGGGAGAGAGATCTAAGTGAGTAGATCACAAAGGGAATGAGCACCAACCAATCAGCTGACGTGATTCAGTAGTGCACAAAGATCTTACACCTATGAAGGAGCAACTGTGCAGGCCCATCTCAAGTCTGCAGGCAAGGAGTACACCAGCCACTCACTACAGATCAGCTGCTTGTGAGTAACAGAATGCAGACCACTACAGAGGCAGCACACTGACCTGTCCTTGCTTGCTAGCTTTAGCCCCTCCTTGGGCTGGCCGACATCAAACGCCTGGTTCCCTCGAAGCAAGCAGGCAGCAGTTCCCACTGGACAGGCACGCAGCTGTGGACTTAAGTCCCGCAGGGAGTCTGTAACACATCACATCACATGCTCTGTTAAAGCAGATGAACGATCAGAAGTGGTACTCAAAACACACTGAGGTCCACAGGTACTGTTAAATGTCTCCATCAACTACAGTTCTGAGATCCTGGGCTAGTCAGCTATCTGGCCACACAAAGCAGCCATCCGGCCACACAAAGCAGCCATCCAGCCACACAAAGCTCAGAGCAGGGACGCTGCACATCAAATACAGACAGGACCATGAACAGGGACTGTTGCATCATCTGTACTTTACTGAATATTCCCAACCTCTCCTAGAAGCCTGCTAACCTTAACATTCTCCTGTTTCAAGCTAGAAAGAAGCTAGAAAATGCAAGCACCCTACAGGAGTGGAAAGATTCAATCAGTGAAAAGAATCAAGGAGTTCTGAGCTCACATTCCAGATCAACCCCCTTCTCACTCTTGTGCGATGAGACTGGTCCAGCTGCCAAGGTGCAGCTTAAAGGCTGAGGAGGACCGATGATCAGAACTAATACACCCATGACATGCCAGGCATAAGGAACCACAGCAGGCTCACTGCAATGACTATACCTGTTAAATCTCCATAGCCCTGGGGATTTAGCTCAGCGGCATAAGTGCCTGCCTTGAAAGCAGGCAGTCGAACCCCCAACTTCAAAACCCGTTGGGTAATGGCATAGTCCTACTTGATGACTACTTCATTCCACACATAATGCATGCTATCTCCAGGCTACTGTCCTCCGCTGGACCACTTTAGTGCAAAAGTAAGTGACCAATATACAAAACAAACAAACAAAAAGCCACAGTCACAAATCTGAAACTATTCATGAGGGTTTGAGGATCACATTTGAAGTCAGTTCGAGGCATGAGGGCAATTCCCTGAGGATAGACAATATCCGAAACAAAGAGATGCAGTCAGATAGACAGCACATGACATCACGCAACCATCTAAAAACAAAGTCACTGAAATCCTACCCAAGTTGGCAGCAAATTGGGAAGAAAAGTAAGTATCATAAAGAAAATATCCAGTGAGCCAGGCATGGTGGCTCATGCCTGTAATCCCAGCACTTGGGAGGTTGAGGCAGAAGGATTGTTACAAGTTCGAGACCAGCCTGGGCTACAAAGTGAGCTCAAGGCCAGCCTGAACTGCATAGTGAGGCCCTGTCTCAAAAAGACCAAAAAAAAAAAAAAAAAAAAAAAAAAAAAGAAAATATCCAGTAAATTCAATGATCCTCAAAAGGATAAAGAACCAAAAATATAACTGTTTGCTGAATCAAAACAGTTTACCGTTTTATAAGTCAATAATCTACAAAACCCTTAACTTTATAACCAAAATGGAATTACTGAACCATTTAGGTTTAGCTTTTGTATCAGCTTTTCCCAAAAAAAATAACCACTGTCTCTGACATAGTAAGAAAGACATGATAATCTGACACAAGAAGATCTAAAACTGTCGCTGGTGCCAGGCATGGTGGCACACTTCTGTAATCCCAGCACTCAGGAGGCTGAGGCAGGAGAGTTGAAATAAATTCAAAGCCAGCCTGAACTACAAAGAGAGACCCTGTTTCAAAACACAAAACAACAAAAAAATTAAGTCATCACTAGACACTTCTAGTGAGCCATATATGAGACATATTTATTATTTTTAGCTTTAGAAATAATACAGAAACAGTATGTTTCTATCCACCTTAAAGAATCATGTACTGGGCTTATTTTTAAATTATTTTTCTAAATTTTCCAAAGAGCAAAGTGTTACACACTGTGTGTGAAACAGAAACATAAGGAAAACACTCAAAATGATCTTGGTATTATCTAATCAGCACAATTTACTCACAGCCCAGTCATCGCCAGCACTACAGAAAAGCAGCCGGGGTTGCGACACTCATGGCCTCTCCAGGAACCATAAAGCTAGGGAGCCTGAGAAACCCGTGGCTAGTTTAAAGCTTCAGGGCTCTTTTTTGATAAAGCGCATTTATTTACATCCTTTGGTTATCCTACTAAAGATACCCATACCCCATTTTGGCATCTATGAAGAAAGCCAGGGAAGAAGTATATCCAGCCTAAAATATGTCAAACCAAGTTCCCAAAGCTTCCTTTGTCACTTCTCGGGTTCTTCTGCCCAGCCTGCAACTCAAAGCCAACGGCCTTACTCACACACAGCAAGCTGGATCAACCCTTCCTCACCACAGAACCCTGAGACCCAAAAGTCTGACCGACAGACACAGAACCGACTGATAATTTAGGTACAAGCTGAGGGGTCAGAGAAGAGGCATTCAGAATTTAGGGAGAAGGGCTGGAGTTAAGCAAAGAATACATCATTCAAGATAAAAGCTTTCTTAGAGGCCCTAACTGGTGTCAGAAACATCCACATGTAATAAGAGGCGGAAGGGAAAAGGCAATGGGGGAGGGCTTCGAAGCATCCCTTCACCATCCTCTTCTCCACGCAAAGCTTCTTACCTATGTCTCTACAGACATTGATGAAAAGAGAAGTGTCCGGGTCGGAGTCATCTACCAGGTAGCCACCACTTACTTTGATCAGTGGATTTAAATCATGCTTCTTTAACTCTGCATCAAACACATAGCATGGCACCTGGAAGAAAGGAGGAGAAAGACTGAGACAACATTCTCCACACTGCTCACAGCTCGGGACTCAGGATCAGATGAGGCTCTAGGCAGGGTCACACAGTGCTGGTCTCTGAGCCTTACAGCCTAACCAAGCAGCGTGGCTCCCACCTACTCAAGCGCCGTGTTTCTGGAATCATCTCCTCATATCTGCACCACGGTTCTCTCTTGACTGGATTACAGCCCTCATTTACCGCAGTATCTACCACGTTACCAGTGCCCGCCCACCCCCATCCCTAAGTCACCCTCAGCTGTCATTCCATCACTAGAATTTATAGCACAATTCCTTGACTGGTCCCTCATCACTGCTTCTTCTCCCTCAGCTCCCATTCTCTCCCGTTCTCTGATTAGTCCCAACACATCAGACTGCTGCCTCTCGCCCATCAAAGCCATGCCTGCCAGGGCACCACTGACGTCCCCACTGCTGGCTCTGACGCTCATTTCCCGGCCCTCTCTTTGCTGTCTACAGCATGTGATGCTGCTGACCATGGCCTTTGCTTGAATTTATTCTTCTCCTGGCTTCCTTTGACGCCTCTGCTGGTTCCTTCTCAGGCTCCTGGCGTATTTTTCATTGCTCTTCTAACTAACTCCTGCAATCGGACCTCTTCTTTATCTGGGTAGGCTGGTCCCTTGGTCCCCTCATTCAGAGCTCTCAGCAGCTACCTACAATCCTCAAACAGGTGCTGCCAACCTTGACCTTGGCCTACCACCCTGACCAGCGGAGTCAACAGGAGAAGCTGCGTTTGTGAGTACAGTCAAGGAAGAATGACTGAGTGTAAACTCTACTGCTGACACTTAGTATGACCAGTAACAAATGAACCTCTGTGCCTCCATTTCTCTAAGGGTCAAATGAGAATAAGGAAGAGTAACAATGATTTAAGAGTATGCAGAGCTCTGGCACAGATTCTAGTTAGGTCAACCTGAGTGCTTTCACTGCTTTTTACCACCACTAACACACAGACGTATGAAGCATTCTGTAGTTAACTCATGTAAAATAAACCTTTGACTTCTCTGCCAAAACGTGCTTTTACCCCGATGTTCCCTATCTTAATAAATGGGAAATCATTCTGCCAGTTGCCTGGGTCCAAACGATGAGATTACCTACACTTCTCACTCTCTCATATCAAGTCCAACTGCTGGCAAGTCCTTTGAACAAAGTCCTAGACCCATTCCCTACTCATGTATGAACCACTGTAATCTGCCTGCAACAGTTCCTGAACTGGTCCACCAGTTCCAGTTTATTTAATCCCCTCTCCTCTTCGAATTCTCCATGACCGCAGGCTGAAGCTTCCAAAATGAAGTCAGGGCACATCTTCCCAATTCAGAACAGCTTCTAAGTATGCAGAGAACAAAGCCCAAGCTTCTCCGAGATCTCCAGCCTTCTCCCTGCCAATCCTCTTGATCCATGTGGCCACATTAGTCTCCTAATGTAGTTTTGCCCCATGAAGCTCTCTCCCTCACTGTACCCAAATCAATAGGTGAAGTCACCTGTTATGCATTATCTGCTCAATAAAGCCTAGAGAGGAGTTCTTCTTTGGGTGGCTTTAGTCACTCTTACCAATTCTGATTTATGACCACACTTGTGTCTCCAGGAACTATATGGCCTTTTATTTTTAAAAGGTCAAGAAACACATTGCAGGTGGCAAAACCTGTGCTGTACTTTAAGAGTTTTACGTCTTTCTGTAGCAAAGCATTGAAATATAAAGATGCATGCAGGGGGTTAAAAAAAAAAAAATCCTGATCACCAAAGGAACACAACCTACTTCCATAATTTTATGTGAAATGCCCCAGAAATTTTATTCCAAAATTTGGTATCACCTTAAGTGACCTAAAGAATACTCTAAAAATTTATATTCTCTGAGATCAAGGTAGTAAAGCTAGATGTGGTGGTACAGTCCTAAGTCCCAGCACTAGAAAGCTGACACAGACTGTGACTACATAGCAAATCTGGCACAAAATAATAAAATAGTTTTTATTATTTTTGCATGGATACATTTCCTAATATTTTATCTTTTAGGCTGATGCAATTCACAGGCAGGTCTAGATACTTGCTTTTCAACTTTTCTTAGAAAGATGCTATCAAACCAGAAGGAAGTTTGCTTTAACACTGACCTTTTCCCCAGGTCTGATTGCAGAGATTTCAAAAAGAGGAGTATACCAAACAACTTATAACTCACATAGCCTCAGGGGACAAATGAACTCTGGTCAACCAGATCCTGAAAGCAGAGTCTCCCAGGACTGACAAGTTTCTCAAGTCCATTCTCCTGACAGGCAAGGAGAGCAAAGCTGAGGAAACAAGCACAAAAGATACACCCCTCCCCCCACCTCCCTACACCTCCAAGAAAGGCAATGAAGAGGTTACAAGTACAGACTACAGCCAGGCTGCAGTGAAAAGCCATCACAAATGTCCCTAATCCAACAAATCTAAAGCTTGCTATCCTACAGCAACACCACACACACTGACTCACAAGGCCAGGATGAAGACAAGAAGCAACTCTAAAGCTAGCCAAATGGAAACAAGCCTGCGGCAGAAAAGGAAGCTAGATGGGACATGGCAAGAGGGGAAGATGGAGTCACTCCAAGAACTAGCACGTGGTTCTGAGACTGGCTTCATCTCATCAGGGCACCTGGAGGATTCCAGCTTAGAAAATCACTTGATCCTCACTCAAGACAGCTGGGAACCTCGGCTGTCGCACTGACCCAGGAGTGTGCCCTGGAGTGGGCATCAGAAAATCAGTCCAGGCTCTTGGGGAACATTTCTCACTTCCTGCTTCACTGTGCAGAGTAATAGAGAAACTGCTAATGTCACAGTCTGGGGAAGGAGGTCATCTGCTGGCCTTTTGACACACTGCACTGAGTGTGGTTGGTGTTGCTTTACATCTCCTATAGTATCTTTCTTGTGTCTTACATAACTCTAGTAGGCTTGCCAGTTCTGCAACCATAAGCGCTGCGGGGATAGGATATATACACAGTGTTTTAAAGAAATAATTAAGCAAGGCATGGTGATACATGCCTGTGATCCCAGCACTTGGTAGGCTGAGATAGGAGAATCACCTGGGCTGCAGAGTAAGTTCAAGGCCATTGTACCCACAGAGATCCTGTCTCAAAAAAAAAAAGAATCTTTAAAACCTCCTCCAATATCCACTGAATAAGCATTATAAAACTAGTTTTCTTTAAAAAGTAAATCATTCAAAACTTGACAGCAAAATTAACAAAGGAAATGAGACAAAAAATGAAGTATAAAAATAAAAATTACTCTGGCATTAACCCAATGAAGATTTTTTTATGTATGATAAGTGTCTTACAAGTACACAAAACCTTTCATGTATTTTTTTAAATTGTCATACTATAACCTAAAAGGTGCAGTCACATATTGAAGACAGAAAAAAGCGTATGTGCACTATTAACATCTGTTAAAGGTGACAATGTTTTTAGAAAGTCATGCTCTATAGTGCTATCTAACTAACCTATCTCTAAGAAAGAAGAAAAAAGAAAACTGAGCTTTGGCATATAGATATGTCCTCCATAGCATTAATCTATGGGCTCCCTGAAAGCAAGAACTATTTCAGAACTCAATGAAATTCTCTTTGTTTTGTCTACAATACAATACATTCTCACCAAATGAAACCAAAGAAATAAAGCCCCAGCTGCAGACTATATCAAAAAGACATAATTGAGAACAAATTGGTAATATTTCTCACGCATCTTCATCACCTTCTAAAAGAAACAGTCATTGCTTGAAAGAAAAAGACTACAGCTCTCCACTACCACTATGAAAGCTACTTACAACACAGCACTGCATAGTCTGCAAAGGGTCACGGCGGGGGCCAGTGCCCGCAGGCTTTGCTGGCCACACAGATCCTCTACACATTTTTCACATATGTTTTAATCTTATAAAAACCATTCTTAACTCTACAAAAAGGGCCACTAGCAAACTACCTGCAGAAAATAAAATGCCATTTGCTATTTTGAAAAGCAACTATTTCCTAGGTGGTGAAGATACAATTATCACCTCAGCAAAGTGAGGTTAAGAGGGAAACTGAGGGGATACTAAGATGAAAGAGAAACCCATCTCACTTCCGGGTTGGAGAATGTGAGCTCACAAGAACATATGTGGGGCAGAGAGAGGCCCAGGGTGTAACAGAAAAATCAGAGAAGTGGAGCACCCACTCAGAATCCCTCCTGGAAATCCAGGAGCTTTTATCCTTCTCCCTATTTCCAATAAAAACTCTCCTAACTTTGTGGGTAGGGGAATAGGCAGGCAGACAAGTAGGCAAGAAAGGAGAGGGATTCACTAACTGGACAGTAAGGGAGGACTGTCTCCCAATCAGCCCACAAATAGATTTCAGCTTTGAGGTGCTCTGACTACCACCAACAGTACATATGTCAATAGCATCACTTCTGAAACTTAAGCGAAATTTAAATTCGACACTATCTTGCAAAAAATCTTAATTGTTTCCTCTTCAAGCTTTTTTTTTTTTTTCATTGCAATATTCCTTAGTCTTTTCTGGGAAGCAACATTTTGTCTTTTCTACTCCAATGTGTTTTTTGTTTAGCACATATCAATGACAATTTATTACTCATACTTTCATTTCTTTTTTTGGATAGCTTTTTTTTTTTTTTGGATACCTTGTGCTTGTTAGGCATACACTGTGCTGCTGAGCTATATCCCCAGCCCAAAGCAAATATATCCTTTTGCCCTTCTTTTGTTTGAGCTTTTTTCTGAGACAAAGTCTCAATATGCAGTTCAGGAGCCTAAGCTGGCCTCAAACTCATGGCAATATTCCTGCCTCCACCTTGGGAGTGCTGGGATTACCAGCATGGACCACCACTCCTGGTACCCTTTGCCCTTCTTAAACTACACATTAGACTGCCAGAAAAATTACTGACTGCTATCACTTGTTAGCTCTTAGATCCCAACAGAAGCCAAAGAGAATATTAATAGAGAACAGTGAGCTGAATCAGTTGCCTAAACAGGACCAGCTGCTAAGACGGCAGAGAGTTCCGCAAGTCCCCTTGACCAGGGAAAAGTGAAGCCGCAGAGCAACTTGAGGGGTCTGGCTAGAGAAGGGGGCTTCACTAATCAGCAAGGGTGACTTCACCAAGAGACCCACTGTGTATTACGGTGGCTGAAATTAGTAGCAAGCTACTGTGTTCTTGCAAATCACTAAGAATCGATTTTATTTTCAGCACAAAGTTTCACTAGCTCAATTTAGCTTTCAAAACTTGACTTGCACAATGCATCTGAAGGGGGTAGAAAGGCAAGAGGGGAAATGATCAGGCTAATCAATGCCATCCAAATAATACAAGGACACAGTAAATTATAGCAACAAGCAATCTTCTTTCTGAGGTGAACTGACCAAAATTTAAGAGGTAGAAATACCTGACCTGGATTCACCATATATATATATATATGAATGAAAGCCACCTTAAGGCTGAGTGAGGGGAGGGGTTTGACAACACAAGCAGGCAGAAGGAGCTATCAGAGGGAGCCTACCACAGGTAGGAAGCTAGGTGCTGAGGGAGGGTAGAACACTCTAAACCCAGGCTCAGCCCTGTTGCAGCTGACTGAGTTGCACAGCACCAGAAACAGAGAATTAAGATGCCGTATTTATATGAGTGAGGCATTCTGTTTCCAATCCAGACCAAAAATCACACTCTCTGATACTTTAAATGTCCTGTCCTAAAAATAAAAGCCACCAAAGAAGCTGGGCGTGGTGGACATGCCTGCAATCCCAGCACTTGGGAGGCTGAGGCAGGAGTATTGGCTTGAGTTCAAAGGCAGACGGGGCCACATAACTTCAAGATCGTCTGGACTACACAGTGAGAACCTATCTCAAAAGTTAAAAAAAAAAAAAAAAAAAAAAGAAAGAAAGAAAGAAAAATTTTAAATAACCAACCAAAATAAATTTTAACATGGTCTCTCTGTCCATCAAGTGGATACTGAAAACTAAAAATAATTTGCACGCCAAAAACCTGAAACCAGTATTTCAAATCTTAAAGACTTTTCTGTTAGGCCTGGAGTGGACTTCATGATGATATAAAGTCCTTGGTTACCTCTTTATTTGCTTTGAATGTGTCCTTCTTGCAGGCTGCAGTCGTTCGCCACTCAAAGTAATGTACACACTCTGTGGAAGTTACAAATTCAGGAGTTCCCTATTTAAAAAAAAAAAAAAAAAAAAACAGTTACCATGCCAAATATCATAAAAGATTTTTTGTTTTTTTTTTTTAAAGTTAGGACATAGTAAAGACTACTAAAAACAATAGGAGCAGCAAGAAGAACAGGGGAACAGAATCACTTTAGCTAAAAGAAGATCATTAAGATGTTCTCAAACCAAAAGTCTTGGAGACAAACCCCGTTGGAATTTGAGTAACTAGTCCAAATCTGCTCTACTGTCCCAACTACACAAATACAGTGAACTCACAGGAAGTAATCCTTGGACTGTCTACTTTCAAACTGCAAATGTTCTCCATACCAAATGCTAACAAAATCAAAGCCAGAAAGTGTGACCTCATCTTCCTGTGTGGAGCCCATCTGCACCTGAGTGAGTCTCACAGGACCAGGGCTCCACCCACAAAGCTGCTTCACCCGCCAGACCATGACCAGGGCAGACTCCAGCCCAGTCAGACTCCGCAGGTTTGGGTGACATGGGGCACAAGGGGAATTAACCTCTACAGCTCCGTGTGTAGATCCCAGGAGCTCATGATTTCTTATAAGGGCAACACAGAATTCTTAAGGGAAACTAAAGTAGAACAGCAGCTAGCTTATTCGGTAACAAAATATCTTCATCCTTCCTGCTACAGCAACCAGATTCTTTTTTTCAAGATCTCAATGTTAACAATAGTGCAACTGACAAGTTGACCCCAACGTTAACAATATTGTTCTGTTTTCAAACATCTTCAAGTGAAGATACAACAATCACAGCACCATATTCTAAATATTTTAACACTTACATTTTAAAGATTAGAACAGGTAACCTTATTTTTGGTTGAACCTGCATTTAAACTATGAAAAATGTGTAACATTTAAGTAGTTATTGAGGACTAACTACATTAAAGGCTCTATATGGCTATAGTGAACGCTAAATAGTAGCAAAAATTATTTAATATATTTTTCTGTAAATGATATATTAAATAAAAATCTTCTAGTATAAATCAAATCACCCTTTAAAAATTTTAGAAAAATGATATTTTAACGTTACCTGCAGCTGTTTCATTTTTTTTAAACACCTGGTTTCTTAGTTTAATTTGAGGATAATTATAAGATTTGTCTATTAGTTGCTTCTGAATTTCTCACTAGAACTTATTTACCACAAGTCTTCCCTTAAAAGCTGAAGATTAGCTAATTGTGATGGCACACACTTGCAAGCCCAGCACTCAGGAAGCTGAGGCAGGAGGATCACTGCAAAAGTTCCAGACCAGCTAGACTACATAGTGAGGGTTAAGACCAACCTGTATTACAAAATGAGACCTTATCTAAAATAAATAAATACAGACGGGAGTTTAGCTCAGTGAAATATCACTTGCCTGGCAATTGTGAGGTACTGAGTTCAATTCTCAGTACCCAAAAAGTAACATAACACAAGATGACACAACATAATATAAACACATACATACTAAAGATTAAAATCATAAAGTCATAAAGTGGAAACAAACATCATGTTTGACACAATTATGTCTCTACTTAAACCCAGACAATATATCCACAAAGCTTGAAACTTCCACTGCCCACTGGGTAGGCCTTCTCCCTGATTTAATGAAAATGAGGAAGAAAAAAATCATTTTTTAAAAAAACTGAATACAGGGCTGGGGATTTAGCTCAGCGGCATAAGTGCCTACCTGGCAAGCACGAGGTTGTGAGTTCAATCCCCATACCACAAAAAAAAAAAAAAAACCACTGAATACAATCCAGGCACACTGGCTCATGCCTATCATGCCTATAATCCCAGCACTCAGACTAAGAGGATCATCACGTCAAAGTTCAAGGCCAATTAGGCTACATACAAAGACTCTACCTCAAGCACATACAAATTTTTTTTGAAATTATAAAAAAAATTACAACAAAACGATCAAAATGAAAGGCTAAGGGAAAAGTTTGAGATAGAAACTGCAACATAAATACTACACAGCACTTTCAAATTTTAACACACTTTAACTCAGTTTTCACTCAAAGTTGTGATTTTAAGTTTGGGACTTATATATAAAAACATTTGGGATTTATTTACTAGCCCTTGATGATGATGGCAATTTGGTTGGAGTTTTTGTGTTTTAATTTGGGTCACTTATTCCTCCTGGATCACCTCTACACCAAGAATGCCCAAGGTGCTGATACTAACAAAAGAAATGCACCACAGTAACGGGTGGGCTCACCAGGGTTTTCCCGCACAGGAACGTGATGCTGCTCTGGACTTTGTGTTCTGCAGGCTGCTGCCCACAGTTCGTGGTTGTGTTGAATTCCAGAAGTGATCTGGCTGCATTTTTCAAAAGCGAGTCACCTATTTGGAAAAGAAACAGTGAAGGAGCCACAGAACATATAAAACCATGTATCTAACTCCAAAGATAAGAAAAAATAAAAGCAGTGCCACAGTTTATGTGAAAGGCTACAAACAGACAAACCACCCCAGCCTCAGAACCACCCATCTCAGGAATAGCATCCCCACCACAACAGCTGTTCAGGCCCACACATATGAGCTTGAGTCCTCTCTTTCCCTTCCTCTCAGAACTCTTAGAACTTCAGGAACTTGTGTTACATTTAAGTCCATTTCAAATCCATCCACATTTCGCTATCTCTACTTCCACTAACCCCACTAGCACCTCTCCTGTACTCTGGCCACGGTTTCCAGGGTTGGTCACCATACTCCCACTCTTGTCTTGTCCTTCACCATCACCCTTCCCAACCCATCTTGCACCACTGTGATCTTCAAAAACAAAATCAGAACATATAATTCAGCTACTATAAGCATTTACTGTCTCATCACACATGCCCTAAAACCAAAATTCTACAGTCATGAGTTAGGTGACTGAATACACCTGGGATCTTACTGTAATGATCCAGAATAAGAAGTCTATACAAAAATCAATATAAGGGTCAGGTTTGATGGTGCACACCCATAAGTCCAGTATCCAGGAGGTTAAGACAGAAAGATACAAATTCAAGCTGGACATCGTGGTGTGTACCTGTAATCCTAGCATTTGGGAGGCTGAGGCAAGAGGTCAGATCTGGGCCACACAGTGAAAAGTTTGAGGCCAGTCCAGGCAACTTAGTGAAACCCTATCTCAAATTAAAAACAAAAAGGGCTAAAAAGTAGATCAGCCCTCTCTGGGTTTAATACTGGGAGGAAAAATCAGTATGATAAAAGTTGATGTAGGAATAAATTCAGATTCAAGTAGAGATCAACAATGTTAAAAAAAAAAGCACAGAGACATGTATGTATCAAACTCTCATGACAAGACCAGCAAAATCACTGTTCAATACAGTAAAGAGCACCAGGAAAAAAATGGTTACTCACATGGAAAAAAATTAAAACTGATCCCTATCTATCACTGAATATACAATTCAAAGCTAAATGAATTAAAGGTACAAACATCAAAAACTTTAAAACTTGGCAAAAAAAAAATTCCAAAAAAACCTTTGGAATACCAGTAACATCTACATACATAGTTGCACACAAATTAAGGGCAAGTTTTTTGTAATTACAGATAATAAACAATATATTTCCTCTTATGAGAGCATACACAGCCTGCTAAACAAAGAAAAGGAAAAACCTACACCTAGTCAATACTGGTGAATTTTTGTATTGAAGGACAAGAGAAAATTCTAATAGTGCCAGAGAGGAAGCATAAGTCATTTCCAATAGGTAACCTAATATAAAATAGGTGAGACACGATCAAACATAAAATACACTACATTGATAAATGTGAAAATATATGTTCGTGCCCAAGAAATCACAAATGTACTATTTTCAGCTCTTCAGTGGACAGAAATTAAATACTGAATGCAGAAAATAAGATAGCGCAGGGCTCTGTATTGCTAGTAGACGTGCAAATTGGTACAACTATTTATTTAAGCCATGAAAATATTCTGTTCTGAAACTGGACGTTTATTTACTCTATGACCCTAGCTATCTATTCTCTAGGATCAGACACACCACGGAACACTATACTTACACACACAGCTACAACAAAAGACATGTGAAGGAACACCTAATGCTTCCATGATACAAAAAACAAAAAACAACAACAAAAAAAACCCTAAGGCCCAGGAACTGAGGAGCAGATACACTAACTTTGGTAGAGTCACATAATAAAATATTACAACAGTAAGAAGGAAAAGAACATGGGGAAAGATACACTACTGCTGTTTTCATCTTAAGTCCCAAAAAGCTACACATGTCAAGGGCATACTTTTTATAAAGTTACTTACATACATAAAATTTTTCTTTTTAATTAGACAGCGAAAATTTTTAAACATATGATATATGCTAACATGTCCAACAGAAAAAGAAGGAAGCAGGAAACAGACAATGGTTGTCAAGATTCTAGATCCTGTGAGACACTAATTACACTAAAGTGATTTTTTAAAAAAGAAAAGAAAAAGGTTCATTTAAGGGTCTAGCTGTCGGACTCTACACACTGCCCTGAGGCCTTGGCTGGTGGGTGGGAGAGAGAGGAGGGCTGGGGGCCCGGGGTCCAGGGTTCGGACTATGCACAGCACCAGACGTACTGGACATCGTTCTTCCTGGTGCCTGTGCTTATACAAAGGTCTGCAGGGACTGTCCTCCTCTGTCTGAAGTACCCAGAATCTTGTTCAAACTCTTTCCTGCCCAGTTCAACCAAAAGGGTGCAGAAATTCTGCCATGGCCCCAGGGTAGTGGCTCCAGGCTTGCAATACCTCGAGGCCACTGCCCCCTTATCCAAAGTAGCTATGTCTGGGCAAGACTAAGGAGAGGGGTCAGGGGCAGAGTCAACATCTGACCTGCTAATGGGCAGGTCTTCAGTGCAACCAGTGACCACACAGGCTCCAGCAAGCTCCTTAGCTCTTAGGCTTCATCTGCTTCATTTATTAGATGAGGGAAATGAAATCACCTACTTCAAAGGCTGTTCAATAATTAAGTATTTTACTTAGCCACGTATAAATACACAACAAATTTGGTTATTTTTATTGTGTACATACGTTAGCAAAACTAGATTTAATTCAAAATTATCCCTGGGCTAACACTGTCACTATCATTCACATGATTTGCTTTCTTAAATGGAAGAAAAGAAGCAATTACCACCAGGGACCCATCATCACTCTCTAGAGTCGTGAAAGTTATCCATCACTGTGTCTAAGAATAAAATGGAGACTAGAAAGTGCTGGTTTGTATTACCACCAATTCAACTGGTAACTCAACTTTCATATCTCTGCTATACCAGCCACACCCCTGGACCTACTTTTCTGTGATCACCTGGGGCCAGCTTTCTAAAATCGCCTTCTATCACTCACGTCCCATATTACTGCAAAAATTACCATCTCAAAGAATCTGTAGTAGATCCACAAGCTCCCAGAAAATCTCAGCCCTCCTGCCTGACTTTCAAAGCCTACAAAAATAAGCCCATCTTTGTTCCGATGTCAGACTCTGAAAACATCCTTCTAGTTGCAGTGACCCATCTGCATCTGTGCCTGCCTAATACTATACTATGCTGCCACAAACTACAAGACACACTGCCGGGGCTGCGGATTTAGCTCAGCGGCATAAGCACCTGCCTTGAAAGCAGCGGGTCGTGAGTTTGATCCCCGGTACCGATCAAAAAAAATCAATTCCTGGTATCAAAAGACACACTGCCATTATCCAAAAATACTGTGAGATTATAATAAAATGAAGTAGAAAACTTTTTTCCTTTCTGAATATCTGAATTTCACTGACCAACAAGTTCACTGTGGCCTTTCTCTGAACTGTAAGATAAGGAAATTTACCCATTTCATCTGCAAGATACTTTAAGTATGTCATCAAATAATAAAACATGTCCAAACAACCCTGTGCTTTCCTACATCTCCATCCTGAGCCTTGAATTCCTCACCAGTCTTCTGGGTATACATACATAGTCTCTTTTTTGAGAAAGAAATCAAATAGAGTTGGGCCTCCACCTGTAGACTGAGCACTTCCTTATCTCTTACTCTAAATTATGTCTTCCAAAAAAACTCTTCACTGTGTGAAGGAATTTCTACTGAAAATGTCACACCCAGATGCCACGGTGAGCTTCTCTTCCAAACCACCTAGAGCCTTTTCTGGCTAGCACCCCTGTCCCCCACACATACTCACACACTGTCTCCACTTCACCACTGGCCATTAACATGAAATCTAGCGTTCCAACTGCCTTGACCAAGATCACTGCACACATCCTGCTGCCCAAGCCAGAGCTATTCATGCTCTTCTGGAGACATCCATCTGCCTTTCCCCTATCCCGTGTGATCTGGCAGGGCCGCCTATCCTATTGCACCCACATTCCTCCTCACAGGAAAGGGGTGCTATCCAGGAAGAAGTACATTTGAGGAAATGATATGAAGCCAAGGAAATAAAGGACTGCATTTTCTCTGACAGTGTCAGTCTTGGGTCTGTTTAATTTTTCATATAAACAATGCCAGGAACCATATCCCACTGGAAGAACACACCACTTGACAGTCAAACCACTGGAGCAGGTGAAAGGCCCAGGGAAGTAGGGGTGGGCAATAAAGAAAACCAGGAGGTGGGTTAAAGACTAGGGTTTAAGAAAACTTGGGTCAGAAGGTAGCACCATAGAGAAAACAGCTTTTTGTATTAAATGATGTCTATGTAATCATTAATTATTTGCTGCCTCCTATCCATAAGAAAGAAGTAACCTAATTTTATCTCAGATTGGACATGCAAATTATTAACATTTTTAACAATTATAGCCAGGCGTGGTGGCTCACTCCTGTAATCCCAGCACTCGGGAGGCTGAGCAGGAGGATCGTTGCAGTTCAAGACCAGCCTGCGCTACAAAGTGAGCTTAAGGCCAGCCTGAACTGCATAGAGAGACCCTGTCTCAAAAAGATAAAATAATATTAATAATAATAATTATTATTATTATTAGAAAGCATACTATACCATAAACATAAGCACCTGGGTAGACAGTTATATCCAAAAGCTGTATACATCAAGTCACTCTTGCAAAACCAGGATCCTGCTGCCCAGCCTGCAGTGTATGTGACCTTAGTTCTACTTACCCACAGACTGAAAGCTGTTTGTCTTCAGGTCATGCATACAGACTGCACTGGATGTCCCACAATGAGACTCATCCACATTTCCACACACACTGATTTTATAAAGTTTGTTACTTTTGGTATCAACAGCTTCCCACGTGTAACTGGAAAGGAAGAAAAACAACTTGTTAATAACTGAACTTCTCTCTGGTTTTACAGTCAAGCTACATTTGCTCAAACTACCACAAGCTACAAGACACACTTTCCTTAGCCAAAAATATGGACATCAAGTATGCGAAGTGAGGGCAGAAATCACTAAACACCACCTCTCTCCAATGAAATCTGTTCTAAAGCCACATCAAGGACTTAACAGACCCCAAACACTAAAATCCTCCATTAATCTGAGAATAAATAATTGTTTGAGTCATAATGAGCATGAAAAAGTAATCTTTCCAATCCCCCCAAATGCCAAAAAGCCAAGGGACTATTTGCACCTCTGAGTTTTTATTTCTCACAGCCACAGCCAGGATGGAGTTAAACACCCCAAGGAAGCGGTGCGGCAAGGATGCGACTACCTGATCCGTCAGAAGATCCCTGCTGCAGGCCAACTCGCTCAGCAGCCGCACTGGGCAGACACAGAGTCGGCCTGCATGCCTGGGTCAAACAGGTGGCTGACAGGCTGTCCCCTATCCTCAGCCTGCTACTCTTCCTTGGGAGGCTGCTGTGAAAGGGGGAGCATCTCCTTGGTAAGGGTAGAAAGAGAAATGAGGATGACACTAAAAAATTCCTTGCAAAATACAGAAAAACCTGGTTAACTTTGGGCAGAACTGCTAAACAGAGGACAGAAAGGTTAAGCCAGATTTATCAGCATTGGCCCACCCTGGCTTGAGGTTCCAGAGATGCAGGGAAGGGGGCGCGGGGATGCTTGCCTTCTCCAATTTATTTCCTTCAACACCTCTTCCCCTTCTGTATTGTTCTGACCAGAGAAAACACTCCTCACAGAAACCTGAGCCAGAGCTTCTCAACCTCTCCAACACTTCCCCCGACCCCCGACCCCCTACCCTGCACTGGGCAGTGACTCAGCACACAACCACAAGGTGACCACTGAGCCACAGAGGAGCCACAACAGCCCTTCTAGGATCACTGGCAGCCAGTGCACCATGCCTCCCCCCAAACCTAAATCTGGGGCACACAGTGAGACCCAACTGCCAAGAAGCCAAGGGAGCAAGCACACTTCAGCACTCAAGAAGCAGGTAGACAGGTCCCCCGGGAAGCTGCTGCTACTTACCTGCTAGAAACCTGAAGAACAGGTTATTAAGTATCTGGCCTTTGAGTGACACAGGCTTTAGAACAGATACTACCAGACTCAGTTTCTTCATCAATAACAGACTAGCCATCTCCTGGAGTCGGGTATTCAGAAGAAAATACCCTACCTAAGCATTACTAGGCCAGAGAAGGCCATCAATAGACTTGTTGTCTCTGCTCTTCTTTAACCCCTATCCATCTCTTTCACAAGTATTTGAGTACAGCAAGGAACCAGGCAGACCAAAGGCCCCAGCTCTTGAAATGCATATTCCAGCAGGAAGTATGGAAAGTACACAAGAATACACAGTATTCCACCAAGACACAGGAACTGTGGCAGCACACAGGGAAATGATCGCACAGTTACGTCAGCTATGATAGTTTCTTCCCTGAGACTGGACTGACAAATAGGAGCTGGGAGTTGGGGAACATAGAGAAGAATATTTCAAGTAGATGGACTAGCATCCTCTGCAAGGTCGAGAGGCTGGGTGGACTGGGTTCACACATGGAAAACACAGGGGCGCGGTGGATTCAGATGCATGAAGACAGCGGCAAGGAGTAAGGCCAGAGGGAGCAGACCTGGAGACCTGGTCACCCAAGTCATTCAAGGACCCTGAAGAGAACAGGAACAGTTTTGATTTTATACTTTAAGCAAAGGAAGACCACTCAGTACTGTCTTTCCTTTAACAGTTAAGCTAGAGCAGAGCAGAATGAAATGTGCACCTATAATCCAGGACTCTGGGAGGATGAGGAAAGACGATAGGCAATTCAAGTCCCACCTAGACATCTGAGAGATCCCATCTCAAAATAAAAAATACAAGGTGCTGAGAGCATAAAACAATGCAAGGCCCACCTCAATCCTCAGTACCACCACAGGGGGGGGAAAAAAACTAGGCTAGTGTTTTTATTTGTGGAATAAAACTTTATTGTTAATTATAATTAATTACAAGCCAGGTGTGGTGGTATAAGCTTTTGTAACCCCAGCACCCAAGAGGCTGAGGCAAGAGGATCACCATGAGTTCCAGGCCTGCCTATGCTACACGCCAAGACACTGTCTCAAAAAAAGCAAAAGGAAAAGGAAAAAAAAAATCTCCTATACAGGATCCACAACCAAGTTCTTCTAGGCTACTAACAGCAAATTTAAAATCTCAGCGTGGTATCATTAAAGTACTTCACAGTTCCAAGCAATGATAGAGGTACATAAAGGTATCATTTAAAATGATCCCATGGGTAGAAATTTATATAGTATTTAAAATGCTATGTTTTCCTTGAAAACCAAAAACCTATTTCTGTTTTTGCAAACTGATATTTAAGTGAGGCAAATGTAAAGACTATGAGTCACTAGGGAGCAGAAGAGAAATAAAAGAGTAAAACAAGGGCTATTATCTGGTAACCTAGAAATCAGAGTGCATGGAAAGAAATAATCTGCCTTATTGGATTATGTTCTCGTCTCTCTGCATTTCACACTTGTTTTGCCAAGATTTACGAAAACACAAACTATGGTAGGAAAAGAATGAGTGGATCTATTAAAGTACTTGTACACTGACTTTTCCAGGTAGACTGAAGCCCTCAGCCAAGGGCACCGCCCCACCCCCACCAAGCACTCTCACAGACAACCCCACAGCAAGGGAACGAAGGCCATGTATCTAGGAGTTCTTAGTTTCACTGCTTGAAAACAAACAAGCATCACCTCACCACACTAAAACAAATGCCTGGAAAGCATGTGTGGGCTGTCAGTACTTGGAATATTCTAGTTCCAAAGAGCACTGCATCTACTTTAAAACAAACCAACCAAGCCAGGTGTGATCCCAGCACTGAGGCAGAAGGATCACTGCAGTTTGAGGCCAGCTTGGACTAACAGTGAATCCAAGACCAGGTTGGAATATGTAGCGCAATTCTGCCTCAGGAAAAGAAAACAACAAAAAAGCAACCTGGTGACCAGTACTGTGAGGACTCTAGCACCATCACTCAGTTGAAAAGTTGAAATAATCTCTCAGGAAACTCATGAAATATATTTCAAGAAACTGTAGGAACTCTGACATGAAGCCTGGTAAGATTAAAATACCATGCAGACATTCTTTCCCCAGTAATAAATGTCTTTAAAACTATTTCATAATAAACCTAAAGGTAGTATAAATACATCAGCACTTTTTAAGTCACATGTTTGAAACCAGATGACTGCAGATTTCTGCCAGATTAAAGATCAAGCCAACACAATGACCTAGGCTGAAACTGTTCTTAAAATTTCACTGACACTGGGGTAAACGAGAGGAAGAGATAAATGATGAAAAATGTAACTGGGTTGTGTTCCATCCATGTACCAGCTTCACACAAAGAATGTAAACAGTATGTACTACACACATACTAATAAACTAAAAAAAAAAAATTACATTGACACTAAAATTTACAAGTTCTATGATCAGAATAGAGAATCAAAGAATAAAAGAACTACAGACTAAATGAAATGTAATGATATATTTGAAGCATAACAAACTTTGGCCTGAAAGTCAGTCTTTCAGGAAATTGTCAGATGGAATGGAATGAACATACACAGCCAAAATTAGCAACACCCTTCACAGCAATCTGCCTTTACAGCCAAGCAAGTGAGACCACTCAGGCAAGAGCCTCTAAAAAAGCCCCCCACCCCATTTCTATATTAACCAAGTTATCTAGGCTTACACAAGATGAAAGGAAAGAAAGAAAGAAAAAAAAAAGAGATGAACATATTAGATCACAAGAAAAACCAAGCTGCAACACTGAACTTTCAAATTTTAATGAGAAACAAAGCTCTAGAAGAAAACACAAATATATTTCTATAACCCAGCAATTTCCACAGCAGGAGAGGCAAGAAAGTCCAGTGGCATGTTCTTTAAACTAGCACTCCTTTGGGTGCAGGCTTTCTGAACTCCCTCGCAGCTGGGGAAGCGTGGAACCCAAGTAGGTGGGGCAGGGAGCACTGCAATGGCCCAAGAAGCAGCTGGGCACAGGACACGTCATTGTCTCTGCCTTTGGGAACTCACACACTGTGCAGGACGCAGGCAGCCTTCTCCCACAAACCGCTCTTCTGGATACCAAACTACCTGTGATAGAAGTCCAATTCTGACCAAAAGCAAGCTAAATCCTGGCTGTATCACCTCCTTTCCAGGGTGTAAAACACACTTAACTGACAGTCCCCATCCCTCCAGTTCCCAGAAGCTTCAAATCAATGCTGCCCACAGTGACACTGCCAGACCATGAGCCCACATGGACTCAGCCCCTGCAGAATCTTCAGGCTTCACTGGGTAAAAGCCTGAGGTGTCTGTGATGCAATCCTTCCGGGACAGGATAGTTTCCCAGCACCAGGACCAGCATGCTCTTTTAGAATGAACTAGGTATTTATTTCCTGTGCACATAAAGTGAAAAAGGAGGATTCTGGGACCACAGTGGGAGGAGCTCCTCTCTCCAATCAATTCTCTCTCTCTTAAATCACTGTCACCGAGGAGCTGGGGATTTAGCTCAGCAGCATAAGTGCCTACCTTGCAAGCAGGCAGTCGTGAGTTCGATCCCTGGTACCGATAAAAACGAAAAAGACCCAAAAAAAAAAAAAAAATCACTGTCACCTATTCCTACTAGGCTTCCACAGCTGTCCAGGTCACCCACACTTCAGTCCCAGTCAGGCTTCCAGTTACCAGTAGGCTAAAAGGAAATGGATCAGTGGATGAGTGCATCCTGGCACAAGGCTTCCATCATCCCCATTCTACTGCAGGCACTCACCCCTGAGCCATACACCATCTATGCACTTGACACCATCCTACTCTCCCACGTTCCTCAGCTTTTGTGTCAAACAGTTCAAGGCTCAGAAAGATCCAGACCTTGCCCACCA